CTTCATTTCCTAGAAAGAATCCAGGGCGATATCTGTGGACCTATACATCCATCTTCCGGACCATTCCGGTACTTCATGGTCCTTATAGACGCATCGACCCGTTGGTCATATGTTTGTCTCTTGTCCTCTCGGAACCAAGCCTTCGCTAGGTTCTTGGCCCAAATCATAAAATTGCGGGCCCATTTCCCTGACTTCTCACTAAAGACTATCTGCCTTGACAATGCTGGTGAATTTACCTCACAAACGTTTAATGACTACTGTATGGCCATGGGGGTAACCGTGGAACATCCTGTAGCACATGTCCATACTCAAAATGGATTGGCTGAATCATTCATTAAACGCATTCAATGGATAGCCCGACCATTACTCATGAGATCAAAGCTCCCGGCCTCAGCATGGGGACATGCAGTATTACATGCTGCTGAACTCATACGCATCCGGCCATCTAGTGAACACAAATATTCCCCATCCCAACTACTCTCGGGTCATGAGCCAGACATCTCCCATCTCAAAACATTTGGGTGTTCAGTATATGTACCCATTGCTCCACCACATCGAACCAAAATGGGACCTCAAAGAAGGATGGGAATATATGTTGGTTTTGACTCTCCCACCATCATAAGATATCTCGAGCCAACCACTGGAGATCTCTTCAAGGCCAGATATGCGGATTGCCAATTCGATGAATCGGTATATCCCTCTTTAGGTGGTGAGACAAACAAGCTGGTCAAAGATCTTTCATGGAATCAAACATCATTAAATTGGCAAGATCCTCGGACTCTAGAATGTGATTCAGAGATCCAAAAGATTATTCATTATCAAAAGCTAGCTAATCAATTGCCAGATTCCTTTGCTGACCTGACCAAAGTAACCAAATCGTACATCCCAGCTTGTAATGCACCAGTACGAATAGCTGTCCCAACGGGACAGACCCAAGTTGCTACAGAGTCTGCACCACGTCTCAAACGGGGCAGACCTCTCGGTTCCAAAGATAAGAATCCCCGGAAATCAAAGAAAGGTGCAATAACCGAAACCGGGATTCCTGCAATATCAGACATAGCCGCGGCTGAGACTCAATCTAATGAACCCTCAATGGAAGTTCGGGACGCCGAATCTCCAGGTTCAGAAGATAACAATGAGATCTCCATCAATTACAATATGTCCGGAATACAATGGAATCGAAAAGAAGTCGACTTAAATGCACTCTTTGCATACAAAGTAGCACTTGATGTTGCGCTCACGCAAGAGGATCTAGAACCCACGTCAATAACACAGTGTACACATCGAACAGATTGGCTAAAATGGAAAGAAGCCATAAACGTGGAGTTAAAGAGTCTCAAACTCAGAAACGTGTTCGGTCCGATCATCCGGACCCCATCACACATCAAGCCAGTGGGCCACAAATGGGTCTTTGTGCGCAAAAGGAACGAACTCGGTGAAGTCGTTCGATACAAAGCACGGCTTGTAGCACAAGGATTCTCACAGAGACCCGGAATCGATTATGAGGAGACTTATTCTCCAGTGGTGGATGCAACAACATTCCGATTCCTCATAAGTCTGGCCATAAGAGAAAATCTTGATCTGCGGTTAATGGATGTTGTAACCGCATATCTCTATAGGCCTCTGGACAACGAAATATATATGAGACTCCCAGATGGCATTGAACTAAAAGACAAAAATGCATCTCGAGATCAATACTGCATCAGGCTGAACAAATCCTTGTATGGACTGAAACAAAGTGGGCGTATGTGGTACAACCGCCTCAGCGATTACCTCATCAAAGAAGGCTACAAAAATGACCCCATCAGTCCATGCATCTTCATCAAGAAGTACTCAAACAAAGGATTTGTAATCATAGCAGTATACGTGGATGATCTAAACATCCTCGGAACATCTGGTGAGATCTCCCAAACAGTCGACTGCTTAAAAGCAGAATTCGAAATGAAAGACCTAGGCAAAACAAAGTACTGTTTGGGATTACAACTTGAGTACATCAAAGGAGGAATCCTTGTGCATCAATCGGCTTATATCGAAAAGGTACTCAAGCGATTTAATATGGACCAAGCTCACCCATTGACCAGCCCAATGGTAGTTAGAAGCTTAAGTGATGACCCTCTTGGTCCCAAAAAGGATGATGAAGAAATCCTTGGTCCTGAAAAGCCATACCTCAGTGCTGTAGGAGCGTTAATGTACCTGGCTAGTCACACTAGACCAGACATATGTTTCGCCGTGAACCTGCTCGCTCGATATAGTTCATCTCCAACTCAGAGGCACTGGAACGGTATAAAACATCTCCTAAGATACCTTCGAGGTACTCAAGACTTAGGACTCTTCTATACTAACCAAAATAAAGATGGGTTAGTCGGCTTCGCCGATGCAGGATATCTATCAGATCCGCACACTGCCAAGTCTCAAACTGGCTACGTTTTTACGCATGGAGGAACAGCCATCTCTTGGAGATCAATGAAGCAGACACTCACTGCCACTTCATCAAACCATGCTGAAATCCTAGCCATTCATGAGGCTAGTAGGGAATGCGTCTGGCTGCGCTCCATGACTCAGCACATCCGCAGAGATTGTGGTATGGACGAAGACACACAGCCCACGGTGATGTATGAAGACAACGCGGCATGCATAGCTCAGCTCAAGGAAGGATATATCAAAGGAGATCGGACGAAGCACATTCTACCGAAGTTCTTCTCAACCTCAGACTGGCAGAAGGACGGCACTCTCAGCGTTCAGCAGGTCCGATCCAGTGAGAATTCAGCTGACCTCTTCACCAAATCATTGCCTACTTCAACACACCGGAAGCTCGTCAAACAGATAGGAATGTATAGACTTAGAGATCTGCAGTGATGCTACAATCAGGGGGAGTAATGCGTGTTGTACTCTTTTTCCTTCACCATGGTTTTGTCCCACTGGGTTTTTCCTGGTAAGGTTTTAATGAGGCAACATTCCCCAGCGCATTATCGAGATCCCGATTGAGTAGCTGACCCGATTCACTCGTCCAAGGGGGAGTGTTATAACACATATCATATATGGACTCTTATACCGGCCCATTAGGCCCATCAGGACATTGTACTTAACCTAGATTCCCTATGTACTCTATATATACATTCCAGTGATTAATAAAGTTTCTAAGTTTTCACAACAATTTAGACTAAGTAGAGTAGTAGACCATAATTACCAAGAAAATGACTACCGAATTAACAATTTATGTAAGTGTGTAATTATTGATTTTTATCTTACTTCATTCATAATTAATATGACGGACAAAAAAATCCAAATATATATGTGAACGTCTTTCTCACTTCAAACACGTAAATGTAGTTCTTATTATCTTTCTTACTTCAACTATGAATTTACAAGTTATTCAAAAAAAAATTGAATTTATGATTCATAAGACGGGACGAAAGTTATATATATCCATCTATTTTGTTCTTCAAGTTATATGATACATCAACTCTATGTGATTATGACGAATATCAATTCTTGACTTTTTAGAGGAGTTTATACTTATGATAAATAATCGATGTTATAACATAGGATTGGTAAAAAAAAGGGTTTGATGAGGTCTCCTAATTAAAGCAAGACGGCAGAAGAGAACGAGAGATGAATGGGCACTAGCAACTTTCCAAGACAGATGTATTCTTCAACTTTTCTTCTTCACATCCTTTTCAATTAAAGTCTCTGAACTGTTCCATAAAAAAAAAAAATAAGTGTCTGAATTTCATGGATTTTCATTTTTAATTTTTCAGCCACCGAATATTTTTTTTTTTTAACAAGGGTTCAGCCACCTAACATTGCCAAAAAAATATTGTTTTAAACGCGAAAACTACTGTATATGGTTAGACTACGGATCACCCAAAATTATATATGTCAAAATAAAATGTAAAATGCTTAAATTATCTAAATTGATTGTCAACTGTAAATATCAAAATGCATCCATTGAGTGGACTCCAAAGATATGATTGATAATCATGTTTTGGAAAATCAATGAATCGAACTTTTTTTTTATCGCTTTGTCTTGTTTTAGCATCGTAATTTTAACACCAAATAAAAAAAAAAGGAAAGGACAAGTTGGTTGTAAAGATCATGACTATAAATGTGTAAAAATTAGATGGACTTCACAGCTTCTTTCCCATTTAGTTCGTTGTTGACAAATCGTATCGTCCACGGATTGCCCGCGGCCGCGTATGTCTTTGCTTTCGTTTTATTTCCTTTTCACATTTGGCCAATTATAGACACTTAATTAAAAGTTTACTCAAAAAAAAAAAAAAAACAAACTGAAAAAGCTCTTTCTGTTTTTCTTTCATTTTTTCTTTTGTTCCGCATTTATTTTTCATATAAATTTGCGACCCATCTAATTTCCAGACCTATAAAAGATAGTTCTCCTTTTGTAGATTACATACAATTTTTTATAATGATCTATTAGAGTGTAGTTTGTATATAACTCATACTTAGTCATATACGTGTGAATATTAGGATCGGTAAGGGCTCTGGAATTGTCCGGTTTATATCTATTTAACTTCGGTATAGATTCGGTTAGTTTAGCGAATATGTATATAAAGTCATGTAACAAACTCTTGATTGATTAAGGAGAATATCTGAGTTTTATAAACAACTTCTCTCTCGATGATGAACACTAATATGATCCTAAACAAGGTTAACCAATTAAGATATGGATACAAGATCTTTGAATATCATCATACGGAAGCCACATTCTACTATTTTTTTTAATAAACGGTCACTTTACTAGTTGTACCACAGATTTAACAAACATCACAATTTTTTTTTGGGAAATGTTATCATAATGTCGACCTTTCTTTGTTGTACATCTAAATATTTTGGAAATAACTTTGTTCAAAAAGAGAGAGAAAAAAGAAGTTCATCATCCCATGTGTATGACACAGGCAGCAATAGAAAGTATAGGAATGTCACGTGATTGTGGGTCAATTTAACCAAATGCTATGTCCTCCACTTGGATTATCAAAACTATCCACATTATAACCGAAACCAAGGCCACGTAATATGGACTCTATGAATATATATATACACTTTGAGCTTATGGGCGGGGTTTAAAAAAAGAAAAAACTTATGGGCTTCAGTAATAAATATACTTTGAACTTATGGGCCTACATTGCAAATGAAACCCAAACTTTAAAAGAATAAACCAAATCTTGACCTGGCAGTGTGACCCACAGAAGATCTTCATCTAGGAGATTTCATTGCTTGTTGGACTTAAATCTTCCATGTCTCATCCTCAAAAACCTTACAATCTAGATAAGAAGATAAGGGACACGCGTCAAAAATCCAACACCCCCAAAACATTTTTTTCCTAATTACTAACACACAACAAAACTCTTCACTCTCTTACACCTTTCCGGCCCCGAGTCCCGACAATGGCTTCAGCTTCAGCGACAGCTACTCTTCTCAAACCTAATCCTCCGCCGCATAAACCGATCATCACCGCCTCCGTATCTCCTCCGTCTATTCCTCCTCCGCGGCGTCACCATCTCCTCCGCCGCGATTTCCTCTCTCTATCGGCCACATCAACGCTTCTTCTAGCACAATCGACTCCGTTTCTAGCTCCGGCGCCGGCTTCTGCCGCCGAAGACGAGGAGTATGTGAAAGATACTTCGGCAGTGATCTCTAAGGTTAGGACGACGCTCTTGATGGATAAGACAGATCCGAATGTGGCGGATGCGGTGACGGAGCTGAGAGAAGCGTCGAATGCGTGGGTCGCTAAGTATCGGAAAGAGAAAGCTCTTCTCGGAAAAGCTTCTTTCAGGGATATTTACTCGGCCTTGAATGCTGTTTCCGGTCATTATGTGAGTTTTGGTCCGACGGCTCCGATTCCGGCGAAGAGGAAGGCGAGGATTCTTGAAGAGATGGAGACTGCTGAGAAGGCTCTCTCGAGAGGAAGATAAAACTACAATTGAAGTGAGACCCTAACAATTTTCTCTTCTTCCCCATTTTCTTGTTGATGATATTTTATTTTCCCAAAAATACCAATCGAATCATATGAGAAGATAAACAATTCGCTCGCTTTATTTTCTTTTTGGGGTTTTTTTTCCGTGTAAAATACTTATGTCATGATAATTACTTAATTATCAGTTATAATAACGAATTCCAGTTTAATTTGGAAATGTAGACATTCGTAGTGCCTGAGCACTACCCTCAAACAGTATCATCTCTTCATTTCTGGAATTCACTAGCTAAAGATCAATATTTATATACTAATTTTCAAGAACTTCGATTAGTTTAGAACTCTAAATTCATTAAGACAATGGATCAGACTAGTATTAATTCTAAGTTTGGTTCAACATTTTATCTACTGGAGTCATAACTCATAATTTCATAAGGTCGATTCAACTCTCGCTGTTCTTGATTTTAGTATTCTTTGTATTCCCAATTTATTATACAACCAAAGGCCAAAACTTGATAGTACATAGTGTAATTTGCTTAACCAGAAATGTTGAGTTTATGAAAAGCCTCTTTAATGGCCCATCTGAAAAGCCCACAAAGTTTGTGATTTGGTCATTTACTCCACAAACATGTCACATGCTGGTCTACACCCGTGAACATCCACATGGGCTCGTATTTATTAGTCAAATTTTGCATCCATAATCTATTACTGATTACTCTATTTGGATAATTGGATTAGATTTGATTTTAGTGGAACCGTAGCAGTTCGCTACATTTTGCGAAGTCCAACGTAGTTAATAACTAGTCTACATTTTGCGATTTCTGACATTTTCATTTTTATAGACAACCAACCACTGACCTTTCCAATACGTTAAAATTGATGGTTGTAATTTGTAAATAATGACCGTGTTTGCTGCTATATCACTGCGCCTAATTTATGTATCATGGTCAAACTTGATGATATTCCATATTTTGACCCTCAATTCATATTTTATTCCATATTTTAAACTAATAACATGCATAAGTTAAATCATTGAAGTTTAGTTACTGATGAATTAAAATAGGAGTATATTTGTATGTTTTAAAAAATTTGTAATTAGAATAAAATGTATCAAAATTATACTATTTCTAAAACGGGAAAGTATTTATGAAAAGAAAAAATAATTCTATTATTAGAAAAAAAGTTAAACACTTTTTACGAAGCCATATTCTGTACATTATTGTTTGTTAAAACTTTTAAGAACAGCTTATTCATAGATATGTCATATGATTGAAATTTATATATATATATATATATATATATATATCCGAAGATTAGATAACAACAAAAGCACGTGAAGAAAATGAGCTGTGGTGACTGGTGGGACGAGGAAAATCGGTCAAACTTAAAACATAAAACTCTTTGATTAGATTTATCTATTTGTCTCATTTTTTCCTTTTCTGTGTGTTTTTATCATTCTTAACGATTGTCTTCTTATGTCGCCAAGTTCTCTGATAATCTCACAAACCCAAAATATCCAAGAGATAAAAACCAAAACAATATCAAAAGAAGAACATTTGACGATCGTCGCCAGCAAAGTAATCGTTTTTCTTACCGCACCCGATCTCCCGAGAGAAAGTTGACCGACTTGCCGGAAAAATCTCTTTCCTTTATTCAACAAAGTTGGGAAATTTTCTATTTTCCCCCTCATTTTTCTGTCTTTTCCTTTTATAATTCATCCTCTCTGTAACTTTTGTTTCTTTTCCCTTCTCACAATCAGAGATCTCGACGCGTGGCTTCAAAATTTCAGGAAAAGAAAAAAAAAACAAGAAACAATATTCGATCTTGCTTACTCATTTGTCGCCTCGATTGTGATCGTTCTTCTCCAGACATTTCTTAAGAGAATCGATTTTCTCTTCCATACCTTTTGTTTTGCTTGTCCCTTAAATTCAGTCTTCATAACGTCAAAGCTCAGAATACTCTCGCTTGCGTGCCTCTCTCTCTCAAATACCCCATCTCTCTCTCTCTCTCTCTCTCTCTCACTCCTCCAATTTCATTGAAGAAGACGACCCATCCTCCTGCTTCTCAATTACTGTCGAGAATCATGGTGAATGGTAAAGGGTCAACGAAAAATTCGAATCTTGATCGATTTCTTCATTGCACAACACCTGTAGTGCCACCCCAATCTCTCCCTAAGGTTGGTTTGAGCTATTCGAGAGACGTTTCTGCAATTGTGAATGTAAATGACGTGATGATTGGAATTTGCAGGCGGAGATTAGAACCCTAAATCGATTGTGGCATCCATGGGAGAGAGAAAAGGTGGAGTTTTTCAGGTTGTGTGATTTGTGGGATTGCTACGATGAATGGAGCGCTTATGGAGCAAGCGTTCCTATTCATCTAACCAGTGGAGAATCTCTGGTTCAATACTATGTTCCTTATCTCTCTGCCATCGAGATTTTCACCTCTCATTCCTCCTTGATCCGATTAAGGTTTGATCCTATTCTCTTTTGATTGTATAATAGCCCTGATTAAAAAATTTGATTTCTTTCTGATGAATCTGGTGATCTGGTTGTAAATAATGCGTGTAAATCATCTTTTATCAGAAAAAAAAAAAAAAATCTCTTTTGTCATTATATTAAGTTTGGTGTTGGGTTAATTAGGGAAGAGTCTGAAGATAGGGAATACGACGGTAGATATCAGTTTAGCGATTCAGGTAGTGATGAGAGTGTATCCGAGGAAGGAGTTGAGAACAATGGGATGATCTTGCACCCGAATGATCGGTTGGGTTACCTTTATCTCCAATACTTTGAGAGATCAGCTCCTTATACCAGAGTTCCTCTCATGGAGAAGGTAAATAGACCTCCTCTTATGTTGTAGCCAATAGTTTCTTTTCGCCTGATTGACACTTTGACAAAATGAGACATGATGGTTTGGTTCCAGATCAATGAATTAGCTCAAAGATATCCTGGATTGATGTCGTTGAGAAGCGTAGATCTTTCTCCAGCAAGTTGGATGTCCGTTGCGTGGTACCCGATTTATCACATACCAATGGGAAGAACCATCAAAGACTTATCCACTTGTTTCCTCACTTATCACACTCTTTCTTCCTCTTTTCAAGGTGCGGATCCTCTCCCTCCCTTCTCTCTCTACTGTGTGGTCAAATCCCATTAATGCTTTGTAATATTGCAGATATGGAACCGGAAGAAAATGGCGGTGATAAGGAGAGAATGAGAAAGGAAGGGGAAGATATAACTCTGCTCCCATTTGGGATGGCTACTTACAAGATGCAAGGCAATGTTTGGCTTTCGCATGACCACGATGACCAAGAGAGATTGGCTTCCCTTTATAGCGTTGCGGATTCTTGGCTAAAACAGCTTAGGGTTCAACATCATGACTTCAACTACTTCTGCAGCATGTTGATGCACAGTCGTGGCTAAAACCCGGGGTTTGATGGCTCGTTCTCTGTTTGTTTCCTCATAAAATCTCATTCTTGCTTTGTGTTTTGGAAGCACTGGCGTTTTCTAAAACACAAAGGAGTGATTTGGCTTGGCAGCGGTTTGGTAATAGCGTTTTTGAGTCCCCTAACTTTTTGAGAAAATATATGTCGTATACATAGTTCGTTGCTTGTTAAAATAGAGTACATTGTTGTTGCTTGTTGAAACAGAGTACATTGTTGTTGCTTGTTGTAAGCAGAGTAAATTGTTTCTTGTGGTCGAGTGGAACGTTACTTATTGTGCCTCAGTGCTGTTAGTGAGATAGTTATGTAACGAAGTAATCTTGTAACAGTTTAATCTAAATAAGTTTGGAGAAACAAAATTGTGAATCTCAGCAATTGTGGTTGAGATTGTTTCAGTAACATGTAATTTGAGGTGTACATGTTCATATACGTAATACCATTCCTCAAAATAAATAAGTTGAAGAAAAAAAATGTTTTAGAAGAGATAACACGCTAGTTTTATTGAAAACATACTTGCAAAAAGAAAAAAAAATAATTCGAAGAATAAGATATTTTTAATTGAATAGGAATCGTGGAAATGTAGTGGTAAGGCATCTTATCCTTCACGTTAGGTTTCAAAAGCGATCCCTTTGGGTTTGTTATATTTAGTGGATAGGATCAAATATCCATTTTACGAACCCCAAAGCAAACGTAAAAGCCTTATCTGTATTTTGATTCCAATTAGAATTAGTTATAATAACTCCAATTTACAATAGGTTTAGGGTGAAAATACCGGTTGGGGTGAAAAGATTAATGTCGACAAGGACAATCTTAGTAATTGTTTTAGGTCTGAAGATATTTATTAGAATAGACGAAAAAGTAAGGATTAATTAAATATCATTACCATATAAAATCAACCACAAATCACTCACTTCATACGTAAAGAGTTGATTTTTTAAGTAAAAAAGTCAAAGATTCAACGTTCGGTCACTTCTTAATTTCCACACCATCATTATCAATGTTACCAAACAAGGATGCATCATGTAGATGTTCATGATCATTCATTTTCTACGTTCTTCGGTTTCATTGATTTCGTTCATAAATTTTAATCACTGTACAACATACAAATCGAAATGAAACTAAATTAAAGAAATGAAAAGAAAAAAAAAAGAGAGAGAGAGAATTCTATTGGAACAAGAGATTATAAGCAGGGAGATCTTGAATCCGATGAATATCCTCCAAAGAAAGCTCTCTCTCTAGCTGATTCCGAGTTGCTTGTAATACTTCCTGATAAATACCCACGTTAGTTAATCTACACATAATTATTAATCTTCAAGAACTAATCATCAAATGTAATAGAGTTTAATTAGAGATATACATTGAATTCCATGTAAGAAGCGTGCATCGCAAGCCATTGAGCATCCATCATCGCGAAAGCTATACAATATAGTACATCGAATGCCTTCTCGTCTTCTGTATTTTTGTTTGTTTTTGTTTAATATGGTTCTTGATTATACAGCGATTATCATACACTATTCGTCAAGTATATATTGTTTACCTTCTAAGAGTTTGAGGAAATTTATTCCTGGAAGACATTTTGGCTTTGCTGCACAATAAGTAAAACATCCTCTTATATATTTCACCCATTTCACTTTAAGTGGTATAAAATATAAATATAAATATATGGAAATTTAAGGATGGTAATTAATAAAGAAACGTACGTGTATTTTGTAAATCGAGCATTTGGATCAGCATGAAGGAGATGTTGATTCCGGCCACCGCAAATGGGTACTCCCATTTAGCCCGGTCGCCTCTTTGTTTCAGTAGTAGCCTCCGGAAACAAACCTTCACGTTTTAAAAAAAAAAAAATTTGTATACATATTTAAGTCTTATTAATTGTTGGAGCAAAGAATTAGTATGAAAAAAACCATCGCTGCCTATATGTGAACATTTTTAATTATTGAGTAATTACCGGATAATTTCTTGCGGAAAACAGCAAATTCTCTAGAGCGATAAATCCGCAACCCCTAGAAACAAAATGTTAAACGAAACGCGAGTTAACCCTAGCTAAAGATGTTTATAAATACATTTTCTTTGAACAATTTTAGTAAATCTAACCTGAAATCGGTAGATGGATTGGGACCTTGCCATCCCATTTCTTTCCATTGTTCTGTAACTAAACCTGTGAGACTAACATTCGGAAATGCGGCATTCCACAATGCTTTGAGTGATTCCTGCCATTAATCACGCAAAACATGTCACAAACGCTTATATATACCATCATCTCCTTATATAGGTTTGATTACTGTTAAACATTTTTAGAATAATTATGCCATTTCAGCTACCTGATGCTCAGGACTTGTCTCGTCAAAAGGTACAAGCAAACGATCTTGCAGCCTTTGAAGTCTTTCCTCCTATGATTAGTTACAAATATAAAAAAATGTTACCAACTATTTCAAATGTCTTAATCTTACATATATGAAGGTATATGAAACTTGTGGTTATGCTAACCTGAAGAGGAGACAAAGTGTAGTCGATAGACTTGTCTTGACGTCTATTGGAGCGTGTGAAGAGCCCTCCTATCCATGATTTTGTTCCAACCATAGCCGTAGCTATAACCACCGGTTCACTGAAAACATTTACGTGTATACATATTTTATGGTAGATAGATCTAAAATTGTTACATAGCTAATACACCAATCACACACACACACACACACACACATACAAAAGAGTCATCACAATGCGTTATCATTATACCCTGTGATCTCTAGCAATATATACTCACTAAAACATATATTTAGCCAATTGAGCTATTACGTGAGCGGAACTACTTGACCGCTGCCATCTCGGCTCTTTGTTCCCTTTTTCTCGCCTTTCCCACGCTTCATCCTCCTCTCCCTGCACACATTTTCAGACTATGTGTGTGTTTGAAATTTACATAACACATTTTAAAAAAAAAAACTTGGGAAGGTCATAAAGTTTGCTGAACTTAATTACTTACAAATTACAAGTTACAACCAAAAAGACAGTCAATTTAAGGTAAATTGAAAATTAAGGATCGGTTGGAATAGACAAGAACGGTGTGAATGCAAGATTGAAGTGGTGTAGTTTATTACTCCAAATTTAAGAAATAATAATACGATATTCGTTTAAAACTTCAAGGATGGAGAAAATAACGATAAATGATTACTTGGTGAAGAGACAAACAAGAAGGAAAGTATTGCCTATGCCTCCTGAACTTCATGAGAGGGACACAAATGTTCAAAGAAAATAAACAACAAAAATGTCGAGAAAGAAAAAAAATTAAATGCTTGTAGAGAAAAAAATTTAGCTATTACCCAAAAGCCAAATTCATCAAAACAGAGAGAGGTCTGGAAGAAAAACAAAGTAATTGATTTTGCAAAAACTTTTGGGGTGAAAAACTTAAATTATGCAAATCGGATGGTAAAAGGCTTAGAATTCTCTGAAGAAACTTGGAATATTAAAAGAGAAAGAAGATTTATACAGAGTTAAGTTGGTCACAGATAAGTTTTAGTGTTTTTTTGGTTGCGTACAGGTCAGAGCTCAATGTTTTAAAAATAGAAATATTTTCATGATTATTTAACACGTTTAGCTAAACTAGACAGAATTGTGGGTTGTTTTACATAAATCTGTAATCTTTTACCTCATTAATTTGGGTTAATTTAGAAAAAGATAGAAATATGATAAAATCAAAAGGCAATGAATGATTATATATTCACTAATGCTGCATTCTCAAATATTCAACAATTCATCATTATTTCCACTCTCACTAGGTCAATTTTTTTGGTGTAAATGGATACAAAAAGGTGTCAAGAAGTTGTAACTAACATGATAGCGCAATTAAAGGGGTTTTCTTTTCATTACTTTTTATGTAAAGTTTGGAACTTTACAATGCAATTACCTTCAAAACATAATTTGCCAACATAGGGATAATCAAATCAGATTTCACCGCTTTGCGGGCAAATCCGATATGATTGATTAAACAGTCGAAGAGGGAAGAAAAAGTTACCTGTAATAGACATAGGAACAAGGCAATGGAGGAGGAGATGGTCTAGACACGGTAACGACAGAGGAGGTAGAGGAAAAAGAAGAAGAAAATAGAAGAGAAAGAGATAGAAAATAGAGGCAAAAATGGAATTCCTCATTAGAGTTTTGCAACTTTTAGAAATTGCAGAGGATGAAGAGAGTTGTGATCCAGAAGTGTTTTTTTGTTTCTCTTTTTTTTTTTTTTGGTGTCTCTCTCCAATCCCTTCATTGACCGTTAAGTTGCCGCCTTCTTCTCTCTTCCACCAAATGATTCTTGGCACATTTGGACCGTCCAGATCCTTTACACTTCAGCTGTCAACGGCGATCAGTTCAGTTAGTTAAACAATAAATTGATTTATGTTAAAGGCCCAACTCAAGGCCTAACAAATGACGGATAGATATCAGAGACACTCAGAAGAAAGAATCCGAAACTAGTGATCTGATTGGTTGAGAGGGAAAGCTTTAGGCTGGAGAACACGTGTCAGTAACCCAATAGTACCTTATCTTTTGTCTCCCACTCAAATCGAACAACGTCGAAGACACTGAGCTCTAGCATCTTCGGTTCCGTACAACAATGGCTCTCCACGCTGCCTGCTCTCTTCCTTCTACCATTTCAATCCAAAAAGAGGTAAGTTTTCGAATTACCAATATATCTTGTAAATGATAGTTTAGTCTTATAATTTTCGATAATCTGGAGAAATGTTTCCTAAATGCCATTCGTAATTTTGCAGGGTAAAATTAGTGCTTCTCTGAAGGAGACGACTTTAACTGGTTTTTCATTTTACAACCATCTTAGAGCTGATAACATCTCCACACTGTTAACCATTAAGGTAAAATCAATCACCCTACCGATGTTCAATTCTTAAAAAACCCAGAAATATATTGAGAAATGTCCTGAGTTTTACTCTGTTCCGTTGTAGGAGCAGAGAAGACAAAACCCGCGGTTTTCCACTGGTATTCGTGCACAGACCGTCACAGCAACGCCGCCGGCGAACGAGGCCTCGCCAGAGAAAAAGAAGACCCAGAGAAAAGGCACCGCAGTGATCACCGGAGCTTCGTCTGGTTTAGGTCTAGCCACGGCTAAGGCTTTAGCAGACACAGGGAAATGGCATGTGGTCATGGCTTGTAGGAACTTTCTCAAGGCCGAGAAGGCAGCGAGATCCGTAGGAATGTCTAAGGAGGATTACACAGTGATGCATCTTGATCTTGCTTCGCTCGAAAGCGTGAAGCAGTTCGTTGATAGTTTCAGAAGAACAGAACGGCCGCTCGATGTTCTTGTCTGCAATGCCGCGGTTTACCAACCAACTGCTAAAGAACCTTCCTTTACAGCTGAAGGGTTTGAGCTAAGCGTTGGGACCAACCATCTCGGTCACTTTCTACTTTCAAGGTTGCTTCTTGATGACCTGAAACAATCGGATTATCCATCAAAACGTATGATCATCGTAGGATCCATAACAGGTAAACAATATACAGTAAATTCCATTCCTACCAAATTGGTTCCTCGGTTCAGACAATGAATGTTCCTTTTCTGTGTCCTTGTAGGGAACACAAATACTTTGGCTGGGAATGTGCCGCCAAAGGCAAACCTTGGCGACCTAAGAGGCTTGGCATCGGGATTGAACGGGCAAAACAGTTCGATGATAGATGGAGGAGAGTTCGATGGAGCCAAGGCTTACAAAGACAGCAAAGTGTGCAACATGCTGACAATGCAGGAGCTTCACAGACGTTACCACGAGGAAACCGGTGTCACGTTTGCTTCTCTCTACCCTGGTTGCATAGCTACAACAGGGTTGTTCAGAGAACACATACCCCTGTTTAGGCTTCTGTTTCCGCCTTTTCAAAAGTATATCACCAAAGGTTATGTATCTGAAGAGGAAGCTGGGAAAAGACTAGCACAGGTCAGTTTGCAAATCGTGTCTGAGCTTACTAAGTAAATCTGTAAAACAGGTTCTTGATTGATACCGAGACTGTTGATTTTTGCCTAGGTTGTGAGCGATCCGAGTCTTGGGAAGTCAGGGGTGTACTGGAGCTGGAACAATAACTCGTCTTCGTTTGAGAATCAGCTGTCTAAAGAAGCAAGTGATGCAGAGAAGGCAAAGAAACTGTGGGAGGTTAGCGAGAAGCTTGTTGGTTTGGCGTGATGCAAAATGCATTCCCTTAGATTACAGTCTTTTTGTGACATGTACCGTAATAAACGATCACACTATATTATTGGAGTCAAGTTTAGCAGAGCGGTAAATAGTCGTTTGAATCTGCGGACACTTACAATCTTAGTCTGAAAATTGGAAAACTGCTCCTTAATTTTAGAGGTCAAAGCGTCCTACTTTTCGATTTCTTCGCCCAGTTTCGTTTAAGCGATTGCAGTTCTTTAAGGCACTAATCATATCATGTGAATTACAAAGAAAAATTTGTTGGTCGTCCCAAGATTCCACCTTGTATAGGAAACCATCAAACACTCGGTAAATATATATATTATATATAGAGGGTAATCAATGAGTGTGTGTGTACAAGGCAATTACTTCACCATCAAAGATGTGGAAAACATTTATAACCCCCAAATGAATGTTGTTGGCTAAATGGAATCAGCAAAATCTAGGTACATTCTGTAAGCATCTCTATCCGCTGAGTAGTAGCTTTTCACCAGACAGTCTACTTGGAACCCATGTTTTTTGTACAGATTCACCGCAGCGATTCTCGTGTGGTCGACATGAAGTGAAACCCGTTGCACCTTTCTGCTTCTGCATTTTTCGATAGCAGCTCTCAACAGTGCTTCTCCATGGCCTTGTCTCCTGCGATTCTCCTTCACTGCATAACCCAAAACAACAGAAGTAAGTACACTTGAGATATACTCTTACTTATGTTTTACTTCTGAACTTGTCTGGTAAGAAGCATTCCCATATATGTTATGGACTTCTTTCTAATCATCCAAAATAAAACCAAGAAAATGTAAAGCTTGCCAGAATTTCTATCGAAAGCTCTCGAATTAACCCGGAAGATTGATCCTTTACTAAAAATATATTCTCTCTGTTAGTTCATCAAGCGGATTAAAGTAGATTCAAGTAGATCTTTGGAAACTAATTCCACTTCTTCTTAATGAGCTTTATCTCCCTAAGCTTTGTAATTTCACAAGGAGCATTTTGTCAGTGAGTAATATCATCGAACACTTGGTAGACATCTGTCAATACCTGCGAGCTTAGTGATGGAAGCGGAAAGCGAAGATGGCCAAGAATACATGGCATATCCCACAATTTCTCCGTCGGCATCGACGTAGAGCAAACCGGCGTTTCTCTTGCGTAGCTCTTCGTCGAAAGTTTGAGCGAGAGATTCGTGTTTAGGGAACGTTTTCTTCTCCAGCTTCACGATCTCTTCCACCACTTTGGCCCAATTATTCGACCCTCTAATTAGTTCTACCACAACTCCTTTCTCCATTGTAGAAAGATCCAATTTTTGTGGATGTGATTCTCGCGTTTAGGGTGGACGGAAGAAGGTACCGTCTTTAATGATGATATTTTTGTAAGGGCGGCGACTTTTTGAAAGTATTCGTTATTGTGGAATGGCCCCACATGTTTCAGTTTTGTGACAATTTAGTCTCCAGAAAGAGCAAACTCAAACAAGAATCTGAATGCATAGGAACACATCAAAGATTTATTAAAAATATTTATTACTTAGCAACCCTTCCTTAGAATATACATTACAAGGAACACTGAATCTAAAAAGCCTTTTGTGAAAATAGGTATTCCACGGAAAAAGGATAAAACACAACTTGTGCAAAAGCCTAAACATATTCTATATCAGCAAAGTGAATGCATCTGAAAACCTAAACAATATGAAGAATATGTCAGCTTGGATTGGAAATCCGAGAAATGAAATGGCTGAAATATATGTCTGATTTCGGATTACACTCAGTTTAACAATGAACCATCAGAGCAAGCAAGAGATGTAGATTGAACCATTGTTCTTTGCGCTGGTTAATGCCTATGAGTTCGAGATCAGTCTCAAAATTCTCTCACTGTATTTAGTTCCCTGTCTCAAACCGTGCATATCAATATGATTCCCATATAAAATGTCGTCAAAATAAACTCAGCTGTCTGAAAACGAAGACATCATATTATTATCATACAGGTCTATATGAACAGGGATAAGTAGGAGTAGATAACTGAAGTCCAAATACATATAGAGAAGAAAAGAGAGACCCCTTTTAATAGTGACAACTACTTGATTACAAGAATTTGTCGATCTTCGTTGCTAATGTGAGTTTAGGCACTGCGCCGATGATTGTATCCTTCTTCTCGCCCTTAACGAAGATCATGATGGTTGGGATGCTTCTAACACCGTACTGGCTCGGGGTTGCAGGAGAATCATCTGTGTTTAGTTTGTAGAACTTGATCTTCCCTGTGTACTCCTGTGCTAGTTCATTCACAATGGGATCAATCATTTTGCAGGGTCCACACCATGGTGCCCAAAAGTCCACAAGAACAGGCTCGTCAGCCTTGAGAACTAGAGACTCCCATGTTGAATCGTTCACCACTGGAACTGCAAGGATGCAATAGCAAGACCAACGTTAATGGTCATTATGGGTATAGAATTACGAATGAAGGGCATAACGAAACAATGTATACACAATGCTTCACAAGTCAATGCAGAGGGAGAGAGAGATAGACGACTCGTTTAAGCACGAGAATAAAATTCATCATAACGAGCACACAAGTGGATTTATTGTGATTTGAAAGGAACGCAAAAAAAAAGTATTGTGATTTGAACCTAAAGGAAAACGCTCTGTGTGTTTAAGATCTTAGAAAAGCCTACTGAATAACAGAAATCTAAATTCTACCGGTATATCTACTTTTATCACCAGCGATACTTAATTCCTTTCCCTAAAATTCTGTTTTTTTTTATCTACCCTTTAAGCATGAAATGGCTTTTGCTCTCTTGTTAACCAAACAATCCAACCCACACTTTTTGAATCTTGCGTGTGCTATCCAACAAACAAACATCTCAGTTTTTCTAGGTACTTGGAAAATTCCAATATAGGTACAAATTTGCAAACTTTCTGCAATTTCATACAAATTGTAAAGCTTTCTCATCACTTCCAGCATATACTCAATTCCAGAAAATATATTTCACCTTTTTCTACGAAATCCACAATTGAGAATTTACACAATCTTCAACACGAACCTAGTTCATAGAAACTAAAAGAAACCTATTATCAGACACAAATCAAGCCAAAATATTTCCCGAAATCAAACGAATTATCCAGCAGAGAGAGAGATGTAACAGGGACTAGAAACATACTCCCTGTAGCAGTTTCCTGAGCTTCACAGATGACGCCTCGTCGTAATCGAGAAACCTTAGAATTCTTCGAGACCGAGGATAAAGAGACGCGAGTCCTCAATCCTCCCGATTCCGGTAACACAGAGAACATCTGTCGAGTAGAGAGTGAAACGGTCGTTGAGGATGCGATCCTCATCTCTGACCGGAGAGAAATCGGCGGACGACAAGTACACGTGAAAGCAGCCATTGTAGAGAGAAACCAAGTAACACACGATAGATTCGATTCCTGAGTCCCAGATGTAATGATATCCAGAAAAATTAAGAGGAAGATAAAAGGCGAAAATATCTTTAAGGATATCGAAAATGGGAGATCGAAGGTGAAGACGACTGATTTTGATCAAATTACGATTAAGAGCTAATAGTATTGTATATGGGCCTTATTATATGCATCTCAAAATAAATAAATAAAGCTCTAAGCCCATTGGGCCTTAGTTTTGTTAAACCACAACTCCTTTCGTTTGGTTTTTTTGGGCAAATTACATGTCGTTTCAAATGACTCATTTCACTTGCAAAACAAACAAGGACTCAAATTCTCAAATGGGCCTTACTTTGATTGAAGTCCATTTATATTACCCGTTTTTTAAAAAATTAAAATATTACACCTAGAGTGAATACGATGCGTTATTTCGCCGGAGCCTCCGCACTCAATTTCTCTCCATCTCTACTGCTTCAGTGCAGTATCCGCCGCCGTAAACTCGAAGCTATTGGCCGGAGATTGGTTATGACTTCCGTGAACTCGCAATCTCGGTCGAGAGAATCCGGCGGATGTGACGACGGCATCATCACGGTAGAGGAGTGGCGGAGATGGGGACCGGTGTCTCCATTTCCATCCGCGGTCAAACAGATTGTGGATGATTTGAAGGTTCTCGAGTGTAAATTGGATGCACAGATAGAGTTCGGAGGAAATGGTGGCAAGTTACAGGTAAATAGCGATGATAATGATGATGAAACCTCAGTTGCTTGTTTCCTTGGAATCGTTTATGCTTTGAATTGTTTTGTGCTTATAGCTTGGTCCCCAAATTTTCTGGGGTTCGTCACTAATTTTGAGAAATGAGAGTTTCTGATTCGGTAATTTTGTGTTCATAATAGCAAGTTAAGCATCTATAATGACTGCTCGTAAATCCTAAAAATGTGAATTGTGAGGATACATTTACAAAGGCTATTGCTCCTGAAATTCGTTTTCGCTCGCCTTAAATTGTATTTTCTCGTCTTTTGCTGTCCTTTTTTTTTCTGTGGTCCTTGTCAAGCTCTATGAGTATAGATGACTCTTCTTGTGAAAGTACATGTGGTTTCTCCCTCATTCTATGATTGAGGCCATAATACTTCCTACTTCTATGGAACTATCACAGGGAACTTTTGGTGATTATGAAGATAAGAAACATAGGGCTACATATGAAGCATTAGATGACCCAGAGAAAAAGTTCCGCTTTTTCGCTGCTCGACAAATTGCTTGTCGGCTGCTTGGGAGCAGGGGTTATTTATGCCAGAAGGTACTTCATTATTGAATCGCTGAGTTGCGTAGTGATTCCATGACTAAGAACTCAATTTCCTGAGTTAATACCAATCTTCGTTATTTGCAGTGTTGGCTTGCTATGGAGGATTGCATGTGTTCGAATGTCAAGCCATGTGGTCTATGGAAAAGGATACGTTTTTGGCTGTATATGCATCCTAGGGTTAGTATTGCACCCGCCAGTCTCGGCCTTTTCAATTTGATTCCTATGTATTGACATGCTGTTTAGCTGGTTGACAGGATTTTCTACGCCAGAACAACACAGGGAAGTTATTGTGGCAAATATTTGGCCCCCAATCCGCAACACTCTGCATCTTTGGAATAGCTGAAGACGAAGAGATCATGTGGAATGAATTTGAGCGTGCAGGTGTTTGATTCGCCTTGTCTTAGATCCCTGCAAGTTCAGATGCATTTATTTAATCTCTTAAAATGAAGTCACTCGAAATTTCTATTGGTTTTGCTAAAAAGCCTTGCCTTTTTGTTCTAATGGATGCTCAGGAAAAAGCCAAGTCTGTTGCCTCTATCCCAACCAGAACTCGGAACTCACGTTGTCGGTTGAAAACGCTTTTGCGAATTCAACTTCAAAGAATCCTGGATCATCCATGGTAATGATTGCAACATTATGGCTATAGTTTTTCTGTTTTATGCTTATGTTAAACATTAAAGTTCTTAGATTAGGTTGTACAAAGATTTAGAATGAAATGTCTTTGATAGTTGCACTTTCTATTTCCCAGTCAGATGAGGATAAAACATTGCATTTCATTTTGCTTGATGGCACCTGGAACAATTCAGCTGCAATGCTCAAGCGTCTGAAGGTATAGGCTTTGCAGTTGACCATATCTCACATGGATTTCATTTTGTCCTTTTTCTAAATGACTTGATTAACACAAAAGATGCTTATACTTAGGATCATGCAAAGTCAGTATGGGGAGACGAAGATCTTCCTTGCATATCTCTTGCAACAGGTGCATCAGCAATGCACAAACTCCGGTAACAATATTCTCAAATCTCTGTATTACTCATGTTCCAGGTCCAAAAAAGTCTCTGTGCGATCAAGTGATCTCCTTTTACATTTGATCTTTGACACTACAGGCCACAACCATCATGGGACCGGACTTGCACGGCAGCTGCAGCAATTGGACTCCTATCTGAGCTGAGCCTTCTCCCACAGTTTAGCAGCTACGGGTTAGACAAACAAGCGGACGCAATCGACGAAGCTTTGGTCATACTACTGGACTCACTAACCGGACGGCGCTTAAGAATGGGCAGGTCCATAACTCGAAAAGTGAGAAACACCATCAGCATTCGCTAACAACACAACCAGTCGGGACACATAATAGGTACTCTTTAAAACTATCGAATCGTTGATGGATCATGAAGCAGAGAGATAGATTTCTTGGTGAGATTTTAATTACATCAGATACAAAGATCATCATGCCTAGGGTCAAGGGAGTTCTGATGGTTGACGCAAACACAGAAAGTTTTGTTCCCTAACCTTTTGAACCGGTTTCTGTAATTGGAATTTTATATAATGTAGCCTCGCAAGTTTTAGACTACAAACTTAAGTGTAAGAGTGGTTACAGCCAAAACCCACATAAGTTAGGACAACACCTCACTTCAAATTTCAAAACAAACATTTTGCTGTATTTTGATGTCATCAAATGAAGAATTATTCTTTAAAAAAAAAATATGAAATTTGAGTTTTCTAAGCTATCAATTTCGAAATACGATTAATCTACACTAACGAAGAATGTTCGCTTTAAAAATGTCCACATGTGTTCATAAAAAGATTAATATTCTCAAACAAAAAATAAAATCTTGCATGACCGGTGGAGACAGTTGAAAAAGACGCAACCAACCCAACCAACACTTCAATACCATATCCATTTTACTTTGGTTTATATATCGTGACTTTTGTTTTCTAACATTGTCCGCTCCATAGTGAAATTTCAGACTTAACTCTCTAGAGATCTCCCCCCCCCCCCCCCCCCCCCAAAAAAAAAACACTAAATTGGTGATGAAGTTGACACAGAGATTGGGCGGATTGGTACTGCGATTCGCAGCATTCTGCGCCGCATTAGGAGCGGTTATCGCAATGATCACCAGCCGTGAAAGATCTTCCTTCTTTGTCCTCTCCCTAGTGGCTAAGTATAGTGATTTGGCAGCGTTTAAGTATGTTTTAGTGTTCTTTTTGCTATTATAATTAGGTCCGTATATTATATTTATCAGCATCGTTCTCGTAATGATATGTTATTCACTGATGTGTGTGTTATGGCAGGTACTTCGTGATCGCAAACGCGATCGTGACCGTCTATAGCTTTCTCGTTTTGTTTCTTCCAAAAGAGAGTTTGCTGTGGAAGTTCGTAGTTGTCTTGGACTTGGTAATTAATTATACTACTATGATTATTTATTTTCTTAGCAAATGCTGGAAAAAACAAGAACAACTGCTGATAATATACGGACCTGGAAATATATGCATTGTTTATGTCTAATGTTCTCATTGATTACTTATATTTGGTAAATGTGAAATCAACCGTGAAGATGGTGACGATGTTGTTGACGTCAAGCTTATCAGCGGCGGTGGCGGTAGCCCAAGTAGGGAAGAGAGGAAACGCAAACGCAGGATGGTTGCCAATTTGCGGTCAAGTGCCGAGATTCTGCGATCAGATAACCGGAGCTTTAATAGCCGGTTTAGTTGCGTTGGTTCTCTACGTCTTCTTGCTCATCTTCTCTATCCACTCCGTTGTGGACCCATTTCTTCTTCGAAAATCTTGAATCAAATAATATAAATTCCAAAATCGAATGCTCTCGTATAAACATATATATATTTTTTTAACATATATAAACATATATATATATATAGTTTTGTAGTTTTGATTCTTTTTCAAAATTTCTTGGATTTTCTGGATCAGATTCGTTTATTATTGGTTGCTTTTGGATTTGGTTTATTTTATTTTTGGTTTTCATTTCTTATAATTTATTTAAAAAATAAAAAATAAAAAATCATTGGGATGTCAGTGGAATAAAGTATATAAATATATATATATATATACAGAATAATAAAACAAATTCTATTTTATGCGTATTCAAATATCAAAATATCAGACTCAAATTCGACATATCCGGTTTGATCTTGGTATGTAAAAAAGGGAAAGCTACATGTTGGGAAAGGGAAAATACATATCTTTCCCACCCGATCAAATATATTATTTGTATGTGTGTCGTCTAATTGTAGTAAAATCGAAATTGTCAAAGTGTATTCTAGGATTTATCCGATATTAATATAGTTGTAGTAATATTATCTATATGTGTATCGTCTAGTTGTAGTAAAATAAAATAAATGATGGCATGTATGTAGATATTACGACCGTAGAGGTGCTTAGGTTCAAAGTTTATAGATTGGTTGTGAGACTATTTGACAACTTTAAAAATAAAAAGTAAAAATAAAAAACAAAACAATGATTAAAGTGTTTAAGCTTAGAGGATATACAAATCCAATTACTATGACTCATTTGATAAAGAGATTACAATGAAATAAAGGATGAAAAATATTACTCCAATATTAATCACATAAATTGGTAAAGATGCGCAACATTGTTATGCTCTATTTCTGCACAACATAGGATGTATCCAGTTTCAAGGACTAAATTATGGTGTGAAAATGTTTTATAGTTTTGTCTTTTACCATATTGACTGAGATTTTAGATGGTACATAAAGTAAACACTCTTAAATGAAAAAAATAAAAATAAAAGTGAATGTGTAAACCCAAAAATGAGCAGTAAAAACAAAAACAAACTCTAAATTTGTTTTTGGTGTAAATCTTGGATAGGGAAATGAAAACTGAAAAATCCCTTTAGGTTTGGTTTTCATCCGAAAATTAAAAACCCTAAACACTTCAACCTCACATCTTCTAGATGGTGTATAAAGTAAACACTCTTAAATGAAAGAAAAAAAAGTGAGTATGTAAACCCAAGAATGAGCAATAAAAGCAAAAAACTTTCTTCCTCTTGTTCGTTGAAGTCTTGAAGATCTTCAGACTCGAAACTGTTTCTTTCTAGGATTACAAATAAAGAAAATACGGAGTTTTTGTTTCTTTGTGTGTCTGTATATTTTGTATTAGGCTATAGAAAAAAAAAAAATTGGCCCCATATTTTCTTATTAATTTTTTGCCATTACTTTAAAATTTGGTAAAATGAAGAAAGAAAAACGACTTTGGCATTGTTTAGTAAAAAAATTGGGCTCCATAGTTTAAAATATTTTAAAAAGTCTTAAAGTCTTCTTTTTTTTAGACTTACAGAAAAAAATAATAGGACGATTTTTGAGGAAAAACAAAATTAAACATTAGAAAAAACAAAATTAAACATTTAGAGGGGACAGAAAAAAAAACATTTAGAGTGAAGGTTGGAAAAAATACAAAAGACATGTTCTGAAATTTTTTTATAAGTAAACATTTTCAAGAAATATATAAAGTAACACACAATTTATGGTGTAAAAAAAAAACTGATTAGGCTGGAACTTTTTGCTTACTAATTTGTATCAGTTGGATTAACTTGCTTTGACTCAAATTGTTTTTTTTTTAAGGATAAGTCTCTTCATTTGATGACGTCGTAGAAGGAGCAAAATTGTTTTGTTTTGAAGCACGGCGTTGTCCTAATTTATGTGTTCCCTCTGGAATTTGTCTGTATTTAATGTTTAATGAATCTATAGTACTTTTTTTTGTCGGAATTAATCTACAGTACATTATATAAAATCGAGTACCAACGGAATGTCCGGCAAATATTTTATTGGTCTTCTGTCAAGGACTAATATTTATTTATTTTTCATTTTAGCTAGAAATTTGTATGGTATGGGCCTAAATGATTCGTAGGCCCAAAAAATTTGGATTTTTGAGTTATGGGCTTAGAGTTTCATTTCATTATTTATTTAAGGATCTGACACTTGCTATTTTGTACAAGGAACAAAATTGGCTAGAAATTCGTCAAATATACTGCATAAGATGAGAAAATCTTGGCAAACAAAAAAAAGATGAGAAAATCTTGGCAAAAAAAGATGAGAAAATAATTCAAGGAGTCCACTAGCAATCAGGATAGTTCAAGTGTGTTTACAATTTTTCATGAGTTAATATATTCTGAAAATTAGTAATAAATTCATCATTAAAAAAAAAACAGTGAGGACATATATCAAAAGAAATCATATGAACTACTGGTTAAACTTATCAAATCATATCTAGTATCCAAAACTTGATATAGGCATGAATTTTTGAATGTTTTGTTCATCTTTGTTAAGTATTGTTGGTTCGGTTAATCCAACAAATAAAAAACTGAATTCGAATTAAATTTATTTTTCTCTGTCGTCCTGATTTCGTTTGTTGGGTACGATACGACGAGTACGGTTTAACCATGAACCTAGCAAGTAACAATTGATAGCAAAGATTACATCAAAAGTTTTAAATTTAACAATTTGACAAGATTTCATTTCAAGAACAGAATATCGATAAGGATTCGTGAACATCTCCGCTATCTGATCATTAAAAAAATGTACATATACTACATGGCTACATTAGCAAGAGGTTAACACAACATTTCAAAAGAGACAACATTAGATTGATTGGTAACCTCCAAACGGTTGAATTCCCACCGTTCTGGTGAAAAGGTCGCAGTTCAGTTCCAAACTTCCTATCAGCCTTAGACTGAACAAAAGAAAAAGAATTTAAAAATCAGGTTAAAAGTTTACATTTCTTTTAACTGTTTGTTTCAAATAAATAAATAAATAAAATGTTGTCAGTCATCGTTTCTGTGCAGCCACCTACTCGCAAAGATCAGTTTGAAAGAACAAATTGTTTGGTGATTTTATTTGTTTTCCAGCAAATATACTAGTTTATATATTAAAAAATAGAATATTATAAAAAAGTTTGTCTAACGTGTAGGACAGTATTCAGAGCACAAACTTTTTGATTCGATGATACGATATACTACTTTACCGAGCTTCTTAATGGCACTCTGTATAAGAAAAAAATCATAATAATATAAAAATAACGGCATTTATGTAAATAGTACGAGTATAGAGGCGCCTAGAGTTCACGGTTAGGGCTAGGTCTCATGATGTTTCATTACAGATAGCTTTTGTTTTGTCTCTGAATGTGTGTATTGTACCATAAAGAAATAAAGACGTTGGCGTGTAAAATACTCCGATCTAAAACAAAATATATGTTAACAAAAAAAGACAACTATTTCATATTAAGAAAAATAGATACGAGGGTAGTATTGTAAATATTCTTAAGGTGCTGAAGATATTCTTAATCGTCTTCTCCAACGTTAGGGTTTACTTGAAAAATTAAAAATGGCTACCAAATCCGGTGAGGTCGATTCGGTTGAAGGAGCAAACACCAAGCCAGAGACGAGTAAACTCATGGAGTTATCGAATGAGTGCGGTTCTTTGAATCTGGAAAAGTCCGTGATTTCTGAGACGGCGAACGAAGACGTAGACGAGGAAGAAAACGAAGACGAGGATGAGGAGGATGACGAAGAGGAAGAAGATGACGAGGAAGAAGAAGAAGACGAAGAAGACGAAGAGGAGGAGGAAATCGAGGATAAGGACAGCTGCGGGAGCGATCAAGAATGGGATTATGATACTTCTGTTTGTCGATCAACATAATTTGTCGAATCGAAAAGAGTAAAATTTTTCTATCGACGTGTAGGACATCAGTATTCAAAGCACAACATAATGTAATATGATACATCTGTTTTTTAAATAAATAAATAAATATATATATAGACATTTTGTATTATAAATAACAATAATATAAACAATCGCTACATAATAGTACGAGTGTATAAGTGTCTAGGTTGAGGTTTAGGATTTGAACGAGAGTAGAGTTTGAAATTAAATGAAATTGTGAATTTACACCATTGTCATAAGAAAAAGCGCAACATGGTTTTTTCGATTTTTTTTTTTAATCAACTAATTAACACAATAGACACAGTCAAATCAACAGCTGTTAATTGGAAACAATTACTAAAACTCTTAAAAAGGAAAAAACGAGAAACTGAATACATGTGTTAACCTAAAGAATTATCCAATATCCAGTAGACATGACCCAGACTCATCATTTTCATTACCGCTTCTTTTGGGTGTCTGTGTACTTTAAAACGTTGGCGTGTAAAATACTCCACAACTTATTACCTCCAATCCAAAACAAAATATATATTTTAATTTTCTTGTATTTATAAAACAGAGTAATAAACGATATTAAAAAATATAATCAATTAAACGATAAAGGAAAAGTCGAGCGAGGTAAATAAGATGGCACTAGCGTAAATAGTAATGTTTTGTAGGGCTGTATATTATAGCATCAAGGATATTTGTTTTAAAAGCTGTCGTAAAGGGATTCAAGGGGTTTTCGACCCAGAAAACATAAGAAAAAAACAAAAAAGGTCTTCTAAAGGAAATCATGGCTCCTGAATCGCGAGACGTCGATTCGACGGAAGGAGAAAGCAACGATCTGGAGACGAGGAAATCGACGGAATCCATGGAAAGCACCGATTTGGAGACGACGAAATCGACGGAATCCATGGAAAGCACCGATTTGGAGACGACGAAATCGACGGAATCCATGGAAAGCACCGATCTGGAGACGAAAAAATCCATGGAAAGCACCGATCTGGAGACGACAAAATCGACGGAATCCATGGAGGAATCTACGGAGGAATGTCGGAGTGGGTACAAACGCAAGGCAGAGATGCCTGCGGATTCTGGTTCAAGCGAAGACGAGGATGAGATGAAGGAGGAAGACAGCTGCGAGAGTGACCAAGCATGGGGAGTTGATAGCTTCGATGATACAGAGTATGAACCCGATACTGAGGATGACGACGATGATTTTGAATGGAATCGATACTTGCGCCATGTTTACAACAGCCGGGTATTTATATATATAATTATGCTCTCTCTTTGTTCTTCCAAATTCTCAGCCTTTTCCTTTTGCCTAAAGATAAGATTTTTTTTTTGTTTTTTTTTTGTTTTCTCCCCTTTGGTGGTTTAGGGTTTTAAGGTGGATAGAGAAATCGTTCCTAGACGACCTTTTCAAGGATTCCGTCCTTTCAATTTCGATGCTCCGTTTCTGCCCAACATCGACGCACGCGAGTACATGGATAACATGGTGAAGCTGGCTCTTGATAAATACAACCAACAGAATGGAACCAATGTCACGTGTGACCATATCGTGAGGGTCGTGGTGAAATGGATCATTGGAGTCAAATCCTACATAACCTTCATGGCTAGGGAGTCTCCTCATGGGGATCTCATCGAGTATCAAGCAAAGACTCAGTGGAAAGTGTGGCAGAATCATGCTCATCCCATCCTCTGCAGACCTTCTCCTCCTATGAAACCTCTTCCAGAAAGATACTTATTCAATCCTCTCGAGAAACCCCAAGGTCTGTGATATTCTTTATATTTTCTCAGTTTTTTCTTTCTCTTCATACCTCAGCCTTAATTCTTGGATTTGATTTTGCGTTTCCATGAATTGTTTGCCCATTTCTATTAGGCTCTTTTTATTTAAATGTTGTATATCACACAAGTAGACGAGAGCTAATAATAATATGTGTGATTGAACAAGATAGTTGAATCCAGCTACTAGCTAATAATATGTATTGATGAGTGAGCCATTCTGTAGATGAAACATTGGATTTTCTTTTCTTTTCTTTCCTGTTCCAATTGCCAATAATGTGTATGTGTTTCTCTCTTCTCATTGCAGAGCGACGCTACTGAGCTTGCTGCTGCCAGGATTCAAGAAACCGAGTTAGAAAGCCAGTTCACATCCTATCATACAAGTCTTATTTATGACAATTGAACTTATGTTTATGTAAGCTTTTAATCTGTAAGACCTTCAATCTACTTGTTGGCACTTAGGTGTCCCGTGTATTATTAATAAATTTTATCTAGTTTCTTTTGATATTTCTGCCATTTCGTTGCTGGTAGCAAACAAAAAAAAAAAAGAAGAAAGATTTATGACTGGATAGGAATGGTTCTGGTTAGTAATCGTTACTTACTTGCCCAAGTATAATGTATTTTAAAAGGGTTTATTTTGGAAATCTACCAATATTTAATTAATAAGTAGAAGACAGCTCCAAGATTGATGCTCTTCGCCATCAAATTAACGATAAGATAAAAGTTTGGTTCATTCTGAAGATCATACAATAAGAGTTAGACTTGTGCAACAAAAAAGTAAACACTTGCAATCACCTAGATATCAACACAAGTTGTAACACAACGAAAGCAATGACTGATGAAAAAGCTCAGACAATCTAAAATATACTCCAATAACTGCATCCCAAAAATCTATAATGTGCAAGTTTTTGTTGCCAAATCATGATGATGATCCCGATCAAACTAATAGCTCGGATAAATAAGCACAAAACTCGACTTATCATCTATGATGATTCGTCCAAAACCCTCCACGCCCCAATTATCTTTTCCCCAGCTATTTTGAACCACAAAGAATAGCTTTCCTTCTGTTGTGTAGCCATAACCCACAATGATCATCATATGCCTGTCTAGTTCACCTTCTTCTCCTTCCACCGTGCTCCCTACGGTGTAGATACCCTTAATTTTGTAGAAAAAGAAAATTAGTGTTTGGTCATGCTATTGTTATATATGTTATGTAATTAAATCATCTACTAATTAACCTTTTTAATGCCATAGAATTCGGGACCGAGCTCAAAAGCTATCCCAACAGGCGATGCATCAACCTTGCTCCTAACGAAGTCGACACTAACATTTCGCATTGCTGTAAACTCCCACTTTTCCTTATTCCCAATGTCGCTTCCCGGCTAACAAACAAAACTTTTCCATATTGAACCAATATGTCGCAAAAAAAAAAAATTTAAAAATTGAACAAATGCGAGAACATAAAGTTTAATTCAACAATACCGTACCGTAGTTTTTCCTGACGATTTAACCTTGAGCAGTCCTTCTGATTTCATGTGCTTCAGAGCATCTTAAATATTGCTAAGAACCAACGATGATGATTTCTTCCCAGTTTTCTTTGTCTCGGTGGATTTCAAGTGTTGGACTAAATCCTGATGTGAAAACGTTTTGCAATTTTGCTCTTTACCATTTTGACTGAGGTTGTAGGCTGATTGGAGAAGACGAGCTAACACTATTGCCCAACATGTTTCTGCACAATAATTAAAAATTATTAGAATTACAGTGATACCCAAGATGGCAAGTTATTATGTATAAATCTCTCTCTTTTAATGTAAAGATAGGCTTAAAATATATATCTTTTACCGCCATACTGTTTGATGACTTCACAAACTATCCATGGAATTAACCTCCAATCTTTGGACAGTGTCGAACCATCTCCAAATTCCCAAAAGAAGAATATATCAAGAGAAAATATACAAAGTTACAAACAGATAACTTCAGAAAACCAACGAAAAAAAATTCCAGCTAAGAAAACTAAGAATCATAATTTATCTATAAAAGGTCGTAAAGACATGTATGCCATCTAAGTTATATATAAAACAATATTATAGATCCAACCCCTTTCTCATCCATTTGAGCCACCGGAGGATCAATGGGTCCTTTGGTCCGAACATCCTTAGCTTCCTTTTTAAGCTTATTAGGTATTTTTGATTTCTTAAGCTTACCACCTAATGAGGGATCAGCTTTTCCCATTTGCTGTAAGGAAAAAAAAGAAATCTTAGACTATGTACATTGAAAGTCCTTCATGTTTTTTACTTGGGTTGCTAATGAATATTTTTGGTTAAAATAATAAAAAAGAAGCTTAAAATATAAGGACTAACCCTTGTAGAAGGGTTTTAAGAGCTGATCCTTAGAAAATTCTTATAAAAAAATATTATAATAATCTTAAGCAACTCTCAATAAAGCCCTCTAATGTACATGCTCTTAGTCAGAGAGATGAGAAATCAATGAAATCATAAGGGAGAGAAATAAGTAGAGGAAGAGGTAGACGATAAAGAGTGAAGCTTTCTTTACAAATACATTGGGATTATGAGAAAAGCAAATGCAATTTTTTTGGTGGGCCCTAGTAATGATAACCTAGGCTGCAAATCATCTCCTGCGTTATGTATACTATGTTGTGCCCTGTAACTTGTTTTGTCGAACAACGTAGTGGAACCAAATTCATACAAAGATGATAAGGGTAATACAATATTTTTCACCAGACGTCAAAATTAATCCATTTTAGTGCATTTTAGTGATCGAAACGAATATGGATCTCTAGAATGAATGGCAGATTTTAAAATAACTTTTAAGAAAAATATTCTTATACTAGTTTTTTTTGTGTTAAATCTTTTAATCATTTTAAAATCAAATGATATAGTTGTTTAACGGGTTATAATAATTTTCATACACCACTTAGTTTCCTGACACGACTTTTGTAGCAAGATTTGAAATTTTATCGTATATATATGCTAATTATTTTGTAATGTACAAATGGGACATTAATTGTGGTCGCGAAATTCATATAAATAAATGAATGCAAATATAGAAATGTATGCTTTATAAAAAAGAATACAGGTTCATATATATGCATGTCTTTCCATTTTTGTGAAACCTACGGGTGACAAAAGTAAAACATTAATAAATAAATACAAAAACAGAAGAAACTGGACTGCATACGTGATAATCATATTTTTTTGTCGCTTCTATCTTATTTTATGTATACATGTATATATCATAATAAGAGACAATCAGACAACATTAGTAGTTTTTTTTTTTGGGTAAAACACTTGTAAATTTCATTACATGGTAAAAGCCACAGAGTTTTGTCTTGTCGAGCTTTAAACTTAAATTAGCTAACAAGAAATAAGTATATATTAATGTGATTTTAACTCACAGTTTTAATTTGAAAATTGAAGAAGACACCTTAAAATATATTAAATTAATAACGAGAATATGTATAAAGGCAACATTTTTTTGGGAAAACGAATCTCTTTTGCTCAGTTGGCAATAGGTTTTTGGTGTACCGTTTCTTTTTCTTGTCTGTGTAAGAAACAAATAACATTTATTTGTTCTGGTACGAAACATATAAAAAATAACACTTAATCAAGAGAAAGTATATCTAAAACCGGTGTAAAAGCATAAGGAACATAAATGTCTCTAATATATATATATATATATATATATATTTGGAGAGAGAGACAAAAAATTAGTGAGCGAAGTAAGAACCGTACGAACCTGAAATGGATAGAAAACATGGCTGAGGTGAATATCCCAATGAAGGGATGGGGAAAAAGTAGAAAGTTTTGTCAAAGGGACGATATTGCAAAAAGAGACACATGTTCTGCAAAATGTTGATAAATAAACCAGTTCCAATATATTTTTTTGTGTGGTCAAGTCCAGTCTCAAATATATATACCGCACAGTTTGTGTAGTACAACAACCAATCAGCTAATTAAACGTATATCAAAATTTCTTATGTTCGAAAAACAAACTTTTCCAAATCCTAACGTTTAGGCAATAATTTAATTCCGTTCGTAATAAGTTTATATAACCTCAAACATATGAAATAGAAAGAGTAATAGTCAGGAAAAAAAAATGGATCACTACTTTATAACTAGAGTTTTGCTTTTACTGCCACTCTCGGTTTGAAAACTGATCAGTCAAACCGCTTGCACTACGTGCCCTAACATTAGCCACTCGCTTCTTTTTTATGTTTTCTTATTATTATTATTTTTAGACAATTCCATTTCTTTACAAATCCCAAAGGAGCCAAAACCCTAGTTTCAGCGCGTGATTACATTAGCCTCGTACATTGGAATATTCACATGTTTCGAGCGCGTGGTTGCACTCGCCATAATATGCTTGTAATGTATTGCCTTTGGGAAACAAATTTCCATTGTTATAGGAACATTCCTGTGGGAGACTTTTTTTCCCCTCTTATAAAAAGATTTTGCAGTAATAAATTTAAAAAGATCAAATGTAGCCCATCATAATTACAAAAGGGCCCACAAAGAGATCTAAAACTTTACCTAAGAAATAATGGGCCACGAACCAACATACAGTATATTAATCAGATTTTATGGTATAGTTTTCGGTAGCCCACGATAGTTTATAGTGTTGTTAAACTAAACCAGTTGACAACCATCTTTCAAATTGACTTCCAGTTTGCATCAATAGGTGGAGTTTTAATGTCCCCATCCCAACTTGGTGGTCTTATGGTTCTGAGAGTCCTCTTTAACAAAAAAAAAAAAAAAGGTTCCGAGAGTCCATATGGATGTTTGCTAATTTTATCATACATTTTGAACATGGTGATATCACTACTTAAACACGATCTCGAACGGCTGATTCCCAGACATCATAAAAGATTATGGATAAAGGTTCGAGGGTTATAAAGAAAATATAAAACGAATTTTGAGACAGTTGGATTTGTTATATGACAAGACCACTTTATGGGCCCTTAATGAGCTTCATACTTCATGTATCCTAACGGAATAAATATGTTTTTACGATGTCGGTATGGTCTGGTCTGGTTTAAGTTTTGCACCATAAGCTTCTATAAATACGTCTCCATTTTTAGTACTATGTGCGGACAAATAAAACAGCAAGATTGTGCTCAGAAAGCTTCAAACAATACCTTCTTTTGCCTCCATAGACAAGATAATTATGGGCAACGAGCACGGAGATATAAGACTTGAGTTTAAAGACTATCGTCATAAATGATAATGTATTGGACTTCAAGTCCATCTCCTTTACGGCTTTACGTTATACAACTAAAATATAGTAGTTAGTAAAATGTATAGATATGAATTATGATATAGCTAAAAATGTAGTTTACAAAACTTGATATAAATGCGTAGTTGTTGAATGTTTTTTTCATCTTTGTTGCAAGTATAATTTGTTGGTTCGGTTTGGATATCTGTTACGGTTGATCCAACATAAATAAACACAAATCGAATTAAATTTAATTTTCTTTCTCCTCTTGATTTCGTTTGTTGGGTACGACGAGTACGGTTTAACCATGAGCCTAGCAAGTAACAATTGATAGCAAACAATTACATCGAAAGTTTTAAATTTAACAATTTGACAAGATTTCATTTCAGGAACAGAATATCGATAATGATTCATGAACATCTCCGTTATCTGATCATTTAAAAATGTACATATACATGGCTACATTAGCAAGAGGTTAACACAAGAAGCAAAAGACCAAAGTTTCTTCATATAATCGTCAGATTTCCAGGAATAAAAAAAACACCCCTAATCCGAAAAAAAAAATTCCCAAAACCAAAAAAAACCCTAAATCGAATCAAAGTCCTTTCTAATAAGAACAAAATAACCCAAAACAGCACAAATCGCAGCAACAGCATTGCCTTCTTTCAAAAGAACCTTGAACACAAATCCAAACACTTCTCTTGTGATCTTACGAGCTTCAACTACCAAATCTCTCCTCGATTTCCCAAAAAACGCAAGCAACACAACCACCGCAATCCAGATTACCATAACCGCCGGGACAGCAACCGCCGCCGCCGCAACCATCGACATCGCTCCGAAAACAGCTCCTAACACCACAGACGCGTAAACCGCCGGGATTCGAGACGGTGACTGCGATGACGTGTACTGGAGCTTGTACCAGCTAAGAACAGATCTCAGAAAGTTCCATGAGGAAGACAAGAGAATGGCGTAGACAGCGACAAAGAGGCAGACCCATGTCCGTCTCTTGCTCATGATTCGCATAAAGATGAGGTACGATCTTGGAGGAGATAACGAAGATGAATTCGATGTTCTCGGAGAATCTGCCGGATCGACCATTTGGATATCTGATTGAGATTTCTCGAAGAGGGATTTTTTTTTGTATTGGGTCGGAAATTGAAATCTCCGTGATTTGGGATTTGTCCGAAGCAAAAGAGAAAAAGAGGAAAGAAAGTCTTCAGATTTGGGGGAAACAGATTACAGTCCACGTGAGTCCCACTCTCATTTCGAAGCGAGTGTTGCACACTAGTCGGTTTTGAGGCTTGTAGTGGATAACACGCGCTTAAAATATCGTTTATTTATTTATTTATTTTTTTTCCCCGATAAACCAGACATGAAAATTGGAAACAAATGAACCATATACATGAAAACTGCGTGAGCTGAGAGAGCATTTAGTATCTAATTTCCATTACTGTCCCAAATTTAAATATACAAATAACTTCTAGTTTATACCATTTTTATAATTAATTTATCATTCCATAAGTGTGTTGAAGGCGTAATTAAGTAGATTCTGTTGGTTAAGTCGAATAGGAGAAAGTTAGGAACAAACAAACAAATACGATTTGTCTTTCTTTTTCAATATGCGTTTAGTCGCATAGGAGGAAGTTAGGAACAAACAAACAAGGGAATATGAAACTTCTTGACGTTTATTGATCTGGCTAGTTGTCCACTTGTCATTGCGTTTAGCCGTCAAATGAGATTCTCTTATTTATCTACACTTGTCATATAAGCTGAGAATCAATAATCATATACTCCCTCTGTTTCATGTTTCATTATAGTTGAATTTTTAGGTTTTTTTTCTTGTTTCATAATATTTGATTTCTTACATTTAATTAATGCAGATTTCTTCTTTAAGTTGAATGAATGATCAATTGCTTTACAAAACTTGTTACTCCTTTTACTTGTAAGCATTAATTAAAGAGAGGAGATGAAAAGCCTAGTAAAAACTAGAAACTACCTTCCATTATAAACCAATACTCCATTAGTTTTTTGGTTTACCGTATCTTTTCTGTTTTTTCTTAATTTTCTTTTTAAAAAAAAAACAAAAATGAAGCAAGAAGAAAGCATGGAAAGAAAAATAAAAGAGAAACATGAAGGTGGCTACTCAAGAGATGTTTACATGATCAAATCATACACCAACCAGGAATTGGATTTAAACAAGCCATGTAATGAAGAAGAAGAGCTTGAACCCAACAAAGAGATTGATGAAACTGTAATGGAGATGTTGAAGATTTACTGCCCAAATCTTATTAATTTAGTCTAATTTTCTAAATTTCTGTTGGTTTGTTTATCTTTTTTCTTTGTTTTTCTATGTACTTTTTCTTGTTTTCTTAGTAATGTATGTAAATAAGATGTAAACATATACAAAAGTATATTTCAAGTCATTGGATATATTTCAAATCACTAGAAGTAGAAAAAGAATAACATAAACATTAGAATAAAATAATCTCTCCTATGAAACAAAAAAATACCTGAATTATCCAATGAAATAAACTCTCTTGATGGACTTTCATTCAAATCAATAAAAAATTCTGTTTCATTACTTTCAGCTGGTAAATTTAAATCAAAGCTATGAAAAGCCATAAATAAGTTTAACTAACTGATGTTAATAATCTAAGTCAATATATATAGAAGAGCAATGGATCATTCTAAACTTTTGTTTTTGAGTAACGTAATGGTTTTGGCTCTAAAATTTTGTTTTGAGTTACTTAGTTGTTTTGGCTCTAAGTTTAATTTTTTCACAAAATATTCGATAGATTGTGATTTCATAATTAAGCAGTGGAATATGAAGAGACAACAAAATAAATCACCATACATAATATTAATGCACAGTTAGCAAAAGAAAAAGTAATAATAATAAAATTAATAACATTAGTTGTAAAAGTAACCTACTTAAAGAAAATAAACAGCTAATCATTGAGTATTTATAATTTTCTTAATCTGTGTGCAAATATTCAGAAAATCAACTATAATGAAACAGAGAAAGTACTATATATTGACACTCGATATGATTAGTGTTGGTAAGGCGTTTACTATTTGTGCGATTTACCGTCAAAAGACTCCCACTTCACCGCTAATCGCTCTCTCTTTTTTTTTTTTTTGGGTGTAAATCTCTCTTTTATCCTTCATTTTCTTCGTAATAGGTTTACCATTTGGATGATTGTTGGTAATTTATCGAAAACCGATGCTGTTCTTGGAAATCAACTCTCGATATTGATTCTAATTTTAATTTTTATTGATATTTACACTTTTCCTACGTGTTAAGAAGGAATAAAGCGGAGATTAGATATCAAACTATTCTTGAGGATGGCCAAGAGAGGAATCTAATAAATAATATTGATTGAGGAAGAGTCGATGATGTTTGAGCAAATGTAGATAAATAAATTATTTTCTCTCTAAAGACATCGCGCTGTCGTGTGAGCCAATTACTTGTACTGTATTTGCTTAATATTAGAGCACACTACGCAAACAAGCGTGTACATATGTATGTATTTGGCAACTTCATATTTTTCTATATATCTCAGTCAAACAATATCTTCCAATCACAACATTGACTTCATTGTTATAATATATTCTCAGTGTTGGATAAAGTTCCAATTCCAAGAACTTCATTATAAATTATAACGAGCTATTCAGATGACATGTGAATTTTTAGATGAATAATGTGTGAAATTTTGTGGTTAAACAAACGATATAGTACTGGGTAAACCAAACAAAATAAGTGGTCAACGCAGATAGTCTTGTCAGTGGGACTTAAATATTTTTTTTTTTTCGTTCTAAACTCAACTGATAATTTAAACTAGCACCTAAGTTGATTAAAACCATATTTCTATATCTAATTATATACTCCCTTCGTTTCACAAAGAGTGTCGTTCTGACATTTTTCACACAAATTAAAAAATAAGATAAAATGTCTCTTATATCCTTATTAATTTGCAGAAAATGACTCTTAAAATCATATTTATAATTAATTTTCTGAATTTATTAAGGTTAAAAATGGTATTTTATATTAAAAATTACATTGAAATTATAAAACGATATTCTTTTGAAACAAAAAAAGTGTCAAAACGACACTCTTTATGAAACGGAAAAAGTATTTAACATATAAGCACCAACTGACCAAGACATTTTTCTCTAATTAGGTTAAAAAAAATCCGACACTGTTATGGAATTTGATAACCACATTGGTGGATACTAAAATCTATAAGAGTTAAATATAGAATTTGGAGATCTATGTTATTATAATCCATAAAATTATTAACAAAAATCCAAAATCTTTAGTTCCAAGTTCCAACTCGTTCACAACTTTAACTCACAAATATTTCAAATAATTTAAAAGAAAAAACATTTAAAAAAAAAAAAGAATTCGAAAAGAGAAATGTATCTTTCGTTGACGAAGGGCGGCTGGGTTAGTTAGTTATTGACATTCAGCTATTAAATGTTTAAATTCAATAATACATTTCGTTGATGTGACTGAGTGTACGTATGCGTTTAATCAGTCAAATCTGTATCAACAAACACAAAAATCTCTCTTTTTCATACATTTTCTCTTCGCACCCTCTCTTGATTCCGTTCAACGCCTAGGCTAAAGTCAATCATCATCATCATCAGTTGCTTCTGATTGTTCCAGGTACTTAAATCCCATGTCCCCGTTTCTAAATTCCGGCGAAAGTCTTGAATTTTCCGGTTCGAATCACTCTGATCTCTGTTTATCTCTCCAGGGGATTTCGCAGTGTGTGTCTTAATCAGAAAAAATCACTCAGATCAGGGTTTTGTTGGTTTTCGTGAATTGGGTTTTACGCTGAGCCGTTGAAGTTGTGGCTGTGTGTGTTATCTTCATTAGAATCCAGTATTGTTGATCAGAGCGGATTGAAATTAGGATTTGCGTTTCAGAGAATTGGATTGTGAATTAAAGGTTTTTTTTTTTGCTATTGAGTGTTCGTGTAGATATTCATGTGTATAGATTCTTGTTTTAGAGCTTACGATGGGTTGCGTAAGTTCTAGGCATAGGCCTTTTAGGAGAAAGTCGACACTTAACGATTCATCGGATAAACGTTCCTCGCGGATTGATTCCTCGAGGATAGATGATTGGATCCAACCGGAAGGTGGGTTTGGTAGATCGAGTAGAAGAGGAGATGCTAAAGATAGGTTAATTGAATCCGAAATGTTTAGTTCCAGTAGGTTTTATGATCATCAGATTGGTAAGATACTGGAGAATCCTGAGATAGCTGATCATATGGATCGAGCTGTTCATGACCAGGAATCGAAAAGGGCCTCGAGTGTTGTTGTAAAACCAGATTTGGAGATTGATCCAAGTGTTATCAAACCGAAGCTAGATAGATGGAATAGCAGAGATTCCAAAGTTGGGCTGCTTGAATCCGAAAAGTTGAGTTCCAAAAGGTTGTCTGATCATCATCAGATTGAGAAGGAACCAGAGAATCATGAGAATGAAGATTCGGTTCAAGCTGTTCCTCAGGAAATGAGTAAGAATCCGAATGTTGTTGTTCCAAAGGACGCAGAGTTGAAGCAAGTATCATCAGGATGGCCGACTTGGCTAGTCTCTGTAGCTGCCGAGGCATTAGTGGATTGGGCTCCACGACGAGCAAGTACTTTCGAGAAACTGGAGAAAGTAAGTTTCTTTTGTTAACTCTCCTTTGGTTCAGATCCTAGTTTTTGTTTTAATAGAATCTGCTTTTTCATGGATGCAGATTGGCCAAGGAACATATAGCAGCGTCTACAGGGCTCGTGATCTTCTTCATAACAAGATTGTTGCGCTCAAAAAAGTCCGGTTTGATCTCAACGATATAGAAAGTGTCAAGTTTATGGCGAGAGAGATCATTGTAATGCGACGTCTTGACCATCCGAATGTCCTGAAATTAGAAGGATTGATCACTGCCCCTGTTTCATCGTCTCTCTACTTAGTTTTCGAGTACATGGATCATGATCTCTTAGGACTTTCTTCCCTACCCGGTGTCAAGTTTTCAGAGCCTCAGGTACTGCACACAAGTGCTTTGCTACCCTAACTTAGAAACTGTAGATTATTTTTCCGCGTCAAAATCCATCTCTTTGTATGTTTCTGCTGTATAGGTTAAATGTTACATGCGACAACTTCTAAGTGGGCTTGAACATTGTCACAGCCGCGGTGTTCTTCATCGGGATATAAAGGGCTCAAATCTACTGATTGACAGTAACGGAGTCTTGAAGATAGCAGATTTTGGGTTAGCTACATTTTTCGACCCTGCAAAAACTGGTCCATTGACTAGCCATGTTGTCACTCTTTGGTACCGACCACCAGAACTTTTGCTCGGAGCCTCTCATTACGGTGTTGGGGTTGATCTTTGGAGCACAGGTTGCATCTTAGGTGAATTGTATGCCGGTAAACCAATCCTACCTGGAAAAACTGAGGTACGCACATTCTTATAGATTTCATGCCCTCCAATTTCAGGTTGTGTCTTGTCTTGTTTGTTTCACCTAAAAGTGTGGCACATAATCTTTCCAGGTAGAACAGTTGCATAAAATATTCAAGCTATGCGGTTCACCAACAGAAAATTACTGGAGGAAACAGAAGTTACCATCTTCAGCTGGATTCAAGACCGCGATTCCTTATAGACGGAGATTATCAGAGATGTTTAAGGACTTTCCCGCGAGTGTTCTTTCGCTTTTAGAGACTTTGCTCTCCATAGATCCTGATCACCGGAGCTCTGCGAATTGTGCCCTTGAGAGTGAGGTAACTGGTTCTTGATGTATGTTTTACTCTGTTCTTGGTTTCAAGGAAGCCTCGTTACTCACATCACTCTGTTCTTTTTTTGCTTTTTATTTGCAGTACTTTAAAACCAAGCCGTTTGCTTGTGATCCATCTTATCTACCAAAATATCCTCCTAGTAAAGAGATTGATGCTAAATTGCGCGATGAAGCGAAAAGGCAACGACCCATGAGGGCGGAGAAACAAGAAAGGCAAGACTCTCACGCGAGAAGATCACACGAGAGAAAACTTGTCCCACCGATCAAAACAAATCACTCCCTATCAATGACAATGGAGGTAAGTAACTACAAAAGGTCCTAACTTTTAAGGTCGCAATGACAGCAATGGAGGTGTAACTGTAAAGGATAATACTCTCGTGGCAAATGCAGAAACCATACTTAGATCTGAAGAGCAGAAATGATACTTTCAAGTCGTTTAAGGAGGAGAGGAGTTCTCATGGCCCAATTCCTGATTATCTAAATACGCACACCAGAAACAATCAAACCGGTGGGAGAGTTTCACACTCGGGTCCGTTGATGAGCAACCGAAACATGGCTAAATCAACACTGCATGTGAAGGAGAATGCACCTCCTAGATACCCTCCTTCTAGAGTGAACCCGAAGATGTTAACGGGCTCGGTCTCCTCCAAAACATTATTAGATCAACCAGTCATGAATCGACGAGGAAGGGATCGAAGAGCATACAACAGAGCTGACACTATGGATAGTAGACACATGACAACACCAATTGACCCATCTTGGGTTAGTGAATGATCTCTGTTTTCTTTTTCTCCTGCTGCAGCAATTGGATTTTTTTACAAATAATGTTGTGTTTCTGTGTGTACAGTATAATCCTAGCGATAGCAAGATTTACATGTCGGGTCCATTGTTGGCTCAGCCAAGCAGAGTGGATCAGATGCTTGAAGAACATGACAGACAGCTTCAGGAATTTAGCAGACAAGCACAGAAGACACGAGAAGGCAAAACTGGCAAATGATAAAGCTAATCACGAAGAACAAAACGCTGAGCTTTTGTCTTTTAACTTCCAAACTACTGTAGAGCAGAAGAGTTGCTCAAAGGAAAAGGCAGAACCACTTGAGTCAGATGTCATATGAATCTGGTGATTCATGTATTTGGATTATACGATCTATTAATGGTCTTCATGGCTTAAGCCCCGATTGTTTGATTAGATTATTGTATTAATGAGTTGTCACTATAGTGTTTGATCTGTGTACATATGGAAATCTGTTCTTTATATAATTTATACAGATGTGATTGTTGCTATGGTAATGGTATAATGGTGATAATAAGATTAACCGACAATAATTACCAATTTTTACATTCTCCTAAATTCTGATTTAATCATCCACTTCTCTCAATAACTTGGGCAATTCAGTTTAATTATGTCGCAAAACCCAGCTCATACAAAAACGCTAAACATAAACATCAATTTTTTAAACGCTAAAAACAATAACACGTTGAGATGTAAAAAAAGAATTAACTGAAGATCAGAGTTCGAAGTCTTTCTCATACACAGCAGCTGTGTCAGAAGGTGTCCTAAGATTTATCTGATTTCTCATCATTTCTCCAGTATAAGTTGTTCAATTATTATCAAAACAAAATAAAACTGAATCAAAAACGTCGAACTTTTTCCATTAGATAAAAAAAAAATTCAAACCCGTGCATCAGGAAAACAAAAATACGAATTTTCAGGGGAAATTAAGAAAATCGTTTGAATCAGAAAGAACGTAGCGAGTTGAAATTTGTATTGATCATATGAATCAAAAGATCATCACCGATCTACAACTTTCATCACTTTCTCAAAAATAATAGAATTGATCAAGAACAAACAGAAAACATTGCAATCGAAAACATTAAAACAATTGATCGGCGACGAATATAAGATTGGCATCTTTGATCGGCGATATGGATTAGAAATCGAAATTGAAATATATATAGGAGATGAACTAGAAACCCTAAACCTAAAAGAATGTTAGGACACAAAAGTACAGTTTGAGCTTTGCTTAGATTCGGCCCATTTAGCAATGCCGTAGTTCGCGGGACCGGTTCCTATTTTATGTATGAGTTAATTTCCCATTTTGACTCATATTTTCTAATAATTTGAATAACAGCAAGTAAGTTTTTCAAATTTCTAAAAACTGTGACTTTCTTTCAATTTCTAGAGAGAAGCACGTCTTTTTCTCTCCCGCAACGCGATCGATAAGCGATGTCGTTGTTACACACTTTCAAAGAGACCTTGAAGCCATGTGGTACGCTCTCATCATCATTATCGTCATCGAGAATTTCATCGACCCAAGAATTGGAACAGCCGCCGACCAGAAAACCTCCCAAATCGTCTCTCTCGCAGCAGCTACTGCGTCTCGATGATTCATACTTCCTCTCCTTGAAGCACGAATCAAAAGCCGCAGAAACCCAGGTCGAAGATTCTAATTGTGGCGAAGATGATCACAAAAGAAATATCAAGTTTGAGGAAGAAGAAGATGAAGAAGATGAGAAACCGACTGAATTTGGGAGGCCCGGGTTAAGCCGGGCCGAATTTGACTATACCGGTCCTTATGAACCACTTGTGCTGTCTTCAATCGGAGAAATTCCGATCATACAGGTTATTTCCATACTGTCACATCTTTTTTCCGACCAAAGTCTTACCCTTTGCTCATGTCTTATAGAACCCAAGCGCTGATGTGTAATGATTCTTCTCGAAATATTTTGATCTTGCCTTGAGAATGTGTGGTTCATTGTGATTTGGTTTAGGTACCGGCTTCGATCAACTGTAGATTACTTGAGTATCAGCGAGAGGGCGTAAAGTTTTTGTATAATCTCTATAAAAACAACTATGGTGGCATTCTTGGCGATGACATGTGAGTTCTTTTTTCTTTTGTTCTTCAAAAATGTCACATTTTTATAAAAAAAACATGGATTTTCCTGTGACAGTAAGTCAGTAATTCCCCAATATAATTGTTTTTTTTTTTCACGCAATTGGCTCTGGTTAGTTTTCCTGAGAATGTTATTGTGTAGTACTATAGCTGTGATAATTTATGTTTGATGGAAATGGAACTCTGATAATCAGTTGTGTGACTCAGGGGATTAGGCAAGACGATTCAGACAATTGCATTTCTTGCGGGAGTGTATGGAAAAGACGGTGACTCTGGTGATACATCTATTTTAGAGTCTGAAAAGGGTCCTGTACTAATAATCTGTCCATCTTCGGTTATCCACAACTGGGAGAGTGAGTTTTCTAGATGGGCGAGTTTCTTCAAGGTTTCTGTGTACCACGGAGCAAATCGAGATATGATTCTGGAGAAACTCAATGCAGGGGGTGTTGAGGTACTCGTAACCAGCTTTGATACCTTTAGAATTCAAGGCCCTGTTTTGTCTGGGATTAATTGGGAGATAGTGATTGCTGATGAGGCACACCGGTTAAAGAATGAAAAGTCGAAACTTTATGAGGCATGCCTTGTGATCAAAACGAAGAAAAGGATTGGTCTGACTGGGACAGTTATGCAGAACAAGATGAGTGAGCTATTCAACCTTTTTGAGTGGGTAGCACCGGGATCACTAGGTACTCGTGAGCATTTCCGAGAGTTCTATGATGAACCGCTAAAGCAAGGGCAGAGAGCAACCGCTCCAGTAAGATTTGTTCAGATTGCAGATAAGAGGAAACAGCATTTGGTCAGTGTTCTTCGTAAGTATATGTTGAGGAGGACAAAGGAGGAAACCATAGGGCATCTGATGATGGGGAAAGAAGATAACGTAGTCTTCTGTCAAATGAGCGAAGTGCAGAAACGGGTGTACCAGAGAATGTTGCAACTCCCAGAAATTCAATGCCTTGTGAATAAGGACAATCCGTGTGCTTGTGGAAGCCCGCTTAAGCAATCACAATGCTGCAGAAGGATTGTTCCTGAGGGAACTATCTGGAGTTACCTTCATAGAGACAACCACGACGGTTGTGATTCTTGTCCTTTCTGCTTGGTGCTTCCATGCCTTCTGAAACTTCAGCAGATTAGCAATCATCTGGAGCTCATTAAACCGAACCCAAAAGATGAGCCAGAGAAACAGAAGAAGGACGCTGAGTTTGTATCTGCCGTGTTTGGGACGGACATTGATCTCGTTGGAGGTGTTTCCGCAAGCGAAAGCTTCATGGACCTTAGTGATGTTAAACATTGTGGGAAAATGAGAGCTTTAGAGAAGTTAATGGCTTCTTGGCTTTCAAAGGGTGATAAGATACTTCTCTTCAGTTACTCTGTCAGGTTAGTTTTTCAAATTTCATTTCGGGTTTAGATGAATGTAGGAGGAATACTTGTCGTTTACAGACTTTTTATCCACTGAATTACAGGATGCTGGACATACTGGAGAAGTTTCTGATTAGAAAAGGTTATAGTTTTGCAAGACTTGATGGTTCTACTCCGACTAATCTGCGACAGTCTCTTGTAGATGATTTCAATGCGAGTCCTAGCAAACAGGTTTCTAACCTAACCCTATTCGAAAGAGATCCGCTTTCTTCTTAGCTACATCTGATGTGCGACTTAAATGTGTTGCAGGTTTTTCTGATATCAACTAGAGCTGGTGGGTTGGGACTAAACCTAGTGAGTGCGAACCGTGTGGTTATATTTGATCCAAATTGGAACCCGTCTCATGACTTGCAAGCACAAGATAGGTCATTTCGGTATGGACAGAAACGTCATGTGGTGGTTTTTCGTTTGTTGGCTGCTGGTTCCCTTGAGGAACTAGTTTATACAAGACAAGTATACAAACAACAGCTTTCGAACATTGCAGTTGCCGGGAAAATGGAGACGAGGTACTTTGAAGGCGTCCAGGTAACATATAAACAAACAATCTTAATCTGTTAGTTTCATCGAAGAGTCTGTTTTCTCTTCTAATGTTTTTGTACGTCTTATGATCAGGACTGTAAAGAGTTTCAAGGCGAGCTATTCGGGATTTCAAATCTTTTCCGTGATCTCTCTGATAAGCTCTTCACTAGCGAGATTGTTGAGTCGCATAAGGATAGTAACATTCATGAGATTTCAGAAGCTGAAGAAGATGAAGAGGTCTTTTGCTTTTCGAAACCCGAAATAGAGGAACCTACTCTTAGAGACTTGGGTAAGAATAAGACTGATTCTGTGCTAACTCTTCTTATACATATAGAGATAATTTATGATTAGTCTTATAAATCTTTGCTCGGACTTGTTTTTGGACTATGAATAGGCATTGTGTATGCACATCGAAATGAAGACATCATCAACGGTGGAGGGACAACAACATCAACATCAACATCAACATCTCAGAGGTTAAATGGAGACGGTAACAGCAGTGAGAACTTACAGTGTGTGGAACGAAGGAAGAAGAAGATAAAAAGCTGTAGCGAAGAGAAGGATATGTTTTTCTCAAACAGGGAACAAAAAAGAGAGAAGTATAAGATGTTAGCGGCGTTTAAAGGCATGGCGATATTAGAGTTTAGTAGATGGATATTGTCAGCTTCTCCATTTGACAGAGAGATGCTACTTCAAGACTTTTTAGAAAGAGTCAATTAACAATACCAGATTTCTTGATGTAGATTTGGCTAGTCAATTGTATATAGATAAGCTTACAAGATGCACACATTTGTTCTTACTTCTTACATATCAGAAGGAAACCAACAAAATTGTACATAGAGCTGACTGGCTACCTTCTCTGTGCCATGAATCTTGAAACTGGTTTTGATGGTTGAGACCCTGAAGACTGCTTACATATAAAAAAAACAAACAAAAAGATGCAATAAGAATCGTGGTTCCTGCATTGGGAGTGTTGTGTTGTTTGAGTGGTAGAAAAGTACCTGCATTTGGCGGTGTGTGTTGGTTTGTAGATTATGGTCATGCTCTACGATCAATCCAGTAAAAGCCTGCACGATTTGGTTCAAATACATAACGAGCTTAAAGGACAATCAGATCTACCTGAACAACTATAACACTAAGAAATGCTTGAGCGGAAAATATATTTAACCTTGTTAGTCTCAGACTTTGGCTCCGGTTTCTGTATAGGTGACTGCACCAAAAACAAAATTGACATGATGATTTGTGAGATGTTTGTTAAAGGTTAAGTTTTGTTGTAGAAAGATGAGCATTATGCAGGGCCGCATTAGTTTGATTTCGAATGCACAGGTGATCTAACTGGATTCCAAGTATAGCTTATAGTATAAGATCCAAATACCTCAATCTTTTGTTGACCTACAACATTGGTCTTTGGCTTTGCTCTGGAAACAGCGGAGGTCGCTTGAAAGTCTCTCCATGTTCCAGCGTTTTGCTGGGGAATTCCGCCACGTGTTTGATCTTCTAGTAATAAACGAAAATAGATGTTGGTTAGAGAATGTTTTCAAGAAGATGATTCAACCTGTAATATTAATTTGACAATGAAGTTTACTTTTCTGATATCTCAAATGCTTTAGATAAAAAAAAACTAACCTTTGGGGAGATATTGTGTCTTTGGTCCGATACACTGCTGTAATACAACAACAGGCAACATCTGAGAAAAAGCTGTAAAACGCTAATGAAAGAAGAGAAGAAGATCACAATTAAAGGTTTTTTCTTACATTCAATAGATCATCTATGTCTTTGTATGGCTGTTTCTCAGGTAACACTTCAATAACTTTGCCTTTGCTTCTTGGCTGGATTAACACTTAATGTAAGTAAACATTGGCAAAAAAAACGATTAACTTATAAACATGAATACAAATGTGAAATTTCTATGGAAGGTTACCTCTGAATATCTCGGTTCGCGAATGGAAGAGCTATGGCCCGAGGCTTTCTTAGGAACAGATACGCCAGTTTCTTGTTCCATGAACTTATTGTGGTCTGTCTCACCTCTAATTCCTTTTACCATATCGTGCTCGCTCTCCTCCTCGATTTCTATTGGAGAATCATGTTTTTCATCTCTATCGTCCCCATCTTCACCCTCCTGCTCCTCTTCCATTTCAAGTTCATTCAACCTGGACATGATTCGTGCAAATTCATCGTCTTCAACTTCACCGACTGCAGTCTCTCCTCCTGGAAGATCAGAAGGCTCTTTTGCACCTGACTGAAGCACAGTAGGAGAAGAATCTTCTTCTACATAGTCTTCTCTTATCTCAATAAGTCCTTCCTATTAAAAAACGAAAAGACGGTTTAAGATGCATATAAAGATAAGGCACACAGAATGAACACATTAACCACTCTACCGCTGCTTCTGAAGCAGTCGCAGTGAAGAATGAAGCCTCCGTTTGAAAATCTTCAATTTCAGCTTTCAGAGAACGAATTTGAGACTGTAAAGTCTTGTCTCTTCTACTCAGAACGCCAATGGTTTGTTTCGATGTTCTATCAGCATAATAATTCTCTCCCAGCAACACCTATTTGAATCACAAAAAGAATCCTTTGCTTGAGATTAAATTAATGAAAAAATTTACACTAGCCTCTATGTGTTACTGGATAAAATCATCATGAATACCTACCTTAAACTCGTTGGTGTGGATCAATCGACCTGGGAAAAATGCCAATTTACCTAATGGAACCTGTGAGAGCAAAGCAGAAGCCACCGAACAAAGCATCAGACGCATATAATATTGAAAAGGGAACGAATTTAGAATTATTGAATGGATGAAAACTCGCCATAACGTTGTGATGGAGCTGATCGGGGAGCTTCGCGACGAGATTGATGAGATTGGCGTTTTCATCGACGAATTGTTGAAGACGATTCATCGCTTCTCGCTTCTCTCCGATTTTCTCCTCCACGTAAATTGCTGCTTTCCGTGCCTCCTCTTCTGAGAACAACGATGCTATTGGCGTCACTGTTCCTTTCGTCGGCGGCTCCATTCCGGCAAGGGTTTAAGCACGACGGTTGCAGGAATAAAAAAAAAGAACAGAAGAAAAAATCGAGAGGGAAGCGAAAACGATTTTACATTAAAAGGCTCTAACTTATAGTGAACTTGATGGGCCGATTTATTATGGCCCAATTTGTAAAATATGATGTTTTCCGAAAATAAAGATTCTCCAGTGTAATAAAACTGTAGGTAGTAGATTCATCACCGTATGTAAAATTGTGATCTGCCACCAGTGTTTAATTTGTAGGCTACCCAAACTGACAAATGTTAAAGTCTAATAATTTTGATTTCTTCTTTACTAATCTTGATTATTTAAGAATTATGAAGCATAATATGTTATTACAACACACATATGTCACATACTCACATGTAATGATGCAAATGGGTTGGCAAGTAGAGGCTTAAGCACACACGAGAAGAAGGTCGACATGTGCGACGTTTTAATTCATTACTCCTTTGGATCCAAATCCGTTTTATTCCATAGCTTTGCAACCTCGCTATCAAAAATTGTATCATCATCATATATATATTTGACGATAATGCATCATTTATTACAACGCTAAATCATTTTTGTAAAATTAAAGCAAAGATAGCGTAACAAAAAAGTACATAATTTCGCTGCCTTTTACTAATTATAAGTAAGCTTTAATAACTTACCACCCAAAATAACACTAATTAAAATAAATTTTTAACTTATAGAAACTATTATTTTAATAGATTAGATGGATTTATAAATAAATGTGTAAAAAATTGCCTTTGAATAATAATAGCCACATCAAAACAGTTTACAAATTTATTAGTTTAGAAATATATGTAAAAAGTATGCTTTGGTCAAATGAAAAAAGAAAGTGAATAAGAGGAAAAACGAAATCCAAAATCAGTAAGTGATTGATTAGGAGGAACAAAGAAAGAGGTTGGGCTGAAGAATTTTACGATATTTTAGTCTAACCAAAAAAAAAAAGAAAATTATTAATCAATAAAAAAAGGTAAAGAAATTTCTCTCCGTTTTCTTCGTCCGCCTTCATTCTTCTTTCTCTCTCCATCGGCACCGAACCAAAACAAAGAAGGCAGAAGAAAACCCATCAAAGAGCGACGTAGATATATATATATATATATAGAGAGAGAGAGGTTCTAAGTTTTTTTTGTTATCTTTTTGTTTCTCTCTGTTCCGTGAAGCAGAGATCACTGTATCACCAATCAAACAATGCCTGCTTTGAAGAGCTTTTCCGCCGCCGAGGAAGAAGACGACCAACTGTGTCCGAACCCAGAAGCCGACCGATATAAGTCGGAAGCTGAGGAGGAGGAAGAAGAAGATCCGGACCAAATGGATGAGAAGGACGAAGATGATAACGAAGGTGGGGATGAGGAAGTCGAAGATGACGTGACACGTGACGAAGAGGAAGAAGAAGAAGTAGAAGCAGAGGATGAGGAAGCGTTAGATGAAGAAGGTAAGGATTTCGTTTCTACTTGCTTATACTCGTGGATACTTGTGTGGGATGTGGAATCAGTCAATGCTTGAATATCTAACGTGAAAGTGATCGAATTCTTTGATTGGTATCTTATTTTTTTTTCAGATTCTAAGGAAAGAAGTCAATCTTCTACATCAGAAGAGCTATCAGAATCAGAGTAATCATTCTCTTCCTTTGGCTGCTCGTTTCTCTGTTCCACATTCTTACCTCAGATTTGACTTTTCTGATTATCGGCTTCACTGTTCTGTTTGATGGGTTTGAAGCGGAATCAGTGCTCTCTGATGCCCTTAGTTTTACATTCTAGACATTCGTGTTTCGTTTCATTGATCTGATGCATTGTATGGTTCTTGCTTGCATGGTATAATTACTGTCGTGTTTTTTTTTTCTCAAACATCACAAATTTTATAGTTCAAGTGGGACTGTGCTTAGGTTTGATCTGTAGTAGGTGAGTATGAAGTTGTTAAGCTTCAAGCTTTCTGAGTATCTTTTAGCTTAACAGAAGTTTTTGACTGAGACTGACTTCTTACAGTAGGCAATGGTAGTTGATGATCGCTGAATTTCTTACAAAGTCTTGATTTTTTCTTGCAGATATATGGATATTGAGCTAGGGGATATCCGTAGGGACGTGCAGTGTCCGATATGTTTAGGTACTTACTCTTCTGCACATTTATATTTCAAAGCCAATCAGCTTTGATTGCTCTTGCCAACATATTATTGTGAGTGTTGACTATCTACGAGGAAAACCAGCTTCCAGCTACTTTCATCAACCAACATAAATGTGGACTTCGGTTTGATGAATCTGGCATTGAACAAGTTTGCAATAAATTGTTCTTGGATTGCCAGCTTTTCCCATGATCCTGAATAGATATTCACTCTGTATTTCGTTAGCTTTATGCTTTAATAAATTCGACTGATTCGAGCACTGGTTTTCATTTTCCAGGAATTATAAAGAAAACAAGGACTGTCATGGAATGTCTCCACCGGTTTTGCCGAGAGTGCATTGATAAGTCAATGAGATTGGGGTATACCTTCCAGTTACATATTTAGCATTATTTAGGGAGCCTATTGTAAAGCTTTGTTCTGGGTTTTATTAACTGGCAAATTCATTTTCAGGAACAATGAATGTCCTGCTTGCAGAAAACATTGTGCAAGCCGACGTTCTTTAAGAGACGACCCAAAATTTGATGCCTTTATTGCAGCTTTATTCAAAAATATTGATAGATTCGAGGAGGAGGTGAAGCTTCTACATTTTTCTTTTTCCCCTTAATCATCTTAGATTTTAGAGAGAAGCGTTGCTTATGAGAGGTTACTGTTGTCATATATGCTTTTCAATTTTGCTCAGGAGTTGGCTTGTCATGAAGATGAGTTGGCTCGTAGAAAGCAGGTCAGAAACCCGAGGCAATGCCTCTCATGTAACATAAGGCACTCACTCAAGTACATTTAATGCTTCTATTGCAATTTGTGATTTTACCCTTTTCAACTGATATCTATGTCTGTTTTGTAGATTCAAGTATCTATAGCCCAAGTATCCCAACGACAATCTGAGGCCCTTGTGAAAAGAAGGTCTTTTGGTAAAGATGCAGGGGTCTTACCGAGACCACAACGTATAGGTAGTGGCTCCAGAAGAAGAAGGAACTACAGAAACATGGAACAAAATACACCAGAAGCCGATGATGATGATGATGATAATAACAACAGAGGCAAAGATTCTTCTTCAGATGAGCCTTGTGCTGAAATACTGCTGAGAAAACGGAAAAGGCGCTCTACAACTCGTTCTACAGCTCACCCTTCTTCTTCATGTCAAAACAACAACGATATCTGCGCTAATAAGGGCACAGAGGAGGCCCATCATAGAGACAGCAGAGGAATATCACCTGGGCTTGTTTGGAACCCGGAAATACTTGCATGGGGAAGAGGCGGTACAAGGAGTAACACAAGGCAAGGGAATAATAACCAAGGAGCTAGTAGTAAGAGTGTTAGGAATGCTCGGTTGAATAGACTTGTGGAATATCTCGGTAGCTTAGAGAGTAACAGTGGCGAGGTAACAAAAGAAAATGCTTTTCCTTGACCGTGTTTTACAGATTATAGATTATAAAATGTCAGTGTTTGGTTTGTAAGAACTTAAATCTGCTCTGCAGTTGGATATTCATCTTAAGCTTATCTCGCTGGATACAAAATGTATACCAAACTTACCTCAGCCATATCTCTGTTGCCGACCCACTTTGCTAGTCAAACAGCTTCGCAAAGTGAGTTCTCAATGTCTTTCTTCCTATATGGTATTATAAGTTTGCAGTCTCCGTTTGTGGAGCTGGGAGTAAAAACAATTTTTTTTTTGCAATAACATGGATCTTGATACTTGTGTTATCTGAATGTTAAACAGTATGTTGCACTCCAGATGCAATTGAAGACTGAAGAGGTTGAATTGCTGGTATCTAAAGAAGATGATAGGGCAATTGAGGGTAAGACCTCATCGTCATCAACAGAGAGGCTGCAAAGTATTCAAGATGATGAAACCTTGGCAAAGCTAAGAGTTGATTGCATTTCAAGCCATGGATATTTGGTACGGTCACTATTACTAGTGTCTACTATTCATCTAATCTAGAAATCCCATCTCTCAACGTGATGCCTTCTGAAACTTTTCCTTGTTTGATTTCTTTCAGATGGTAGTGTGCCGGCAAAAGCAAATCGGGTAGAAGCATAGAAGGTGGAAGCAATTGATTCGAACAGTGTAATATATGAATGAATTCGCCTATGCTCTAGATTGTTTTCTGTTTTTTAGTTTTTAAAATAAATTATATAATCAAATTCTATTAGAATCATGAGACTCAAAATGAGTATCTTACAACTGCACATAGTCTTCTACATAGACTTTTTCTGAATTACTTATACAGAGACTTTACTGAAAACTAAGGAAATAAAATAACTACAAATCAATGGAGAATCAACATAGGCGATGATGAACGATGATGGGTCGATCGATCATCTTAATTGAGTATCTTTGATTGGTCAAAACATCTTGATTGAGTATATCAAACTATCTCATCTGACCAGCCGAAGCGCTACTAGCTGCAGACACTGTTGGTCGAGCAATAATTGTTCTTCTCTCGGTTCTTTTGATCACTCTAAGATTGGGTGATTTTGGTTTTGTGATCTCCTTGTTGGACCTGTGTGTGACATGAAGTTTTTAATCAATAATAGGTTACTAAAAAGAACGAAGATCAGTGCTTATGAATGGGAACTTACTTCTGTGGTAAGAAGGGTTTGTTGAAGTTAGGTACAGGTCTAGCATGAGGAACCATCGTCTTTCTCATTTGCTTCAGAAACCTCTCTTCCTCCACCTGACAAAAGTTTTATTATTACTACATTTGAGCAAAGTTTGTTAGACATGATTACAAGTTAAGCGTGCGTTTCCATACCATTTTCGCAGCTTCACTCTCTTCACGGTATCTCTTGTACTGATTCTCCTTCTCTTTAATCTGGTGTCAAATAGAATACTAATTTGTCAACTCAGAGGTTACGTAAGCACTTTTTATTATATGTTGAAATGATTGGGAAAACCTTACTTTCTGATCAAAGTCTGCTCGCTCAACAGCTCGATGCTCTACATGGAGGTTGAACTCCTGAATCTCTGTGAGGGGCTTTCGTACTTTTTCTGGAATCGGGATTGGATCCCTGTGTTCAAGCTATTGTGAGCTTTTTGAAAACGCTGATAAAAGTGTCTGCAGATTTTTTTTAAAAAAAGGCAAAAGGACAGATGTGGTCACTTACTCTTTTATAACTGGTTGTGCTTTGAAGAACCGCTTCTGGGCTTCTTCTCTCTCCATTCTCATCCTCTCTTCCATTTCTCTTCGCATTTCTTCTTCGTGCCTCACTAAACTCTCTAACTGGAACGGTTCGGGCTTTGTACATTGCTTAGGTTCTGGTTTTGGTGGTACCTGAGAGTTTAGAACACAACACGTAAGATTTCCATCCATCTCTTTTTTCGTAACTCAAAAACCAAAGCAAGGAAAGGAATTGCATACCACGGGATAGTCGGTTGTGAAAGGATATGGGTTTGCTTTTGGAACCCTGGCCCTTTCATCTCCTATCAGTTTCTGTGTGACTTCCATTACAAACCTTTTCTCTTTTTCAGCGCCTCGTTCCTGGATGCCACAAAGTAATTTTAAAAGAACGGTCAGTTAACATTAGTGGCTAGTCAAGTCACTTTTGACTTCAAAGAAGTTGTTCGTCGTATACATACTTCTGTCCTTAGATTGAAGGGGTTTGGAGCAGTGTTCCTTGGTAGAGGCTTTTCATGGCAAGATTCAGAGTGCAATGAGAGCTGAAAAGAAGAAGTTGTGTCAATGACGACGATATCCAGTGGAGCATAACTATAGATAAAGCAGGTTCTGATAGTTGAAATATACCTTGTCAAATATATCGAAGACTGAATTTGGTCGGGATATCCTCTCATCTGTCGCAAAGTGAAACTCTTGAGGTATGGTTATGTGCTTCTTGCTGTTGCAAAAGATGCCCATCTCTCCCTTACTCTCAAATATCTGGATTGGTTTATGTGATACCAAGTTAGATCAAGAGAGAGATAAATGAAGTAGATAGTAGTAACTACACCACTTGAGTAATACCTTCTTGTTCAAAGGTTTTGCTTTGAACTTTGGTGCCTTCTCGAGTTCCTCTTGCTCAAGTTCTGCAGTAGTTTTTGCTTTAGTAGGGCGAGCTCTTAGCATTGTTTGGAGCACAGGGCTCTTTGGCGCAGTAAGGTGAGGCCTCCAATCATCATGCTGCTTGCGAGGAAAACAGAGGCATATCAGATGGCATGAAACGAGCTAACCAAATGTTTATGCATATACAATCTGCGGGTAAAGATACATACCTGCTTAGACACTTCTGTTGAAGCTATTGACGATGTCTCTGCATGTTGGCCAGCCCTAGCCATTGTTTCAAGATGAAATTCCTGCAACGGCAAGACATGAGCCCCTTATAGATCAAATAACAGGTTCGTTTCTAAAGTGATGTTACTCTCTCCTGGGGTGTCTACCTGAAATTCTGGCAGATGTGGTGTGCTTCTTTGTGGCGCAGGCAAAGCTGGAGCTGCCAAAATCTGTATCAAATAAGAAAACGCATTGTTTTCGAATTTGATTTCTCTTTCTTAAGGCTAGATATATACCACAGTGTAACCAAATGCATTTACCTTCTTGTTCACAGGTCGAGCTTTAAACTTGGGAATCTTTGCCAACATCTCTTCCTCAAGCTCTGCACTGCTCTTTACTCTTAAAGGGCGAGCTCGTTGGGATGTCACAAATTCAGGCTCCTTCGGTCTTGTCAGTGTCAGCTTAGTTCGGTTCTGGAAAAGGAAACAGCAGCATCCTGAAAGTTAATTGAAGAGATTCCAAGAAAAGAATCAGAGAAACTATCAAGAGATAATTTATTTACCTGTGGAAGAGAAGTATTGGCATGAGGCAGTGACAAGTCTCGCGTGCTTGTTTGGAACTTTTTCATCAGTTCAGCAGTTGAAATGAAAGGTGTAATTTGCTCACGGACATAAACCTTAAGAGTGGACACAAGAGTTGAGAACCAGGGTCTGACAGAAAATTTATATAAGCATCCATGAAGCAGAACGCACCTTTCTGTTCTCCTTCTGAGTTTGCTTAGTAACTGAAGGCCATACGTTGAAACCGGTATTAACGAGACCTTGCCTTGTCTTGTGGATCAGAGTTGTTGGTTTTGGATTGAGAATCTAGATAAATCAATGATGAGGAAACAGTTTCAGTCATGCACTGAAATATGGAGGAAGCTTGCTGATATTGAATTTTTTTTGGCTCACCTGTCTTGATTTTCCATCGTCTAGCTTTTGTCTTTTGATGGCTTGATTTTCCTGAATCAGATTGGTTGTGGCAGCTATGTTTTTAACACTTGTTTCCCTGCAGTGAGGCATCAACACATAAGAAAACGATTATCAGAGGAACGTGCAACCGGATTTGTGTATTAGAATGGTTATTAAGTGTCAGCCACCTTTTAACACTTTTCTGATGAGTTCCTTTCGATTGAGACGACTGTGACTGGTGTTTTGGCCTAAGTGCAGATGGATTCCTCAGCAGGCTAGCTATCTTTCTAGCAGTTTGCTGTTTCTTAAGGTCCATTGACTTTCCTCCTTGAGATAACTGCAGTGGTGGTTTGGGTGTGCAGGCTTCTGTGTTAGGAGGAGGAATGTTCTCCTTGTTTTCTATCTGCTCAGTCGTCTTGTCCTTGAGGATGCTGTTGAATGAACAAGAAGAAAGAGTATTAGAACACCTTCTCATCTCACTTAACGTAATTCTAATCTCCCGGATAACGATAAATAACCTTGCATCTACGTCCTTGGAATTGTTGTGAGATGGCTTAATTTTGCTTGCTTCAATAGGACGAACTTCTTCTTTCTTGGCCTCAGAGATATTAGGCTCCGGCTGTGAAGAAATATTTGCAGCTACTGGTTCTGATGGCTCTTTATCCTGGAAGATGCGCATATTCAGAAAGAATAAAAGCTGAATCTCAAGCAATAATTTCCTGCTTGTAATCTATAAAGCATTGTTGATTGAAGAAGAACCTTTGCGGGTTTATCTTCTTCTTCTTCTTCATTGAAGTTGCACATGGTCTCTACCTTGAATGATCTCCTTGCTTTGATTTTAGGAACCGAAGCTGCACACAAAAGGAAAAGTTGAATACAACTTTGAACATAAAGTCAGCTTGATTCTGCGCACAAAGACGAATTTTTTTAATTGAGAGATTTCTATTAATGTGCAATCCCTAATTCCGCTTCTCAGAACAGAATTCAGAAAACCCTAATCATCACCCGACGACATGAAATTCACGAAACTGAAACCAAATCAGAATTCCAAACTACAAATCTGAAACCTAGGAATCAGAAATCAAACACACACAAAAGAAAAGAGCAAAGAAACTGACGAGAAGGAGCGCAGCTTAACGCCGATTGAAACCAGAGCTCCGCTCGGCGAGCCTCATCCTCCGTCTCTCCGTGAACGAAATCGAACCATCTCGGCGCTAAGAACTCATACGTCTCGTCAATCATCGCCGTCGCGACACTACTGTTTGATTCCTCCGCGGAGGCCGTTGTTCCTTCCATGCTAAATCACAATGCCGAATCGAGACACGAACTAGGGGAGGGAGAGTGAGAGAGAGAGACAATTGAAGAGAATCTGGATGGAATTAGGGTTCTTTCTTGGTTCCTTCTTTTCAGAGGGAATGGTGTCTGTAAGAGATCAGAATAAAAAAAAGAAGAAGAAGGATTTCGCAACGGTCATAAGAAATTTGAATGTAGAGGAGTGTGTTTACTTACTTACTCTTAACGGCCTTATTTTTTCCTTTTTTTGTTCCTGCATCCGTCTCTTATCTCTAACGGCTATATTTTCTAGCCAATTGTTACTTCTTCTCTACCTTGAAACCGTGTCGTTTTGATGCTTATTTTCCCTTGCTTAACGGTGTCGTTTTATCACCATGTTTTACTGATAGACGTTTTAACGTTTGAATCCAAACTAAAAACGTCGGAAAATCTCACGCTCAAATCAAATCTTGCCGTAAAACAATTAAACAGCTCCCTATATACATATTAAGCACCAAATTGAGAAGCTTTGGATTTTGTGAAACAATGACGTATGTACGGACATGGACGACACCTCCAATTTAGATGCATACATGAGTCATGGAGATAAGATACCAAAATGAATACCGGTCCAAAAACATTGAACTTACTCAAAACCGGAAATTATTGTCTATAAATAACAAACACAATGTTCTTTTTGCCGTCAAACAAGTACTACTATTTCATTTGTCGTTTATACTTTAATGTAAATTACCGCCTCGTTAGTATTTATTTTGTCGTGATTCTACTTAAATTAAATAAAAACACCCATTTTGGGACTTGATAATTCTTTAGGAACGATGGATAGGAATTATCTATTCAAAAAAAAAAAAAGGTTAGGAATTAAAGTTGAAAATTTTATCATAATATTAATTTATGAGTTTTAACCATAAAAAAATATTAATTTCTGAGCTGACGCAATGAAGGTAGAAACCAAGATGTATTTGTTTCCATCAGAGCCACGCAACCAATCGAAAACGTGACACTTGTACACACACATGCACCCATTTTCTGATATATTATATAGAATTCTGAAAAATATAATCCGCTAATAAGTGGCGTACAAAATAGAAAACGTATTTTTCTGAAACCTCTTTTGTATTTGGACTTTGTTGTATTTATTAATCCTTTTTTTGGTTAAAGGGTTTGTATTTATTAATCTTGTGCATATCCTTTCTGTGTTGCGAAGTTTTGTTAGATTCGCTGTACACAAAACATCTACCTTATAAATTGTATAATGAACATATTAAATAACATAACAATGCATTCTATTATTGTATCATTTACATTAATCAAATTAAACTAGTTCAGTTTAGCCCTGTATGTGTTATAACACGTAGATTTCGTAACATTTGTTTTAGTCAAAGTTATTCAACGGCGTTAAAAAGGGAAAAGTTAAACTACAGTTCTCTATTTTATTTTATTTTGGTCAAAACAATCTTGTTAACAATTCTAATAAGAGTTCGTAAAAAATTAATAAAGTGTTATACAAGTAATTTAACAATACTTCAATATGATTATTATTTTTCGTTGCTATGCTGTTCTCGAAACGTTAGTGGAAACCTATATATTACGAGAGGATGAACGAAATTTAATGTTTCTACCAGTTAATTGTATTTTCATCAATTTGCTCATTTATTAGTTGAAATATTGACCGAATTTCTAACTAGGTTTTGTACTACGTAATCTACTTGGCAGTTACGCGCACATATTTTTCCAAAGTGAAATTAACAATTTCTAGCTACTTATTATCATAATTTAAAAAAAAACATTGAAAATTATTTAAGATCAGAAAAACACAGATAAATCTGTTCACAAACCGGTCTTTAAATCAATCAAAGATAATTGTCATGTCTGTATCTATTACCCAAACCCATATATTGCCAAGTATGGTATCAAGATTACAAAACAAATTATTTGGTGCCAAATTACAAGCCAAACTTATACTATTTTTATAAATTTGTAATAAAGTTAGTAGTTTTTCTCCTTACTTTTTAATTGAACAAAAATCAGTTAAAAAGGAAGATATAGTTAATGGATATCGATAAGGGAGAGAGAAGAGGTGAGTATCATCATGATGATGACAACATAGGCACATGTGTTAGGTCTGAAGCAAGGAGAGAAAGGCAGCTCCTGCTTCTTTGCATGAGACCTCTCTCTTACTCTTCTCTTCTCTCGCCACGACTCATCTCCCCCATACCCTCTCACACTTCTCCCCTTCCTCTTTTGTCTTCTTATTAAATCTCGTCACTATTCATAATTTAATACAATAATCTAAAAAACTAAGAATCTTTGTTTAATATGTTTTTTAACTTATTCCCATGTCTGTATCTATACTCAAACCCATATATATATACATACCACATGCAACATCTTCTTCTCTCATCTTGCACTTATCTCTCAAAACCAAAACACACAAAAACAAGAAAAAACCAAACTTCATTTTTAAAATCATGGACGTCGTGAGACCAACGGTGGAGATTCCACCGCGAAAGCTTCTTTTGTCTTCCAAGTCCTTCCCGGCGGAATCTTCCCCTCGTTCTTCGCCGCGTAAACATAACTGGAACAAGAGCAACAAGCTTACATCTGAGCATGAAGAAGACAGCTTCAACGAAGACAACAACAACAACAAGGAGGTGAAAGAGTATTGTTATGATTCGGACACAGATGATCCTTACGCAAGCGATCATTTCCGGATGTTTGAATTCAAGATCCGACGTTGCACCCGTAGCCGAAGCCACGATTGGACTGACTGTCCTTTCGCTCATCCCGGAGAGAAAGCTCGCCGTCGTGATCCTCGTCGGTTTCAATACTCCGGTGAGGTTTGTCCCGAGTTTCGTCGTGGTGGTGATTGTAGCCGTGGAGATGACTGTGAGTTTGCTCATGGTGTCTTCGAGTGTTGGCTCCATCCTATTCGTTACCGTACTGAAGCTTGTAAAGACGGTAAACACTGTAAACGAAAAGTATGTTTCTTTGCTCATTCGCCACGTCAGCTTAGGGTTCTTCCTCCGGAAAATGTTTCCGGCGGTTCAGCGTCGGCGTCTCCTGCGAAGAATCCTTGTTGTTTGTTTTGTAGCAGCTCTCCGACGAGCACTCTTTTGGGTAATTTGTCTCATCTTTCTCGATCTCCATCTCTGTCTCCACCAATGTCTCCTGCTCATAAAGCCGCTGCTTTTTCGCGGCTGAGGGATCGCGCCGCTTCTGCCGTTTCCGCTGCTGCAGCCCGTGGTTCGGTTAACTATAAAGACGTTTTAAGCGAGCTAGTGAATTCGTTGGATTCCATTAGCCTAGCGGAAGCGCTGCAGGCGAGTTCCTCTTCACCGGTTACAACGCCAGTTTCTGCGGCCGCTGCGGCGTTTGCGTCTTCCTGCGGTTTGAGCAATCAGCGTATTCATCTCCAGCAGCAACAGCAACAGAGTAGCCCTTTACAGTTTGCTCTTTCGCCTTCCACTCCAAGTTACCTAACAAACTCGCCTCGGGGAAACATTTTCGGCGATGATTTCACTCCTCGCCAGAGACAAATGAACGATTTCACGGCGGTGGTTAGGGAGAAGACTAGCTTTGATGATGGTTCTTGTGGTGACCCTGATCTTGGATGGGTGAATGATCTCTTGACTTGATAGGTTGACGGTGGAGATCTTGATCTTGGGAGTGGATCTGACTGAGAAATGTAAATTTCGGTTGAGGAGTTAAATTGCATTCATGAATCGGTGCGTACCGGTTTTGTCAATGCATGCAGAGATTGTTGTTCAAATTTGTTTTGAAAATTTTATTGTTTTACGAATTTCCACGGAAGCTAATTAGGGACGAGGTGTCTTGTGTATTGTCTTTTATTTCTTAGAATTCTATCTCTTTTTTGTTGGATCTTTTTACCAAATAATATGTTGAATCTGTAATATCTTTTGGATTCGGATTGTGCAATGTTTCACTACTTCTAATGTATATATATTTAGTCTTCTTTTGTTCAATGGATTCGGAGTACGCAATTTTTACAGTTTCTGTGTAACATTAATTTATGGGATGGATTTTGTTAATAGTAGTTTACATTACAGTACTTTTAGACGTATTAAATACAAGGTGATAGTTGATATTCACGCTTAAATTTTTGTATTTGATAATGGATGAAAGAGACATTAGAGATGATACAATTCTTGAAAATGTTCATCGCATCTTCAAGCTTTGGTATGTTTATGAATTATGATTATAGCTAGATGGGGTATATGCATAATGCATAATTCTTGTGTATTATATATCTCTCACCCTGAAACGTGTTATGTTTTGGTTTGTGCTGGTCGTCAAGAGTATATTGTTATACTGTTGCATAAAGAGATTAGATTAGACTTGATCACATCCTATTCGTATATTATATTAATTACAAAAAAAAAAAGCTGCGACAAATTCTCCGATTGTTCTTTTTTGGGCACCACACGAAAGCATTTAGTTTCTTAGGAGGCATGTGTATGTGATAGACAGATGTACACATTGAGACGTGTCCATAACATTTTATATTATATATGAGAGAATCATACACATGCATGTATGGGATCTACGATCATGTATATACTTCATTTGTGGATTGAATAGTCGTTGATATAAACATAGATTATATAGTTTTATATCAGCAACGAATGAAACACAAACATAAATGTGTATAACACATATAGTCGTGATGTATTCAGACTGTTACGAGACGTCAAATATAAATTTCGATTTGAATGTTTCTGTTTACGAAAGACAATTTCGATTTTACCGATGATGAGTAACTGAAAAAAGGGGGTTTAGATTAAAGTTTCGATTTTGGATCGGTTTGTGTTTTTGGTAACAAGTATCTTTCATTTTCACATTTTTGTTCGTTTTCCATTGGATTATTACCTTTTACTTTAATATAGTAAAATACCATTTTAATCGCTCGCTTGTGGTATTTGTTAGTGAGGGAGACTCAGACTGGGATGTGAGAATCACAGCGAGGAGATAGCGTGTGAGAGATTAAGGCGAAAATGAGAAGAGTTTGGACCGTTTGGTTATTCAACACGACGTGTCACTGTGGACGGCGAAAAGCACACGTGCCACCCACCTGACTCCAATACCTCATCGGCTCATCTCCGGTCAACACGACACACAGTGGTTAGGACTTAGTAGGTCGTCTTTAATTATTCATGTGCCATTTTTTCGTTTCATTTTTTTTTTACAAGCTATTAAAATAGAGGTGTTTTTTTTTTTAATTCACACTCTTTTTATCTCCAAGAGTCTAAAATCTACCAATAGAATGATAGTAGAAACAGCAAATCAACCCGTAGGAATAAAGATACAAGAAAAAAAACCAAAAAAAGGATAATCTTGTTAAATTCAAAATCAAGCTTGAGTAGAACAAAAACCTAAACGTCCAACGATGGAGCTAACTTAAGGTCTAGATTCAGCTTATAATCCACGGCGGAGGAAGCCTCCGACTCAACTTTCACAGCGGTTCGAAGACCGATGCTCAACCCCATTTCAATTGGCTCGTACCGGACTCGGACCAGCTCCTCTCTCAACGCAGAAGCATGCGGCAGATCTAAGCAAATTCCAGCAACCGCTTCTCCCGGAGCTAACTCGCCGGAATCATTATTCCAATTAGCATATGGTAGTCTCCCGTCGCGCGCCGTCGCAGGAAGGTTGGCATCGACCGCTTTCGTGGCAACATTCCCACCGTCGCCGTCGCCGCCGCTGAAAGTATCTCCGGCGAGAGGGAAATTTGTAGTTGCTTTGGAGCCGCGGAACGATCTGGCGGCGAAGTCGTAGGCTCTAGCGGCTTCCTCGGCCGTGTCGAAGGTCCCAAGCCAGACCCGGTTTTTCTTACAAGGGTCACGGATCTCAGCCGCGTATCTGCCCCATGGTCTCTTCCTCACTCCCCGATAATGCACCTCCTTAATCTTCTTTCCTCCGCTCACGGCGGCTTCACTCACATTCTCTTGTCCTGGAGCCATATATCCTTTTGATAAAATATCCCAACTTTTTTTACAAAAGAGAGAGAAAGAGTGTCGTTTTTTTATAGAAAATGACGTAATCTCTCTAACTAAGGATAAAGAGAGAGACGGTCAACGATGTTTGACTGAATCGTCGCTTTAGAGAGAGTAGGCTCTCAAGAGAGTTTGATGTGTGTTGTTCTTGTGATGGCTTTTATTTACGGCGGCGTGACTCTTCAAAATCGTTTCTTACTCCACGCGCGTTTAACACGCGCTTCAAATGGTTCCTCTTCTCTGCTTTTGGGCTTTTGAATGAATTTCTGGCCCTTGGGCTCTTTTTATGTTACCTGAAAGCCTACTGCTTTTTATCCGTTTCGGAAGAAACAAAAAATTGAACAAAACAACCTTAGCGTTTTCTTAATTTTGGCAGGACGGTTTAAATACCATTTTTGGAGAATCGAAACGCTAAACAAGAGGGAGTGAGCAAATCTTAACAGCGACTCTTGGTCACTCAAAACCCTAGGGTTTAAGAAAAAGCCGGCGAGTCACAGTATGTCGACGATTGTGCAGAAGCGGAAACCAGTTTTCGTCAAGGTGGATCAGCTGAAACCAGGGACCAGCGGCCATACTTTGACCGTGAAAATCGTTGAAACCAATCCCGTTAAACCGGCGATCCGTAAAACTGGTTTGTTGACTCAGCCAATTCGATCTTCTCGTCTCGCTGAGTGCCTAATCGGCGACGAGACTGGATGCATTCTTTTCACTGCTCGCAACGATCAAGGTTCGCACGGATCTATACACACACATTTTAAAAGTTTGCATTTTTCATTAGGATCATTTCTCTCTCGAAATTTCCATCATTTTTTTTGTTTTTTGCATCATTACTCTGTTTCTGAATGTTATTTGAACAGTAACGATGAAATTAGGAATTTTAGGCACGAGTTTGAACATAAAGTGGATTTTTGTCCAGATTGTTTTTGTTAAGTGACGAACCAGAGTATGTGTCTCAGGATCAGTATTGTCAAATATGTACCACTCATTACTTCTGGATGGCCACAGAAGAAATCTATGCTCAACTTCCTATATAACCTGCACTCATGTATTGTATTCGTTTTTGAACAGTTATACGGTACTAATGATATTGTTTTGGGTTTGTAAATGCAGTTGATCTTATGAAAGTTGGAGCAACAGTTATTCTGAGGAATGCAAAGATTGACATGTTCAAGGACACGATGAGAATGGCTGTAGACAAATGGGGACTCATTGAAGTCACGGATCCTGCTTCGTTTGAGGTTAATCGAGAAAACAATCTTTCTCTGGTCGAGTATGAAGTGGTACTTGTTCGATGACTGAAACTTGTGCCCCTGTCTCTGCTTCCCTCGGTTATTCTTTAGTTTCTAATGCCATTGGTTTAGATTCAGTTATGAGTTTTTTTATTCGTTGGATTAGTTTTAAGATGAGATTGTGTAATTCTGCTTTTGCACAGTTCTGAACAGTTTTTCATCTTTGCTTCCGAGCCTGTTGATTAAATTGGTATCGTCACTGGTGAAATTATGGTAATGGATTGAGCATAAGATAAACATTAAAGGGTGAAAATTTGGCGTCAACCGAACAGAAACATATTAGACATAACTCAATTTTGATATTGTATAACTTAAGTATTTGTAGTTTTCACTTTTCATAAAAAAAGACAAGTAAAATGGAGATTTCACAATTACTCCAAAAGTTTTTTTGTTTCTCAAATACAAGTCATCTTCTTTTTAAGGCTCATACTCCTCTTGACTACCTTCCAAGCTCTTGTAGTATTCCTCCATTGTTTCAAACTCATTGGGATGATCGTTTCCACGAGCACTCTCATACCCGCGAGTAGGGGTATTTTCGGAGTTCCTACCTCGTGTGTCGTAGAAGTATTTGCCATTCTCCATAAACCTCGTATCACTCATCCCTTGTCTCTCTTCTTCACTACTGTAACCTCTTCTATTATCATTATAATTGTTAGTAGTGTACGTGTATCCATTATTGTAGTTGTTATAATTATCCTTTTGCTCCTTGAGATCTTCAGAGTCTTCTTCCTCCTCGAACTCCTCCGGTAACTTGTTTTTTTCTTCCTCAAATTTAGCCATCAATTTCTCGAACTCCTCGTCTGTGGCTGTAGACGAAACCGGCCATGACTCCTTGGTTTGAGGAACCATACCGGAACCTGGCCCGAAAGCCCCGTCACCGAGTCTTCCATTGGCTTGGGCTACGCCCGGAGCGGGAGCTGGATTTAGATCTTCCTTTTTGTTGTTAGTACGATCTAAGTGAGTGAACTTGCTAAAGAAGAGCTTACCTTCTCTAGCTTCGACATTCTTGTCAATGAAGCAAAAAACAGCAACAAGGAAACAAAAAATTGACTTTATAGCAAATGAAGCCATCAAAGAAGAGAAAAGAGAGTGAGAGATTTTAGGGTTTAAGATGTATTTTGGTGTGTGAGTGAGTTTATGTATAAATAGAATTAAGATGTAGTAACATGGGTCGAGTAAACATGCGAGGATTAAGGAGGGACATTCGTCATTCGCGGGGAGTGATTTTAAATTAAAATACGAAAAGGTAAAAATAAAGTTAAGAATAGTGGGACTTGTCTCATAAATCGAAATGGAGATTTTGCATATGTTAGCTATTATTATATTTACTTGTTTGTTGGTCAAAGAAGAAAAGAACCCAAGAAAACAACTTACAATTTATTAGTTGTGTTTATACATGCCTTTTGACTTTTCTTTTCACTGTTTGGTGGTTGAGTTAGTTGAAAATGAAGATTACAATTAGATCATGTTTTGTGGTAGCAAAACTTAGATAATGTCAAAGAATATGTCTATATAACTTTAGATAAATCTCTAAAAATGTCACCTTTTATGATTTATCACAAGTTTTGATAACCATGATTATCAAACTTATATTTAGCAGAAAAAATGATTATCAAACTTAATAAATTCTTTTAATAAATTTCTGGTTTGTCATTGAATATTATTTGATAAATAGATGAGAGGGGGTTTCATGTTACAATTGAAAGTTCGTTTAGACATTAAAGAGAGAAAGCAACGACGAAGAATGGTGTGGGTCCAATTCGGAAATAAGAAAGAGTTTAGGCATTTACAGATAACTATTTAAGACTTTTGGGCCCATGGGACAATGTGTCATGAACCATTGCGTAGGGTGAAATCGAAGCTACCACACAGCTTTTGTCCCGTGATCGTCGGAAATAATTTATTTGATAGTACTTTCGACGTTTGTCGGGAAATAAATAATAAAAAAATATTTTAGCGTATTTAATAATTATGTACGTTACTCTATGGACGATATAGATTTCTTAAGATCCAACAGTTTAACAAGCCCATGTATCAGTCCGGCCCATTTTTAACATGCCCTGGCCCGTGTCATGACGCCGTTAAGTGACGGTAGTCTTATTGACTAAAAAAAGACGTATTGACTTATAACAGTTGACTTTTTTCGTTTTAATAGACTTAAACGCAGCCGCATCGTTGTCAACACGGTCTTAACAACGCAAATCTCGCAAGAAAAACTAAACCAAGAACAGACTTTGTTTCATGTTGATACATAGAGTCTTCGCTTCATGTAGTTACATCTCACTTTCGCAAAACGCACCGTTCGTAAAGCTCAACCAACACACTCTTTCTTGGATTCTTTAACCCAACCAACTCAGCTCCAAACCCGTGTTTCAGTATCTCATCTCTCAGCTTCTTCATTGTGTATTTCGAATGATCCATGCCTGTGGAAGAAGAGGCTCCAGCTCCAGAGCCCGTGCTTGTGCATTTTCTCGGGGTCATTGCAATTATAGCTTTCCCGCTCTCTTGTGAAACCGTATCTTCTTCGGTCTCTTGGGCGTAATCCGAACCAGAACAGGTTATACTTGATTCTCTTGCCACGGAGAGCTTTTCCGTAGAGTGAGACAACAGCGACAGGACCCTTAAGCTTCTGAAGAGCGCCGATGGCTTCCGGGTCCGTCTTCAACTTCCCATTCTCATCAACGTATACTAGTTGGACGGCCCGACCCGAACCCGAACCGGACTCCGCCGTTAGGTTTCTCATGAAGAACCCCAAAGCAAAGGCGTCTGTTTTCTTCCTAGTGATATTGATGAGTCACTGAGTGAAGATCCTCGCTCCGATTCCACAATGGGGGGGTTTGATCTAATTCCGATCGTCCACTGTAGAGAATAAAGTTGTGAACTTTCGGAATTGTATTTATCAAAGTCTGAAAAGATTTGAACTTGGAGAGTGGTGTTACTTACCAAAGGGTAAATGTTTTCAGGACACTGGCCGACTCGGGGTTTGTTTTTGCTTTTTTGTAATTTCTTAACCGAATTTTATAATTTTCAAAAGGATCATATAATGAGATATATGATCAAACAATTTGTTAGTTATTTTTGTTAATATTGTAAGATAACCAGTTATAATGAAATGAATATATGCTTGCAATCTTGCATATTTTTTTAGTTGCTATACTACAAAATTAAAAACTGACCTACTTAACAAAAAAAAAAAAAAAATTCCAAATGAGAGTTTTCAATTCCGAAACCATCTCCAAGTCTTTATGTGCAATTTCGATGCTTCATGGAAATCAGATGAAAAGTGAAAGCATCTCCAAGGTTTGCTGGATTCTGCAACACGGTCTCAAGGCTATCGTTGCCGCCCTTGGTTGCAGAAGGAGAAGCACTGAATTGGGCTGTAAGGGCTATTCATAAATTTGGGCTTTACTAAAGTTGCATATATATGAGATTGCAGAGATTTGGTCTTGGGCTTATTTAAGAATCGTGGCCCAATAAGTCAAGTCGCTTGAAGAGGAATTCTACGTACATTCTCTCCCTCTCGTTCCAACCTCCAACTGATTAAAATTTTTTTTTTATCAAAGATCCATAAGTGTAAGCCCATTTAGCTATACCAAAATTTTCACCCCAAAGCACCCGAGCAAGTGAGCAGCTCAAGACGATAAATGACACACATTCATATATTTTCACCTCTATCAATGTAGCAAAAATGAAAACACTAGAACTCTTTTATCTTTTCTTTTTATATCTCTCTCTCTTCATTTTCATTTTCTTATTATTTTCCTCCACTATGAATTGCTCTGCAAGTTAAGCTATAATTATTGAGCTCAAAAGCCTCCATCTTTTCTTTAGTCCCCACCACTTTCCGATCCACTCTTTATATATGCAAATATGCAATTATGCATATACGAAATTCATTTGTGCGTACGCGCATACATTTTCTAAGTACTTATTTATAAAAAAAAATAAATCAAAGACCTTTCTAAACCTAGTGAATATAGTGAATATGCATGAATCTTAACTTTTCTTCGACGAATATGCTAATTTTAATACCAATGCGTGAATCACTACATACAAACACATTGTCATTATGCTTGTAACGAAAAAAAAAAAGATTAACTAGCTAGTGGAATAGTGTAAATCACGATGAATAATCTAGAACTTTAATTAATGAAAGAAATTCGCTTTGCTAAGTTCTTATAAGTACGTTAGAAACTCCAGAGAAGAAACAGTGTTTTAGATCCAACCATTGGTAGGGGATGAGTGGCACATTGTTTGTACACCAACCCCGAGGAAATCCCGAGTTTGCCCTCCTCCTCCTGCATCCCCACTATCAACTCTTCTACGCTTCCAGGGGTAGCTCTGTAATTCATCAATCCCCGAGACGACCGTAACGCCATTTCTAGGGTTCCCGATGTCGTGAAGACCACTATTATTACTCATTAACCCGACGCTGTTTGATCCAAACAAACCGAAGAACTTGTCGCTGCCACCATCTTCTACAATCTGACTCTGATCATCGGACATTTTCGACGCAAAACTCTGGAGAAACGTTGATTGGTCGATGCATGTCGTCGTCGTCGTAGTCGGATCCGGTGAGGAAGAATTCGCGCCCATCTGAGCCGCTTTTTGAAGTAACGCAGTCGCGGACATATTCGCAACAGCCGCGTTTGCGTCTTGTGTAATTTGGTCGACGCTGCTGAAAAGGGAGGGCACCGAAAGAGAAGTAACGGCGTTTGCGTTTGTGTTTTCCTTACTCGGGACAACGATATTGATAGTATCATGGGTGATGAGGGAATCGCTCGTCGTTATGAGCTCGCCGTGCTTATTCGCGATTCCGAAGACCCAATTATTGTAATCCTCATGCGGTGAATGCGGCGGCGCGATGCGGTCGTCGATGGTCACTTGATGAGGATTGATACTTCCTCCCATCCATAAGGAGAGCGAAGAGGCAGGTTTCATGACGTCTTGTTGATGATCGAAGGTGGTGGTTGCGAGGGGGAAATGGTGATGGTGAAGTGGCGGTTGCGGTTGCGGTGGTCCGAATGGAAACGACGGTGGTGGTGGAGATGGGATAAGTGTGCCCATTAGGTAATGATAGTTGAGGTTATTACTGGTAAGACTCTTGAGATGAGAAGCTGCGTTTAGCCTAGCGGTTTCTTCTGCTAACGCGTCGCAGAACGCCCTATGTGTTATGAAGCTGTCTCTCCTGTTTTTTTTCAACATATTAAACCCACCATTTAACTATAACGATTGTCTCTATACTCCACACACAATATATACGTATATATATATATACATGCATGCATAATCTATATAAAAAATTTTAGTAACTTTACTAATTAGACAGCTAGTCATGTTTGAACGCATATTTAATGCAATTACTGATCATGAGATGAGATGTGCTTGCAACTAGGCATATTATGCATAGCAGTATAAAGATATATTAAAGACATACGTATATTATACCTGGAGAAAATTGTACCACAGTCGCATCTATACTCTCTAGTCCCACAAGTCTTGGAATGAGCCTTCCAATCGGATTGGACTGCATATCTCTTGGAGCATTTCTCACACTTCCATTTCTTCTCGCCATGTTTCCGACAAAAATGTTTCTTGATTCCGGTAAGGTCACCGAGTGCCCTTGTCGGATGATGGTGGACGCAACTCTTCTCCGGACATACATACACTCGTTTCCTTACTTCTTTACTCGTCCTCTGCTTTAGCTTCCATGGGAGGTTGTGTCCTCGCCTATGAAGCTGTAGATTCTGGTCTCTTTGGAAACCTTTTCCACATATCTCGCAGAGGAAACGATTTGTGGCCATAAGTGTCTTTGGAGATAGAGCTATCACCTCGGCTTCTGGATCTGTAGATCGAGATCGATGCCAATCAGATTCGGGATGTTAATTATGGTTCATATGAGCTAGGGATAATCAGTTTGACGCATGCATGTTTATAGATCAAGATCGAAAACAAAAAAAAATTAAGAAGATGATTTTTCTGCAAACAAAAAAAAGCTTTTTTTTCTTAACTAGGGTTTAATTTAATTAGTGATCTATGTTAAACTTAATTAACTGATTATTACCAGGATTTCCGGGGAGGTTTCTCTTCTTCTTAACAAGAGGAGGATTACAGGATTCATGTTCATGGTGATGATCAACATAATCAGTTGTTGATGAGCTTTTGACATATCTTCCACTGCTTGAGATTGTCTGATCTTCAGCTGTCATGCCTTCTTCTGGACAGAAGTTTTGTTGGGAGATATATAATAGAGATGTTTAAGATTAGAGATGGAGATTAAGATGGTAACTAATAATAAATAAAAAAAAAACTAGAATCTGAAGTAATTACGAATGAGAGGAAAACACAAAAGAGAGGTTTCTTGGTTGTATACTTTATATAGACACGCACACCCCCTACAAACATAAGTAAGCGCTTATGTGTAGTACGAATAATATTCAATAAATATATATAAGCACCTTAATCTGTAAAAACTGTGGCAGCCAATTTCATATATAATAAACTCTCATATATATATCTTCTATTTCTTACACACAGAAAGTTACTATATGTCTGCCTTTTCTATTTGGAATGATGATGATCTAATTATTTATTTTCTCTTTTTTCTTTTAACTTTTCATCTTCCGGTTAATTTCTTCTTCTTATTTTTACGCCTTATAAATTCTCTTAGTGTTATTTTTAGTGCGTTGACAAAAAAAAGTATTATTTTTCAGTACAATCATGATGTATATACTGACATTATATATTCGTTTACAGTTTAAATACTGAAAGGTTAAAAATACTTTCATTTAAATTAGGCTCGGGCGAGTTTTTGAAAAAAACGCGCGGATCACTATGTGGTGAGTAAAGATTTGCCTCTTTTGTTTTGGTTGGCACTACTACGTGTGAATGTGATCGGCCTCTTTTTCAATTTTCATAATTGAGATAATTGAGATTTAAAATTTCCGTGAATTAAGGTGGTCAAAGAAGTAACTCAGATCCAACGGAGGTGGTTAATTACATCTATCTTTGTTGAGAACAAAGCCTGCAATGCACGTGTACCCATGCACGTGCTCATGAGGTAAAATCCAACAACATACGACAAAGAAAATAAGAACCTAAATAAGCAAAAGAGAATAATCGTCTGGTCGACAGTGAAAACAAAACCCTATATGCGACTTCATACTCTCCCCGTCAAGTGCCCCCTCTATATTCGTTTTTTTCTTTCTTGCAACCCGTTTTTCCTTTTCCAGATCTTTCTAAACCAATTAACATTTCAAATTGAATTCAGACAAATTTCTTTATAGCATGCATAGCAGTCATAATACTTTTGCCATTTATAGATTTCAAATCAGATTAAAATCGCCGTAACTGAATTATTGTAATTTTTAAAAATCATTTTTATTTCTGTGAAATAAACAATTTACAAATGGTTTCTGGAGCTGAGAATGAAAGTTGGTAGATACGAGTATATGTTTCATGCTTTTCTACACAGATCTTTTTGCCGTGTTCACTTTTTTTTCTTTTTCTTTAAGAAAGTTTTGTTTTCCCAATATATCAAAGTGTTTATTCTTTCATAAAAATGTTTATTCTTAACTTAACATATGTGCGGACTATGAGTCATACATATCAAAAGTGCCATCTTAATTATTTTGTATCAGAAAAATGTTTTGTAGAATAGATTTTCTACTTGAACTACAAAATATTTATGCGTGAAACAATTTGATCATATATATACTTCTCGATCATACTTCATAGCTCTAAACTTTTTTAAATATCAAAATCTCGATCATAACAAAAGTAAACTAAATGTGCTTTTTTACCCTTTGCTGAAAAATATATTAAACAATAATGGTAATTAGTTCATTGAAAGAAATAAGAGACAGAAAACTGACAAACCGCAGGTGAATTTTTGGAAGGACGAGAGGTCGTCAGCTTGTGGGCTGACTTAATGACTAATTCTTTAGGTAATTTCCACTTTAATCATAATGTAATCATGTTTTAAGATTCCTATAAAATAAAAACATTTTTTTAATGTTTCAGTTTTGGACTTTTCTTCTTGAACTTTGGCGGCACTAGAATATTCCCCTATGTTTTCGAGACTTCATTATATATAGTATTGTTTCCTTTGTCATCAAGATTCACATACACCAGATAGGCACATAAACAAACACCGGGGTTTTCAACCATAAAGAAACGCGTTTATATGTGAGTGAATATGCGTGTATCCAAAGACGAATACTGTATATGACTTTTTATTTAATTATGCAGAGCTCCTAGCTAGATGAACTTTCTCGAAATTAAATTCATTTGAATTTGATCGATCGCGCTTATTATATGAAGGTTTTTGATGAAAAACGCTCTACATATTAGGAACGGAATAATCCGCTGCATCTATAAAGCATTTATCTCTAATGGAACACTTTCTAAATAATATAGACAAACTTTTATTGCCATCTATACTAGATATATATGTACGTACTGTATGTAGATGTATAATAGTATTAGCTTCGACTAAAAAGTCTTACCATGGATTCACATAAAACAATAGTAGCTAGAATCCATACTTATTAGTGGGAGAAAAATAAAAAAGTACCAAAATAAAAATCACAATGTTGGAGATGTTTAAGCCATGAATAAATGTGTACGCAATATATTGTATATACCTGTATTAAACGTATGTGTATATATAAATATAATGCAATAAACGACATTTCAAAGAAGACAAAGGATAGATCCATACCATAGCATAGAAACTTGGCGATATATGAAATAAAAACAAGGACATAATGGAGATATGATTAGACTTAAAGTATACATATGTCACTTAGTGGATGATAATGGCCTTCTTGTTTTTACTCGGACTTGACCAATCCAATACATTTTCGGTCAAATTTGATGATAACGACGTTCTACAAATCAAAATCGCTCTATTTCTCTCATGGATTTTTTTAATCTTTCAACCACCTTACTCTTTTCCGTAAAAATGCGATTGTTGCTTTTTTGTTGTTGTGTGTGTGCAAATTGCATTGTTGCGTAAGTATCACGATTATAATTGGAAAATATATTTTATTGATATCGAAATTAATATAGGATTTATATAATATAGATAATATTTTAGTCATAATTTACAAATTCACCTGTCTGTTTTTATCTCCCAACATATCTATCGTTTATATCTTCTCCAATTACTAAGAATATGTCTACTTCTATAAATTATATACTCATGGACATGGTAAACTTATGGGAAGAAAATGGTTACCTTCCATCTGTGCAATTAAATGCTAAAATTAAAAAGATATTTGGAAAGATTCTTTTTTCATGGGTCTTAAAAGTAATTAAAAGATAAAGTAACGCTTTCCAACCATTTTCCACAAAGTTGATTGAAACTGTCCATGAGTGCAAACCGAGAAAAAGAGAGTAATACCTAAACATAGGATCAACTGGTTGTTAATTATAATAAAACGTATTTAACCGAAAATGGTCATTGTTCTCTCTATATGACTATATGAATCTTCATTGTCAATGATTTGCACCTATATATGCAACACCAACTTCAGGAGTTTGCAATATATCTAATCGTACAAAACTCTAAAGTTTGTCTAGGTTACTTATAAACTTATTCCACTGTTATATATAGAGTCGGCAATAGGTAGAGCCGTAGAAGCTAATCAAGTTTTAGTAGCCATTATTCATTTAAAACAAGGCAATAGCTTTGTTGGTAATGGTTGTCTACCTTATTAGAGGATATTGTTTGGTTAATTGGGTTTCAAACCTTCATGTACAATTATTTGATTTGGATAATTCAATAATTATTGAAGCAACTTTCATTTTGTTGCTTGGACATATGGCACTTTCATGTTACATATATGGATAAATATTGGAAAACATTAGTTATATATCTAACATTGCTACCAAACGGTCAGATTTGACCCACCTTCATCTATAATGGTTCGTTGATGAATTCGAGCTTGTGAAAAGCATATTCAAAAGTTGGTGATAATTACTTAAAAGTGGTCTTTTTCATTATATATTATAGTAGTCACAAAATGTTATTGGCTTAATGATTGAGGGTTGGCCTCTTCAAATATGTCACGCACTTGTATCGTTTCTTAACACTTAATTTCTTTACATATATACCTGCACTATTAAAAATAAAAAATTATCACCACTCAAACGTATATAGATATACTTATGCATATGTATTAAAATTTATGATTTGACAGAATCTGCACATATATATCTGTCAAGAAATTTATTCTTAAAATAAAATTTCACTCTGACAAAAAACCGATTGTTTCGTCTACAAACAGACAGAATTTATCCAACAGACGAAACAGATTGTAATGGATGGTAGTATCTTACTCAATCGGCAAGACTATTTTGATATTGTCCTGGCTTATGCATGGCAGTATGGCACTGTAGCAGCATATGGGAGATTCCGGAGAAAGAAAAAAAAAACGTACCATTTGCAGTGTAAAAGTCGTTTATGTTACATCTTGCAGTGTGAAAGTTGTTTATCCTTGAACAATCAATCAGATATATATGAAAAATTATTTCCATGTTAACAAATGTTTGTGAAGACTTGGCCATTCTTAGCTTATATTGGGCCATATGAATTTCTTTTTAACAAAGGGCAGTAGAAACTGGACGGGCTATAAATTCTTAGCTTATATTTTGGGCCCTAATATATTTTCCAACATTACGGTCTCGCGCATGTTAATCAATTAAAATTAAGGTCGAAGATGAAGTTATTCAAATCACTGTTTTCAAGTTGGACTTCGCTTAAGAAACACACTCACTAAGAGATTCAAGGAAAACCGTCTTATCAAAAGCTTTACAAGATGGACTCGTGATGATTTGCTCGAAGAGACCTGAATCTTGGTGAACCAAAGAAGAATCCGCATATTTGATTTTGGTTACTTTCGAATTTTGGCCACGGCTTCGATACCTTTTGACTTATGATTATTTATGCATGAAATAAAGTTTCCAAGAGTTATTAATTACAAAAAAAAATGATTTTGTTATTTTCTGTGTGTTTTTGATGACCAACCCAATCACATAATTAACAATCAATTACAGATTCACATAGGCTGAAAGTTGAAACATTACAAAAAATATTAACAAATAATGTAAAAAAGGGGTAAAAAAATGGAGAGAAGACAGTAAAACAAGATATTAAGAGGATTTAAATCATATATCAAAGCCATAAAGCCCCAGCTTGTCTGAGAGTAGGCACTAAATCACCATTAATATGAGCAGCCATCAGATTTTCCAATCCTCCAAATAACTTCCCTCCTATGTACATGACTGGTAATTTCGCTTTATTAATCACGGTTTCACCCAAATCAAATATGATACTGTCGTCGTTGTTGTCTTCGTCATCAATCTCAACTACCAATGGGTTCACGCCATGTGTTAGTAGCAGCCGCTTGGCCACGTGTCCCATACAACAACCTCTCCTCGCAAACACCACCACAGCATTCTCCATCACGAGCAGGTTGCTTGATTTCTTAGTGCTTAAAGATGATGGCTTTTGTGGTGTTGATGATGATGATGATGTTAACCATGATAACGATGATGATGGTCGTTTATCTTCATTCTTTGGACGGAAAATGCTATTGCCCGGTATTGTCTTCGTCCACGATGAGTCGTATGGTCTTATTGCTTTTTGCATTATTGATGTATGAGAGAGAGAGAGAGAGAGAGAGAGAGAGAGAGAGAGAGAGAGAGAGAGAGAGAGAGAGAGAGAGAGAGAGAGAGAGAGAAATCAGAGAGAGAGAGAGACTTAGACTTTTTTGGTTGCGTTGGATTGGTGATAGATTGGATTTAAGAATTTATATAGTGAATTTCGGAGAGCATTTCGTTTTGGGGTCAACGTAAGCATGTGTAAATTGTATTCTCATAATATCCGAAGCCACGTCAGCGTATCTCAAATAAATCTCCTTTATATACTTGTGATCATTCATTTAAGTGAAAGATAAACTTCGAACTCATTGTCGGAACTCAAATGCGACATCTCATTTTTTAAAGGATAATAATAATTATTATTATTATCTTAACGTAATGTCTAAATTAAAATTTATTGTAATTTAGAAAATGTACAATTTAAATCAATGACTTGCACGATAGAGTTTAATTAAAAACAATTGATGACGACTACATAGGAAGTGGCTTACGACAACGCTGATGTCAACATATTTATTTATTTGCACTAAACCTATGTCATAATTAAATTTTGTCTTCGTAGGATTACGTTTATGGATAAATGCAAATCATTTTGATGGACCATTAGATTTTAGACCATCTCTGATACGTCATTGCGATGACTTGTTTTCTTTAAAGATAAGATATCAATTCGTATTTGATATTCTAGTTGAAATTAAAGCTAAAATTAGTTCTAGTATTTCTTCAAGAAACAAAAAAAAAAAGAATGGTGAGAATTTTGATTTACAACAATCGGATGATATAACATTTTGGCAAACTCACCAAAAAGAAGATCTTAGTTAAGCAAAACTGGTAAAAAAGAAAAAATTACTTTCTCAAAAAAAAAAACTAGTAAAAATTTATAGATCAGAACTTCTTATCTATAATTTTTTAAGCTGAAACTACGTAGAGTTATTAAAGAGCTCAATCAAAATTATATGTACATGTCATAACAGTATAGGCATATTTTTTTTTTTTTAAATCACCGAAATACCTCAACAACAAAACTTCTTTTTGAATATTTGTTACGATTTAGTTAAACTTGCAATTTAATCGAAAATACGTTAAACGAAAAATTCTCCGAAAAAGAAAAATATATAAACATACCACGAACGTCACGAACCCCACAAAAGCCTATGCGATGACGTGGCAATTTTGTGACAACCCCTTTGGTCAAAAGGAAACAGCTGAGAAGTAAGAAAAAAAACAAGAAGGTGGACCCCCACCGGAACAAAATGACATGACGTTTCCCTTAAAATTTACGAAACAGCAAGTCGTTCCTCGTCCGTTAAATTACGGCGCGTGTAATTTTGAACCATTTGTGTTACTCAAACATATTTTCAAAAATAATATATGGTCATCGATCTTTACCAGCTATATACAGTATTCTTTTTTTTGGTTCAGTACATTAAATGAAATTTTACATGACACCATCAAGAGCAGCCGTCGGTTATATACAAATTAGACATCAGAATAAGAGTTTTTACTTGGTCAAAAGCTAAATAAAATTCTGTTTTTTAATACGACGTCACCCGAAAATTTGCCGGGGTTTCGTCACCCCAAAAAACTCCTCACCGGTAAAAAGAAAGAAAAAGACGTCTGTATCATGGTGGCGCCGGCATGGCGTCATTAAATACAAAGGGTCCATGTTGCTATGCTCATACGAATCTTATAATACGTATGCATTATATTTTTTTTTTCTTTTCCCCTCTCCAATACAAATCTCTCTATAGGTGTAGCCGTGTAGATAACGTTGGCAACTAATGGAGAAAATAAAATTTGGATTGCAAGTAAACAACAAAGAACAAAACAACAACATATCAGGAAAACTAGCACATTCCTATCTAGCACTTTGAATATTTTGTAAATCCCGAAATTCAAATATCTTCGAAATATTCTATCATGAAGAAGCGAAAAAGAATTTTAATGTTCACTAAATTACATGACTAAAACCTAACTAAAAAAAAAACTAAATATGAATATGATTGTTATTAGTTTGTAATTCAGTTTCATCAATTTTCCGGGAAAACAAGAAAATATCAACAATCAGTTCCATTGAACATGACGAACTACTGACCAAAGCCAATCCGAGTCTAATTGTGTCCACTTTATTTATAGTAATTCTAGGACCTAGAACAATAACGCGGCAAAATGGTCATTTGGTCAAAACACCGTAAATGTTCTTCTCAACTTCACGAGGAAGATTTTTAGAAGAGAAACGAATGGAACTTGCTTCTTCTACTTCTTAGGGTTAAGCTCCAAGTTCATTTCTTGGAGGTTAAGCAACAGATCATTGGAGCTCAGGTACACCTTGTTAGCAGATTGTGCAATGGTCTGAGCAATCTCCCTCGCAGCTTCAATCTTTCTCAGAGTGATAAATGCCTGGTTATTTGCAATAGCTTGTCCGATAAGTTGAGCACTTTTAGCTTCTCCCTACACAAAGAATCAACAAACCTAATGCTTTAGCAGAGAAACCCCAAAACCTATATAATCTCTTGTCATTAGATTTAGAATAAAAGATCATCAACAATCTTTTACCTGCGCGCGGATAACAGCGCTTCTCTTGTCTTGCTCGGCTTTCTCCACAATGAACTTAGCCCGTTCAGCTTCCTGAGCAGCGACTTGTTTTGCCTCAATTGCTGCAGTGAACTCTTTGCCAAATGTGAGAGTCGTGATGGAGACATCATCAAGAGCAATGTCGAAGTTAGAAGCTCGCTCTGTCAGAATCTTGCGTATCTCTCTGCTCACTGCCTAGAGGAGAGTAAAAAGAAAAAACAATCCACCATTACTAACAAAAGAGCAGACAAAGCAGTAGAAACAAAAACGTTGAGATACCTACTTCTCTCTGTGTAATGAGCTGGCTTGCATTGTACTGAGCTACCACTGCTTTTAGGGTTTCATGGATGATGGAAGGAAGAACCCTTTCACTGTAATTCTCGCCGAGGGTTCGGTAAATCTGAGGCAAACGGTCACCCATGGGACGTGTAAGAACCCTGAGTCCAATTTTCACCTGTGCAACAACCACGAAAAAAATATCAGAAACACATTAACAACCTTAATAAAGAAAAAACATACTGAGACTGAGACACTAATTTTTTCTTCCATCTAAATATAATCTCCTTATGAAAGCAAGTGTAATTTGGTTTCTCGCTTCGTAGTCACAAAACTGAATCCGAAACGAAGCAAAAGAAAAAGAGAAAGATATAGAGACAGAGCATTCTCTCTATTCCTTCTTAATCCATTAACCATCCACTCACACGTCATATAAGGATCTACATGAATCATGTAATATCCTAAAAGAGCAAATGAAATTCAACCTACAACTCCATTGCCATAAATTATAAACCACATCCAAACTTAAAACCATGGTCTTAGTGCTGCATTCAAGGATCTACAGGTTCACATTCAGCAACGGAATTTAAAATAAAAAACGGCCTGTACAACGATAATAATACAGACACACAAGAAAAAAAAAAAAGACAAAAGCACAAGAAAAACGTAACGCACCATCTGAAGGTCATGACTACCGGTGGTGCTCTCCACTAGGTAAGGTCGTGCACGGACGTCATAGATTATTGGCCTTTCAAACCATGGCAACATAAAATGTGTGCCTTCTGGGTAGACCTGAGGAAACAAACACAGGAGTAGAAGTCAGCAATACTATTCATAGACTCAGATCCAAAATAACAGTTGATAGTTTGAGTACAAAACCTTTTCCTTGATACCAGTTAATCGGTTGAACATGACAGCACGATGTCCACCATCGACATTGTAGAGGCTATTAGTAATGGCATATACACCAAGCCCACCAATAACGCTGACCTTAAGCAGTGCGGAGAGAGCAGGAGATCCAGGGACGTTGGGCACTTTGTTGAAACTCATTTCTTTAGTGCTACAAAAAAATCAACATGGCAGTGAGATTACACAAGAGAATGGTGCACGGCAATTACTTCTAAAAGAACGAATCTCGAATTTAGAAGAAACAAAATCCAAGAGAGCAAACACTGCATTTGAGTTACTACGAAAATCAATGAACAAGGCATCAACGGATAGAAACACAGATTCGAGTAGATCGCATAGACGATGTACAGAGAAGCATCGGTAACAGATTTCCACTGCTATCGAGTCTTTGACCATTATCAAACAGACTCAATAACCATAGATCGTGGAATATATACAACAAGCAAGCCTTAAAAGCGAGAACAGATCCACGAGCTTTGATCATAAGACCATTCTACCTCAATTCGGACTATCAAAATGAACAACGAACAGACACTGCGTAAATTTAATCGGCACCCAAACAGAGCATAGCAGTAGACACATAAAGGAAATCGGATATAAAAATGGAGGATTCAAAGAGAGAAACACACCTTCGCTCAGCTCTGTATCACCGACGATGTTAGGGTTTAGGAAGGATCACGATCGGAGCAGCCGGCGAAGCTTAGGGTTTTAGGATTGAGAAATGATAAATCTACTCACCGACTATCTTCTACTACGTTTGGGTCGAATTACTCAGGCCCATTAATAAATATACGTTTAGGCCCATTGTCTAATTTAGTCTTATCTTTTTGTCGCATGTCGTTTAGTCAAAACTGTTTTTCTTTTGTGTGTGTGTCAGCAAGTGTTCATAATTTTTATTTTTATTTTAACTTGAGACCAGTAAGTTGTAACAGGAACAGATGCACATTATCCAAATATTATAAGAGCATCTCCAATGGTAAGTACTAATGAGAAGTTCTTATCAATTTCTTAATCATAATTTTTAGTTAATATAAAGTTTAGAATCCCTAAATTCTTTTCTCCTCCAATGGTGAGCTCTAATTAAGGGTTCTTAAAAAAAAAAGAGCATGAGATAGACCTCATTCGGAGTTGCTATATTCTTCTCACAAATTCTGTCATATTTTTGCTTCTTGTCAACAACCTTAAGACCCTGCCATGGAAGACTAGAAACAGAGGTTCATAATGTCACCTTAAAACTCAAATAAAGGCACTTAGTTGAGAATTAGTTGTATAATGTGACTTTAAAACTCTAAAAGATAGATAATAGAACACAAGGTAGAAGTGATATATGGACCATGACCACAAATATACCTGTAAGGGATGTGGCGGTTGGTGTTGGCATCAGGATATCTTTTGGCGAGTTCAAAGTCAATTACATAAACCCGATAACTGAAACGTATCATAATGTCAATCATTTTTCAACAAATTCTATGGAGAAGAGAAATTGCAGGAACAAAATTGGTTTTGATGATGTGATAATCTAACTCCTCTAAATAAACTCCTTTAAATGAGAAAGAAAGATAGAGAATGAGAATCATACTTCCTCCTTCAAGAATTCTGTAAAGCTTGGCTTCATAGAGAAGTTGGGGATGCTTCGTTTTACTCTCCTCCTGCGAAACAAAACTGATCGAATCAAGGATAATTGTTAGCTAAGAAGTACCATTTTAAAGAGCTTAAAGCTTGCCTGACTGATCAATATCAAAGTTTATCAATTCAGAGAATGTCAATTCAGAGTCAAACACGAGCAAAGAACTTGATTAAGGATTAAAAACAGAACGAATTTAAATTAAATCCCCAGAATAGCTGATGAGCTGAAACTTACGATCTTAACAGCAACGATCTCGAACGTATCAACGTGCGTAGCTGCCAAAATAGGGAACGTCAATATGCATCAATTTGAAACCAAAAAGAAAAGAAAATTGAGAAACAATAACACAGACCCAGGAAAATCTCTCCGAAAAAACCACCGCCGATCTTCCGTCCGAGCTTGTACTTGCCGCCGATGATACGTTCCATGGCAGTTCCGATCAAAACCGAATCTGGATCATGCGCATAGATGATAAAGATAATGCATACACCACCGATTTTGTCTTCCAACACTCCGACTCTCAAACCCAAACTCACGATGATGAACAGTGATATTGACCCAAATCGACGACTTTGTCCGTAAAAAGTCCGAAGCCACTCACGATCTGACACGTGTCTCTTAGAGACGGTCTCTGAAACACCTTAAATTAGAATCGGTTCTGAGCTTATAATTATATTTTTCATTTAATTTAAATACCTTTAACACTTAAGAACTTCTTAAAAACTTAGCGTTGGAGGTGGTCTAAGAATACAGTCAGTCGCTCACCGTTTTACTCCCAATACATTAATATTATAAGAAAACTTAATGTAGCATGGGTTATCATTTTATTTTAGAGAGTGTTAATTAAAATAAAACAACTAGCTCTTCAAACACATTTTTTAAACTATATTTGCACTAATCTATAATACCGGTCAGAAATAAATAATAGCGTACAAACCACCACAATGAGTTACAGTATGTGGTCCATGTCTAGTATACTCGCATGTGATGGCTAATCTTCCGGATCTGAGGGACCAAACAAAGAATTTCAAGTAATCTTTCTGCATTTAATATACAGTTTACTTAAGCGGTTAACGGCCAATTATCTTGAATCATTGATTGACTTCGAGTATTCGAATAGCTTAGTCGTTTATCAATAGTTGTGAGACTACCGTTCTTGGATCCGATTATTACGTAAATTGAAATGTGATTAAGTCGGCAAAAAAAAAAAAAGATTTTTTTTTTTCATCAGTTGCATCATTGGGTTATATATGTATCATGATGTATACACTAACATTACTAACTTATAGACAACATTACATATGAATCCCGTCAGTAAAAAATTTTGAGTATACACAGTATATCAAAATATTATATCACAAATTTGTTATTTTGGGTTGACCAACTCAAGAAAACGATTTTCTTTATGATGTTTACTGCGATATTGACAACTATAGACGAAAATTATATGCAATAGTCTCAGATTTCCATGAAATGGAATTGATATTAAATGAACAAATTTCATGTTTTATACCTCAAACCGTACGTACGATCAAATCAATAGAAACCAAAACATGGCATCGATCATAAAATTCAGAAGAGAAATTTTAAACACAAGAAAACAAGCCCAAGAACAAACCCTAGACCGACTTTCCTCTCACAGGAGCCTGACTTATCGGCCGGCGAGGCTGCCGCCTTTTTCGTGGAGTTGGAGTCATCGGAAACCCCAGAGGACGGAGATTTTGGAGCAGGAGCAACCGGCGAAAGCTTGTGCTCTCCGAACATCTCACCCGGCAACAAAACCATGTCTACTACATAAACCGCGAGAGGACGTTGTTGTCTCAACGGATTGCTGACACGTGTCTCCACATAACCGGTTGATACATTAACTTGGTTAGCTTGACCAGTGAAGTTGAGCCCGTAAACACCGTTGTCTCTGCCAGAAGCTTGAGTCCTAACCGGGTTACTCACGGAGAGGAGATCGTCCAAACTGTAGAATTTGGGGCTAACGTGGTAGAGGATGAGCTTGACTTGTTCGTCTGCGCTTAACTTGTTTAGAGTTCCAGGTTTAAGGTTTTGAAAAGCGTTGTCCGTTGGGGCGAACACGGTCATGCCTTCAGATGAGCTATTGACTTGGATGTTGACTTGGCTACCGACTTGAGTGATGTTCAAAAGATGGATGAAAGTAGTGAATTGACCACCTTTTTCGAGGATTGCTGTGAGGTTGATGGGACCAGCAGGGCCCGGAGCTGGTGCTGCTGGCTGAGCCGATGTCTCGGTTGTGAGAAGCAATGCGGCTATGATGAGGAGAGGAGCTATAGTTAGACGAGTGATATCCATTTTTTTTTGGTTTGGTTTTGTTTAGTTAACGTGTGAAGAGTGAATGGGAAAACGATATCGGATGGGAATGTTTTATATGCAAGTGAATGATTAGAGTGATGAGTTGTGACTTTGTTGGAATGAGATGGCCAAGTCAATACCAAATGTTTGAAGACAGAATAATGTCTATAGAGATCAGATTATTTATCAATTCAGGGTGCTCAATTTCCATTCGAGGAGTATATATTAGAATAGAATATATGAGGTTGGTGGATTCCGTGGGTAGAGCCCACATCACATGTAATGTGAATCGGGATCGAGTGAATAATTCGAATTTACATACAATTTTTGAATAGAAGATAAGGTTCGACAATACAACTTAAGGTGGACGTAAATCGGTGTAGAAATTTGAGGGGAAAGAAAAGGAGAAAAACGAAAAATCTTCGACAATGAGTATATAGCTACATAAATAGAGAGCTCCTATCAAGTCAACTCATTTTTAGATAAAGTTTATTCATAACATAAAAACATACTATTTGAATTAGTGTTTATATACATTTTCACTAGCTCGTACACTTTTTTGAATCAGTGTTTTTTAAGTTACTGTTTTAAAAAAACCTGTAATGGAATAGCTTAAGAGAACTTGACAGCTTAAATGGGTTATAGATAGTGTAATTAACGTAATCCACAGATACATTACATACATATGCGTGTGGATAGATACATCATACATTCAAATATATAGATGCGTATACATGTATCATGTGTGTGTATACATGTCGAAGAATATGTGTGTGTTCTGTAAAGGGAATAAATTGAGTGGACAGGCTGACTAAGTGACAGCTGGGAATTACAAGTTGGCATGTGGGAGAGTGGAAAACCCATAATTTTATCTTGCCTCATCACTAACTATTAAATATATATCATTAATTAAGAGAATAACACTAATTGTTTGATTATTATAATGTAATAACAATTATGCATTCAACATATGAAATGTTAATAATGCAAATAAACACAAAAGAAATGTTCTGTATAATTTTTTTCCTAAAGTACATGTTTGCCTCTCCTTGAAGTAAAACGGAACGCAGTTGGAGAACAAACGTAGATTAGTTCCATCCAGAGTTTCAATTGGGCCTAAATACCGGGCCTAGACATTGGTCTGCAGATGGCTTATAGTGACCTGACTAGGCCGACACATGTTGGAATGTTGAGAATGAAGGCCTGATATTTCAATATTCTAAAATATAACAAGCATGACCTTCTACATAATAATACACCAACATGCACAAAGAGTGAGTTGAGAAAGTAAAAAACTAAATTTGCAGGAAGACAGAACAGATTTAGATGGCACCTGAGAAGCATGCAGCCATCCACTCGTCAAGCTCGGTTCGTCGCGTCCGCCAAACCATTACATGGTTACTTTAATAAGCTCTTATTCTGTCTTTTTCCTCGCCCCCTCCCGATCTCGTTGTCTGTCTTTGAAGCTGATGTGTAAGAACACGCGCTTTAGTGAGCCATGCAAATTGAAATGTGTCTACAATCTCCATTAATGAGCCACCTAATTCTCATTTACATGCATGTACTCATCTTTCCACGACGAGAAACGATTTTGAACTTTAAAAAAAAACGAGAATAAACAAAAACAAACCACATTTTTTTTAATACTAGGAGTTCCTACTTAAAATACTACACAAAATCTATGAAAATTTGGGTATTATTTTTATTTAAGATGTCACATAATAACCAATCAACCATAAATTCAACTTTTTCAACCTTCCACCACAGTAAACCCCAATCACTGGAAAAAGAGTAAATTGAACATTTTAATTGCTTTGTCCTTTTTTTATGAAGTGGTTTCCTCTATACGTTAATCGCATGTTGATATAGTAAAAGCACATTTTGGTTGTATTTGGGTAAAGTCTATTAGATTTCTTAAGGAGTTAACGAAATATATTTCGAATATATAAAATATATGATGTCTTCTTGGAAAAAAAAATATGTAAAGCTAGAAAGCATAATGCATGTTAATTGTCACCCGACTCGTCCCTACATAGTACATACATATCGAAGAAAAAAATATTAACCGTCATCCTGATTATGGGTGCAATAAATTTTCTATTTCCATTAATTCAATTCATATTAAATCTAAACCGAGCCAAAACTAATTCATCTTCAAAATTGTATTAAAATCTCCGCTAAGGAGTAAGGAGATCCAATTTCACCAAGGCTGTTTTCAATAGTTTACGTATCAAACCGGATCGAAGTTTTTGAGCTTCTATTTGCTTTGGATAGTATTCGAAACCGCTTTTTTCTTCTTTTAAACCTCCTTAATTTAAAAAGATTAGAAAAAGGACTAGAAAAAGAAGTATTAAGTTATTATGGTGTTATATATATTTTAAACTCTGGATAACAAAAGTCTTCTATAAATACCTAAAACTCCATGTAGGTAAGTTGTAAGAGCTCAACTCACAAAGTACAAAAAAATGGGTCGAAGCTCATCTCTTCTCTCCTTCTCTTTTACACTCTTTATCCTCTTCCATGGCTACACTGCCCAACAGTGGCCCAACGAGTGCCAGCTCGATCAACTAAATGCACTCGAGGCGGATCAGATCATCGAAAGCGAGGGTGGTCGCATCGAGGTGTTTAACCATCATGCACCTCAGCTACGTTGCTCTGGCTTCGCTTTTGAGCGTTTTGTCATTGATCCTCAGGGTCTCTACTTGCCCACTTTCTTGAACGCCGGCAAACTCACGTTTGTCGTTAACGGTGCGTTTTAAGATTAAGATAAACTCATTTATATATATCCATTTATTTATAGAGAGTGTGTTACCCGAATTTTGATTTAATACAAAATTGAATCAAGATTGTTAACTGGTTCAATATATTTTTCATTTTATTTGGATTGAAAACTTATTTGATTTTGAAATAATCATAATTAAAAACAAATACTTGAAAATGTTTGATATGTTTTTGTTTTGTTATGACAAATTAGGACGGGGTCTCATGGGAAGAGTGGTTCCGGGATGCGCCGAGACGTTTATGGACTCAGAGGTGATTCAACCGGGTGAGCAGTTTGGAGAGGGTCAAGAACAGGGACAGGGACAGGGTCAGGGATTCCGTGACATGCACCAGAAAGTGGAGCACATCCGGTGCGGTGACACCATAGCGACTCCTCCTGGTGTGGCTCAGTGGATCTACAACAATGGAAATGAGCCTCTAATTCTTGTCTCAGCCGCCGATCTCGCCAACAACCAGAACCAGCTTGACCGCAACCTCAGAGTAAGTCTACCCACAAGTAACAAAAATAACTTATTTTTGGGATTTTTCGTTTCTCTAGTGAACATTTTTGGGTTTGTTTAGTTATTATTATTAAGCTGGAATTAAAGTTTCTTTGGTTAGGCTTTGAAAACATAAAGTTCTATATAAATCTCCACTTTTGATTTATTTTCCCTAAAATTAACAGAAAAAGAATAATAAACATAATTTCATTTTTAATTGCAGCCATTTTTGTTAGCCGGAAACAACCCACAAGGGCAGAAATGGCTACAAGGCCGAAGGCAACAGAAACAAAACAACATCTTCAATGGCTTCGCACCTGAGATCTTGGCTAAAGCCTTTAAGATCAATATCCAGACGGCTCGGCAGCTGCAGAACCAGGATGTTAACCGTGGCAACATCGTCAAGGTCAATGGTCCGTTCGGCGTTATTAGGCCACCATTGAGACGCGGCCAACAAGGCGGCCAGCAACCACAGGTAGAAGGTAATGGTTTGGAGGAGACTTTGTGCACAATGCGATTCACCGAAAACCTCGATGACCCGTCGAGTGCTGACGTGTACAAGCCGTCACTCGGATACATCAGCACACTCAATAGTTACAATCTCCCTATTCTCCGTTCTCTACGCCTTAGTGCTCTTCGTGGCTCCATCCGTAACGTAAGCTCCACGAAAGTTCTCTTTGTTTTTTTTTTTTAGTTTGATTGTGTTTTTCATAAAAAAAAACATGTCGTTTTTGATTTTTTTGTGTGTGCAAAATGCAGAACGCTATGGTGCTACCGCAATGGAACGTGAACGCAAACGCGGCACTCTACGTGACAAATGGAAAGGCTCATATTCAGATGGTGAACGACAATGGACAGAGAGTATTCGACCAAGAGATCTCTAAAGGACAGTTACTTGTGGTGCCACAAGGCTTCGCCGTCGTGAAACGTGCCACTGGCGAACAGTTCGAGTGGATCGAATTCAAGTCTCATGAAAACGCACAGATCAATACACTCGCGGGACGTACCTCAGTCATGAGGGGCTTACCACTTGAGCTTATATCTCATGGTTATCAGATCTCGCTCGAAGAAGCTAGGCGGGTTAAATTTAGCACGCTCGAGACCACATTGACTCATAGCAGTGGTGGTCCGATGAGCGGTAGGCCGAGGGTCGAGGCTTGATGTGCTCGTGGTTGAACAGCTTTTAAATGTTTGGTTTGTTTCGTACGGTTTGTAATAATAAGAAATAATAATGTAGAAAAGAAGTTGGACGACGCTATAAGGCAACTGTTTTTGTTTTTGAGTTTCTTTTTAGGACGCCTACAGTACGTACCAACAACGAACGTCGTATAGAAGTGATCGTTGGTACATATATGTAACTCTTTCCTGAATAAAGTGTTAAGTTAGAGTCTTTAATTATCCTTAATATATCTGTGCATGAATCCCGGATTTATAATCATATACTGTGGAAACCTGAAATTAAAGCACTTGATGAATCTGTGCATGCATCCCGGATTTTGGCAGTAACAAATCGCATTATTTACATGTACAAACTAAAAGTGTCATTTGGCTATACACACTAATAACCGGCACACCAACCAGTATCTGGTTAAACTGACTACTAATTAACAGAGAGCCGGTATTATGCACCACACCCTTATGATCCTACTCAAGTATTCTTGGTTTCTTCTTGTCCTAATTTTGTGGCCTGACAGAAGAGAAACATGTGCAAATTACAATTAATCTATATATATATATATATTATTTATGTTGGGGTTTGCCACTGCGTACAATTGAAATTGAAAACCAGGAAAATGTCGCTACTTGCCAGTTAGTAGATTGAAGATTGAGGAGTTATAATATTATTGTCGAAATATATAATTTACTTAATAGGTTATATAGTTTGATAAGTTGGTCATGTTGTTTTTCCTTGTAAGGCACACATAAGTTATTACTTTGATTTCATATACGTTAAATTCGTGGGACACTTGGCATACATGACAATATGATGTGTTAGAATACGAACTGTGACAGTGCCATGCAATGTGACTCCTGTGGCCATTCATGTCACAATGTGTCACTCTTTAAATATCCATTTTTCAAAATAAAATTAATTGCAGTTTTTACGATTCTACGAACATAGTTAGATTTATAATTTTATATGATACCATGCTTTATATTCAAAGTAATTATATAAGTTGTGAAAGTTCTTGTTTTTTTGCGACAGTATTAGTAAATTCGTTTAAGAATTAAATTTTCTTCAACAGTAGTTATAAACTTTTGTCCTAATCACAGTCCAAATAATATACTACTCTAAAAAATCTTTAAAAAAATTTCTGATTAAAAAAGGAATATTATGCAACCGTAGTAATAAACAGCGACCACCTCCTTTAAATACCTTTTCCCTACAACTTTCTCTTAATTCCTTATACAAATTAAAAGAGAAGAAAAAAAAAATGCATAAGCTCTTGTTTTCTCTTCTCTCCATTGTCTCACTCTTCTTCCACGGCGGCGAGGCACGCCAGCTAGAGGTGCCGTTGCCGAATGCATGCCATTTCAGCCAAATCAACAGCCTCGGCCCGGCTCATGCGATTAAGTTCGAAGCCGGGCAGATGGAAGTATGGGATCACACGAGCCCCGAGCTCCGGTGCGCCGGTGTGACCGTGGCTCGCATCACCCTTCAAGCCAATTCCATTTTCTTGCCTTCTTTCTTTAGCTCACCTGCCCTCGCTTACGTTGTCCAAGGTACGTATTTCCTTTAATTAGTAGAAACAGTTGATGATTTTTGGTGTCGAAAACCAATATATGTAATGTAGTTTTTTAAAATTACAAAATTTGTGGTGATGAATTGTACACTATCTTGTCTTAGGTTTTCACGTCTTTGAAATGTGATGTTATCTATTACATTATGCATCAAATTTTCACAATTTTTTAAAAGCATATAAAACTTGAAAATTTGAGGCTTCACCTTTCAATGAAAAATATAAAAAACTCATATAGAAAAACTTGAACAAATAGACTTCTTTAAATTTTATTGTTTGCAGGAGAAGGAGTGATGGGGACAATTGCTTCTGGTTGTCCTGAGACTTATGAAGAAATTGGAGGAGGAGACAGTGGTCGACGTTTTGAGGACATGCACCAGAAGTTGGAGAATTTCCGGCGAGGAGATGTGTTTGCTTTGGTTGCCGGAGTTTCACAATGGTGGTACAACCGTGGCAATTCCGATGTCGTCATTGTGATCGTTCTTGATGTCACCAACAGAGAAAACCAGCTTGACCAAGTCCCTAGGGTAACTAAGCAAGTCCAAATCTATATTTGCATGCTACCGATATATGGTTAGTACTACACTAATACATTATGTATTTTGTTTATTGAACCAATTCATTATGTAGATGTTCCAAATAGCCGGAAGCAGGACGCAAGAAGAAGAACAACCATTAACTTGGCCAACGGGCAACAACGCTTTCAGCGGTTTTGACCCGAACATAATCGCGGAAGCATTCAAGATCGACATCGAGACAGCAAAAGAATTGCAGAACCAGAAAGACAACAGAGGAAACATAGTCCGAGCAAAAGGTCCGCTCCATTTCGTCATCTCACCGCCACGGCAAAGGCAGCAAGATCATGGTAATGTTAATGGCATTGAAGAGACGTATTGCACGGCGAGGATTCACGAGAATATAGACGATCCAGAACGTAGTGACTTTTTTAGCACACGAGCCGGTAGAATCAGCACTCTTAACAGCCACAACCTCCCCGTTCTACGTTCCGTCAGGCTTAACGCCGTTAGAGGCGTACTCTACAGCGTAAGTTTTATTTTTTACCATCACAATTTTTAATTGGAATCATAATAATTTGTGCTAACGTAATGAATTTTTGTGGAGATAGGGAGGAATGGTATTGCCTCAATGGACCGCGAACGCAAACACGGTGCTATACGCCACAGGCGGTCAAGCGAGGATACAAGTGGTGGACGACAATGGTCAGTCCGTGTTCAACGAGCAAGTGACACAAGGTCAACTACTTGTGGTTCCACAGGGCTTTGCGGTTGTGAAAACAGCTGGTGAAACAGGTTTCGAATGGATATCGTTCAGGACAAACGATAACGCTTACATGAACACACTCAGCGGCGAAACATCCTACTTGAGAGCGGTTCCCTTGGATGTGATCAAAGCGGCATACGTCGTGACCGAGGAAGACGCCAATCGGATCAAGTTTAGTCAGCAAGAGACAATGTTGGCTATGACACAAGCCTCTTCTTCATAAAAGCTTTTGCTTCCAGTGATGTTTTTAGATTTTCCCGTTGATGAAATAAATAAGGATGTGACTAGTAGTAGCCAGCTCTTTCACAAAGCTTCGATAACAGATAGTTAAAGTTTGTTTAGTACTACAAGTGTTGCGAGTAAAATGTTGGACTCATTTTGAGACAACGTAATAACATATATAACGTAATAAGGTTTCTTCAGGTCAACATGGCAAACGGGAATACGATAAAAAAAAAGGAAACTCTCTTTCAGAGGAAATCTTTCATTGGATCCTCGTGGTGAACTCTCTTCATTCTGTAAGCTTCCATCTCTTCCGGAGTCACCTGCGATGGAAATGTGACATTTCTTTGATAAAACATCCGTTAATTTACGAATATGGTTCGATGCTACTAGAGTGCTAAAGATCATTACATCGTTGCTGTATTTGACATTGTATTTGCGTTTCCTCTCATCTTTTTCTTCCCTCTTACGCTCATCCTCCTGCACACATTTGTATTAGCTTGTCAGACACATAAAAACGTCTTGACAGGAGAAAACATGAGCGATAACTATGATATTTTTTTTTTACCTTTTTCAGAGCATTAGTAAGTGCCTCTTCATTCAATTCCAGATCTTCAGGAACATCGGTTCCCCATGTGGCCATTCTCTTCTCTTCAACCTTCTTTGGGCTCTCTGATCACAAAAATACCATTCATTGTTTTGTTAGCACAGGCGTATAACAACATTACAGAACATATGCAGAAATGGGTGTCGTTACTAATGAGCATTTTTTTAAATCAATCCAATACAAAGATATAAAAAATTAGTATAACAAACATATTCCACAACACAAACCTTCGGAGGCTTCTTTGCGAGCAATATTAGCCTTCATCAGATCAAGGGCAGCCTCTGCAGCCTCAATTCCAGCAGAGCCTGTGCAGTAACTGTTGCGAATGGTCTGCTGGCAACATTTATATCCCCATTGATGGTCTTTCCACCATGAGCCCCACACACTAGTGTGATTGTTAGCATGAACATCTTCTTCGTATTTGCTCTTTGGCAGTATAACCTCCTGTACAAAACAAACATATATTAAGACCCCAAAAAAGCAGAACTTATCACAAGCCGTTCGTGTTGCTATGAGAATGCAATTCGAGAGGAAAACCACTAAAAACCATACCTGTCCCTTTATAATCCTCCCTGCTCGGTCATACTCCACTTGTCTTTCGCTTTGCCCAAGCAAAAGCTCCATTGGAATTTCATCTACTGTAGAAGCATTCCCGTACTTCTCCATGATTGTGTCCTTTGTCTGAGACTTTAGTTTGTCCTTTGCAACCTTGAAGTTCTTGTAGAGCAACTCAGCTTGGGATGGCGCCGCTTGCATATGCATGTCCTGTCCCTTGTCAAATGCTTCCCATGAGTGGATGTTCAACTGTTTGAACTCTAGAGCTTGACCGCTGTTTCTATATTGATTGTCTCCCTGAATAGATGATAAGCAAACAAATGGTTAGTACCTAGATTTTCAAAAGATACGATAAAAGAAATGAGAAAGATGGATCACAACTAACCAAATAAAATTTATCATTCGGATCTGCATCTGGAAGCGGGTCTTCACGCATGGATCGAGTTTTAGGATCATAATGAGCGGAATTGACATCAAGGTTCAGCAGGTATTTCGCTGTGTCTTCTCTGATACGCAGATTCCTGAATTCAATAAAAAGGTTACACCATTAGTGCATCAAATACAAGCATCCAAACAACTATAAATATGTGATGAGGGGTATGACATTTTTGTTGTTTCAGAACAAGTAGTCCATACCTTACAGTTCCTGTGCTACCACCACCAGTTGTTCGAACACGCTTTTCAACCTTTGCAAAGTCCATCTGCCTGCTCTCATCAACCTTGGCTTCATCGACCCTTAAGTCGTCATCTTCTTCGTCCCCATCACTGCCTGCAGCATCACCTTCTTGGTTATTGTTCTTCTCCTCTAGTTTCTTAATCTGCTGCTCCTTTAGGTACTTCTTTCGAGCATCCTCTTTTGCTTCATAAAGCTCTATTACACGATGGTAGGTAGAAGGATCATAACCATTCCATCGATCCCTTTTGCCATCATAGTCGAGTTCAAAACTCTCGATTTTTTCATCAGGTGCAATGTTCTTGTTTGTGTACTTTGCTCCAACCTTGCGAGGTCTATCCATACACGCTTTAGCATTATGGGTCATTGCACCACAGCTTCAAAAATAAGACATGCCAAGTTAGAGATTGGAACAAATTCAAAACTAAAAGAGCAAATTTTCCATCTATCAATATAGCCAATGTTTCAAAATCAGAGACTAAAGGAGCTACAAAACTAAACACTGACGTCAAAGAACACAAGGAAAAAAAGGGGAACACATACTTTTGACAAGCTCCCTTCCGGTATTTCTCGGCTTGATAGATCTTTGCACCTCTGTCATACCATGACTTTGTGTAATTGGGATCACTCTTCCATTTCCTTTGATGCTTCAAACTCTGTAAGAAAAAAGTAATAACCAGAGAATTCAGCGTGCATGTTCAAGCAAAACAATGCGAAGAAGCAAGTAAACCATGGAAGGATTTGGCTTACCGGTTTTTCAGAGTTGAGATACCATGGAGCAGAGGACATATACTGAGGAATGTGAGGATTGATTTCCTTTCCATCCTCATCTACCTCAGCCGGAGCAAGCCCGGCTTTACGAGCTTCCTCTAATTCGATTTGCTTCCTGTGATCTTCCCTCGACTTAAAAGCAACTGCAAAACCCCCATCAACATTCCTTTAAGAAACATATCGAATTCGCAAAATATCATCTAAACTAACCAAATAACAGCACCCACGCTAAAAATTAATCAGAGGCTCTACATATCCTAAGAAAATTTATACTAACAAAAAAAAAACAAAAATTGACCAAAGCACCAAATCAATTAGAAGAACACACTCTAAATCAGACTCTTTTAAGTATCGCAGATTGGATCTAACAAAAACCAAACCAGAGAGAACCCACGATCCGAATACTCCAAAGCAGTAGAACCCTAACTTTCTGGTGACAAAATACGAAAACAGATAATCGGAACCGAGAATTTCCACACATACAGAAAAAAAAAAAGATAATCAGAGCCGAGACTCGTGACCACCAAAGGGAAATTAACAAATAAATCAAGAACCCAGGTTCACGTAAATCTACCAGAACCGTAGAAGAAAGAATTGAATGAAATCGGTACCTGAAGCCGTCGCCATGGTTATCCAATCGTTTAAGCTTCAAATCCTCTCTGGCCACAAGAGAAAAAAAGTGCAAGGTAAAAAGGTTCGATAATGAAATCCCGAAGAGGAAGAGAAATCAATGAGAGCCCTTATTATATATTAAGGGAGCTATTTTATATTTTTACCCATCTTATATAAGGCGGTTTGCCACTAGCCATAATAATATAATCGCATTTCCAACCCTGCTCCCAATTTTTTTGGCAAACTCCATTTAGAGTAAATTTCATTCCAACCCTACTTTATTTTTGACAAAATGGAGAAAAAATAGAGATTGCTCCATATTTGGAGTAAACCTTTATTTTACTTCATTTTACAGCTATACTTTTTTTATTTACAATCTGATCCTTAAAATATTAAATCATTATAATTTTATACTTTTTATCAACACAGCATTATTTTCAACATTATATATGGCTATATGCATTTTTTTCAGATATACACTTAATATTTGTATGACACATATCACTTTAACTTATATATATATATATAAAATTAAAAAATGGACTTTATGTATATATATATATATATAACTATCGATTTAATAATTAAGTTTTTTATTTTATAATTCATGTTTATAAGATTTTTTGACAAGATTTAGGACTTTAATAGTTTAGAAAATATAAAATAGACAATCATAAATATTTGAACACTAAAATTTTTATTTCAAAATATTACAACTTAAAATAAACTGAAAAATACACAACAAGTGCTAAAATCAAAGATAAACATAAAAGTTTAACACAACAAATACAAACAATTTAATATTCTGCTAAATCGCTTCCTGATCCACCAATATCATTAAAATATTGTCCAAACGAAGTTGATGGAGGAAGAAATTCTTGATTTTGTTGTTGAGCATTCCGCTTTTGTAAAATTTTTGTTTGTTCGCCTTGAACATATGCACGAATATTTGGATCTGATATGGAACTCATGTCATAAAATAACATTTTGTTTTCCATCTTCAGCTCTTTCAAAGCATAGTTTTTCTGTTGAATCTCCCGATGATCTTGTTTTTGTGCACTTGTCTTCTTTAATTGTTCCAAAAATTGTTTATTTCCTTCTTCTAAAGTGTTGATAACTGATGTTGTTTGATCAACAAGTTTACTTTTATTTTTGGATTTCTTGATCCCCATTGGTCGTGGAGAGGGAAATCCGCTAGTAAGCTCGTCGGTATCATCTAAGTTCAAAGAAAATGAAGACAAACCTGGAGATGCTTGTGTAGGAGAGTCAATGGAATTTCCAGACTCGGACGATGTATACTCGACACGAGGTGGGATTAATATGCGTTTAGGATCGGCACCATCTTTAAACTTTTCAAAGTTTTTAATAATATTCCAAACATGTTCAAATTTCCAACCTGTTTTGAACTTTGGATCTTCTTGTAGCATTAGTTTGGTTTGACTGAACTGCATATCAATAAAAAACAAAAATGTTACTATTCAAAAAATAGGTATACAATTCCTCTACAAATCAAAAATAAAACATAGCCTTAAATTTCTTATGTTTTTATAATTTTATGTAATTTTTTTATTTAATAAATATTTTTATTTTATTAAATTCGTAAATTATAAATATTTTAGATAGAATAAAAATAAATGGGTTATTTTGTAACTTCTAAAAGTTATAAGTTATTAAAAGTAAAAGAAAAATATAATCTACTAGGAATATTCTTTTTTAGAGTCAAAAATAGAGTCATACATTGAAGCAAAACACAACTCCATTTTGAAGTAAAAAATGGAGATTTACATTGGAGATGGTCATAGGACCGTACATATTAATTTGATTAATTTTGAACGTTGTAAATTTGGTTGAATATACATATTTTTTACAGTTCTTAGTAGGTATTTTTCTCATACCAATCTCTTAATAATGACATTGATAAACAAGAAATTAAAATGTTGCATTTATTTTTTTTTTCCGGGAAACTCAACGCTACTTCTGAAACTGAATCCAACAAAGCGAAACAAACAAAAACAGAGGAGAAAAACTCAGTTTTTTGTGTGTTTGTTTTAAGAATTACAAATAAATGGTGTGGATGTCAATAAAATTTCTTAAGACAATCCATGAGGGCATTAGTGTGTTCAGGCTTTCCAGCAGAAACTCGGACATAACCTTTAAGCTCTTTACTGTTGTAATGACGAACCATCACGCCCATTTTAGCCAAGTCTTCTTTCAGATTCTTTGCGTCCATTCCAGATGTAACCTCACATAAAATGAAATTCGAATGGCTCGGATAAGGATTCAAGAAAGGAACTTCATTTAAAAGCCCGAAAAGTCTCTCTCTTTCTCGTACCAACGCGTCTCTCACATCCTCCAAGTACTTCCCGTTTGAAAGTGCTGCTAACGCAGCTACTTCTCCTGCAACAGAGACGTTATATGGTTGCTTTGCCCTCCACATGTACTCGATTATGCTCAAAGGAAACGCTCCATATCCAACTCGAAGCCCCGCCAAACCTAAAATGTTATATGATAACTCTTTAGATGCAGACTTTATTTTATATGTTTTGTTTAGGATTATTATATAGTTCATTTGTGAATAAACCCGCATTTTACCAGCTCGTTTGCTAAATGTGCGGAGAACGATTAGGTTTTCATAATTCTTCACCCATTTCATCCTTGATTCAAGTCCTGAGAATTCGATGTAAGCCTCATCTAGGACAACAAGTACTGGCATCTCTAGAATCTTCAACAGATCATCCTCACTGATGATACTGCAACAAAACAAAACTCAGATTAATCATCAAGGACTGAACATAATAATATCTTCTTTTTTCTGTTTAGAGTGGTGGTTTACCTCCCATCTGGATTGTTAGGAGAAGTTAAGAATATGCATTTGGGTCTTTCTAGTTCTACAACTTCAGTGATGCGGTCTACGTTCAGGCTGAAATCAGGGTTCCTTGGAACTGTGAAGCAAACAAAGAATGACGCGTCTAAGGACCATATATACACACACAGAGAAGATAAACCGAAGAGATTGAAACACAGTGAATCTTTCACCTTTAATGACACCTGCTCCATTCACAGCAGCATCAAACGCATACATTGAGAAAGTCGGAGGACAGTCTATGATCTTCTCCCCAGGATCCAACACGCATCTGCAAACACACAGTTTAGTCAGGAAATGCGGTTTTGGTGAGGAAGAAACTTAATCCACAGAGAAATAAATTCCCCAAGGGAGACCTCATGATCAAATCGATTAATTCGTCAGCGCCACAGCCTACAAGGATGTATTCTGACTCGAGACCAGAGTCTTTAGCGAGTGCATCACGAAGTCTACGACTTTGAGGATCAGGATAAACATACGGGAATTTCATATTGCCAAGTGCTTCAAGAACCTACACAGATCATCTTAAACCTGAAGTCAGGAAGTAGGAACAATAGCGAACTATCCTTTAATAAATCATCAACATATCTGTGAGTGAGTGAAAAAAAAAGATATAAACTTGCCTCAGGAGGAGGACCATATGGGTTCTCATTCGCATCTAGCTTAACAATATCCTCAGGTTTTCTTCCTAATTGAGCAGACAAAACCTAATTACAAACAATTAGTGCACAGTTACAACATCATCGAATCATCTGAAAAAGTCAACCCTCAGGGCAACTTTTTCTCAAGAATCCTAAAATTGGGTGAGTTTTGGAAATCACCTCGAAGGGTAAAATTGGTTGATAAGCAGCCAGTTGTTTCAAATGTGGACGGATGAAAGAGTCTCCCATGGTTATGTTCTTGGGTTCGTCTACAGCTGCACTTGACGCCTGAACACAATAAACCCTATTGATGCTTTTCTTCAAAGCCCGCGACTTTCGAAAATTTGCCTCTGAACAATGAATGGAGAACGATGGAGCGCCCTGAACATCGATCACACCCATCAGTTCTTTTTGTTCTGCGCATATGAATGAGGAATCGGTTTCAATTGAACTAGTTAGAAGAGCAATCAAAAACACAAACCCGAAAACACAGAGAATCGAAAACATAAACTCAAAATAGTAGAAGCAAGCTGAAAGAGATTGAGGAAAATTTTAAAAAATATTTTGGGTTTTTCAGATTCGTTTTTAAAGAGACTGAAAAGAAGAGAGGGACCTGGGAAAAAAGAGAAGACGATGACTGGAGTTTGGGTCCTTTGGGATATGGGTTTGAAGCAGCTCCTGCTCCTGACCCGTTTAAGCTCAACTACAACATACAGAGCTTCGTCTTGAAGACGGAGTTGGAGATGAATGGGGAAGTTGAAGTATCGGCGCAGAGAAGAAGAAGAGATCGAGAGTTCGAGACTTAGATAGGGTAAATGGTATTTTGGTCAACAGTAAAGATAATTACTAAAATAGATAATTTGGGAAAGAAAAAATAAATCATAAAAAAAAGGTTCCGGTCTCGTAAAGCTTCCAAAGTCCGCAACGATCGTCAAACACGTCTTTCTCCGTAAATCGTCTGAGGTCACAGATTTGCTCCGAGGAATCGATGGCGTTCGAGGAAGAAGAGGAGGAGGAGACATTGGAGCATACACTTCTGGTGGTGCGTGAGGTCTCCGTCTACAAGATCCCGCCGCGAACAACATCCGGCGGATACAAGTGCGGCGAATGGCTTCAGTCCGATAAGATCTGGTCTGGTCGCCTCCGCGTCGTGTCGTGCAAGGATCGCTGCGAGATCCGGCTGGAGGATTCGAACTCCGGCGATCTCTTTGCAGCTTGTTTCGTGGATCCCGGGCGGAGAGAGAACTCTGTCGAGCCGTCTCTCGATTCGTCTAGGTATTTCGTTCTCAGGATCGACGACGGGCGTGGGAAGTATGCGTTCATCGGGCTAGGATTCGCTGAGAGGAACGAGGCGTTTGATTTCAATGTCGCCTTGTCCGATCACGAAAAGTACGTGAGGAGGGAGAAAGAGAAGGAGACAGGGGAAACGAGTGACAGCGACAATCACATCGATATCCATCCCGCCGTCAATCACAGATTGAAGGTAAAATCGATCTGTTGATAAGCTTTCGAAATTTAGAGATAAGATCAATGCTGCTGCGTAATACCAGATTGAAGCTAGGCTTGAAAAACTAACTGCCAAATTTAAAAGTGAAATTGATCCATTCAGATGCGTTTTTTTTAGCATCACTGATTCATTGGCATTGCGGTAGATCTTCTCTATTGTTCCTAGGCTTAAAGATATGGCCTTTATAGTAATCCCTGATGCATCCATTTCCAATAGATTGAATAATTATCATCGAATCAGAGTGAATTGAGTATTTGGCTTTTCCAGATTCCTTCTTTGTGTAATTAGTGTTCAGATAGCCACAGTGTTTGTGCTGAGATTAGAATGAAATGTAGTTAACCCTGTGTTTATAATGTCCGATCTCTCTATCTCTGATCAAGCATGATCGAGAGGATGTTCCAGTTAGATTCTGTTAGATCTTCATGCTCACTATGAACGACCATATCTTTAGGCTAAAGTCTTTATATTTAAAAGAAAAAGAATGGTTTTTGATGTGATTGGAGTTGTTTACTGTCCTGTCCGGGATTATAAGTTGTGGAATCAAGTTGATGCTCCTAAGTTTCTCATTTTGCTCGTTCAGTCTCTTCATAACTGGTTAGCAAGTTTGTTTTAGCATCCGTTCCCAGTAGTAGATAGTGATCTTTTGACTTTGTTGAGTTCATGCTCATATTAGCTTTACCTGTTTTCGAAACTTTAACTGTGGAATCAATATCTTGCTAAAGCGAGAGGAGCCTCCATTACTACACATGACCCAAACTCCATGTTTTTACCCGCCACAAAATTAAATATATTTATAGGACTCAGTAGAACCAATAAAAGATTGTTGTTTTTGATGGGTTTTAAGGAAGGTGAAACCATAAGAATCAACGTGAAGCCCAAACCAACAACAAATGGCACTGGGATGCTCTCAGCTGCTCTTTCAGGAAACGGTAAGCCAAAACCTTTAGCACTTGCTCCACCACCAAATGCTGCTATAAAAACCAGGTCTCCGTTACCGCCTCCTCCAAATGATCCCGTCACTTCAAGGATTGCATCTGATGGTTGTAAGGAACCAACGGATAACACAAGACGCAGGAATGATCCTCTGTCTAATCTATCTCAGCTCAAGGTAAGTAAACCTTGTCGTCGTAATATTCTGTTCGAAGATTCTTTTCTTAAGATAAACTTTACTCTCCATTGTGGTGTACTCTTCAGGAGAATCTTCCTTCAACAACAGGATCAGGACCGACCAAGTCAACAGGAGCTGCATCAGGTTGGGCAGCTTTCTGATATCACAAGGAGCCTTAAATCTAAGGTCTTGGACCCGTCCGGCTTCATCTTCTTGTGACTTGAGAGCAAGAGACATTAGAGGCAGAGACGCTAGACACCAAATGGCAAACAGCAATCTGAGTTTTTTTTTTTTTTTTAATTGATGTGTGTTTCTTTGTAATCTCATCCTCAACACTCCCTGTTGTAATATCTTTTTTTCATTTTTCAAATCATCTTTGTTACATATGGATCAAGAGATTTTAATATATTTACAAATGAAGAGATGTTAATATATCTTTCTAGTACGTCATTTCATGTCCTAAATTGAAAAAAAATAAAATTTAACGCTATGGCATGATTAAAATTTCAAGCAAAATATATAAAACCACACATTTTAGTCCGCACAGACCATGATAACGAGCACACGGACGTGGCAACGGGATCAGGACCGTTCTTGAAAATCTGACGGACAGGAATTCGAAACCACGTGACGTGGCAGAAATTACGTGGAGCTAATGTTGAACGAAACATATTTAAAGGTCAAATTTAGGAAAAAGGAAATAAGCTGGGTTCACCTACTGCATCCTGCTACTATCTTACCGCTTGAGCTCTCTGAAACGGAAAAAAAATGGCGACGACGAGCGGTGATGATGCCATCAGAGTTAGCGGTATGGAATTCGCTTATGAAGTCGATGATCCTATATTCTTTGACTTCAACCTCGATCTTCCAGCTGGATCTCGCTGTCTATTGGTTGGCGCCAATGGATCTGGTAACATGATCGATTTTTTTTTTTTTTTTTTTTTTTTTTTTTTTTTTAACATGATCGATTTTGTATACAGATATATTCGCGTTTTGCTATCTCGGATTCTATAGCTCGATTTAGGTTTTGGGTTACCGAAAGTTTTTTCCCTGCTTGAATCGAAAGTCCTAAAAGATACGATTCTTCTGATTTCATTCACACTATGGGTTTATACAATCAGCTCGAGCCATCTAAGCCTTTAAGAGTTTTTGTTCTTCCAATACATTTGTTTGGTTCATTCTGGAAGAGTAAGGCTTTTCTGAAACTTGTCCTTCAGGCAAGACAACCTTATTGAAAATTCTGGCTGGAAAGCATATGGTGGGAGGAAAGAACGTTGTTCAAGTTCTGAGCCGTTCGGCTTTCCATGATACTCAGCTTGTTTGCAGTGGTGACTTGTCTTATCTTGGAGGATCTTGGAGTAAAACCGTTGGCTCAGCTGTCAGTATAGCCCTTACTCTTCTCTCTCCTACCATTTCTCATGCTTTTTCGGAAATTTTATCTGCGTATTAAGTAAGTAACTAATTTGGCTACATTTTTTAGGGTGAGGTTCCTCTCCAAGGAGACTTTTCAGCAGAACACATGATATTTGGAGGTGGCATTCTCCTTCCTAGAACGATATTTTATAAATTTTGTGTTTTTTTTTTCTTCCTCTGTTTTTTCCAGGCTTAGACTTTTGGAGATTTTTGTTTTGTTGTCCTAATAGTTGAAGGGATTGATCCCGTGAGAAGAGAAAAATTGATTGATCTTCTTGATATCAATCTTCATTGGCGTATGCATAAGGTTTCTGATGGGCAGAAACGCCGAGTGCAGATATGCATGGGACTCTTACATCCATTCAAGGTATAATGAAGACGCTGGTTACTCTGTCTAAATCTCACATGATCATTGTCATCTGGCTTTGATCAAAGGACTTCCTAGTTTCTAATTTTGTTGTCATCCTTTCTAACCTGAATGCTTATCTGATTTTACAGGTGTTATTACTTGACGAGGTCACAGTTGACTTAGATGTTGTTGCAAGGATGGATTTGCTGGAATTCTTCAAAGAAGAATGTGATAAGGTATTATACTATTAACCACTTAACCCCTTTAAATCTCTTGATGTTCCTAACTATATGTGCTTACACTGTTTTATCGGTTAGTAATTGGAATATTACGCTAAACCATCCAAGCACTAGATTCTTGTTGCTGCTAGTGCTTTGCCTATAGTTAGTATCAGGTCCTGGCGTTTCTATGATCAGAATTAGCACCAAAATGGAAAAGTTACTCGTGCCTGTTTTTATAGTTTCACTTCCTTAATATCTAGAGCTTTTGTTGGTTAGGAAGATTACTGCTCACGTGTAACTAAAAGAAGCCATTGAACAAAGTTTTATAGCATTCAGACTGAGAGTAAATGCAGTTATATAGAGAATTCTCTTGGGTTTGTTATTGTGCATTAGTGGTTTAATTAGTGCATGATCATTGACTTGTCTATGACATTGATTAACTCAGAGAGGAGCCACCATTGTATATGCAACTCACATATTCGACGGGCTAGAGACATGGGCTACACATTTGGCCTACATTCAGAACGGTGAGCTGATTCGTTCATCGAGAATGGCAGATATCAACGAGATGAAAATTTCACCCAACCTCCTCTCGGTGGTAGAATCTTGGCTCCGGTCTGAAACCAAACTCGAGAAGAAGAAGAAGAAGAAGAAGGAGCCTGCGGCAAAATGGAAACCATCTCCATTTGATAACTCTCCTTTTAGGTCATCGAGACATATGGCTTATTACCGATGATTGGTAATAACGGTGAGATCATTGATGTGAATATGTGATATGTAAGAATAAGGATACTCGGTACAAGTTCACATTGTATTTTTCTGTTAAAGAACTTAATAAAAAGAAATACACATTAAACATAGACATAAGAAACAAACAATTAAGGCTCCGACTGTGTCTGTTGGCCATTTAATCGGTGTAAATGTATAGTCGACCAATTTTCTGTTAACCAATGGATATTTTTCCTAGCCGATCGATTTTTCCTTAACCGGGCGAACGGTTCCACTTGATTTTATTGAAAACCGGCGTCGTTTATGGAGGGAATAAAAGGAAGAACCGACGTCCGAATGACGAAAATATCCGAGAAATCAGATTTTACTCTAATTAAAAATCACCCTTGGGAGTGTGCATCCCAGCAGCTTTTTCCTTCGATCCATTATCGGGGAGGACAAGTTTTTCACATTCTACCGCCTTCGTCACCGTCGCGCAGACGCCGCGTTCACCACCCTCACCGCCACTGATTTCAGATCTTCGTCTCCAACTTGGTATGCTTTTCCCTTCTCTATACGCTGTTTCGATTGTTTTGCTTAGATTTCCCTTACCGCTAGTGGAAGTTGAATAAAGAGCTTTTCTATTCGTTTTTTGACTTTTTTTTGTAATACCGAATCGTGGGTCTAGATGGGTTTTCTGGGGAATTGAATACCGCATGAGCTAATTTCGGCTAATTCTCTCTGCATTAATTTCGGTCTGAGATTTGTTTTAATGGAGAATGTTTGTAGGGTTTAAGGGTGTCTATGGACTCTTTTTGAATATTTGTTTGTCGCACTTTAAGGATGAATGACTGATTAATATTATCTTCGACAAGGAGGTACTTTTCAATTATGGGTTCTCACGGTAGGAGTAGGAGAGATAGACATGGTAAGCAAAGGAAGCGGAGAGATGAATCCGAGTCTGGGTCTGAGTCCGAGTCTTACACTTCTGACTCGGACGGTTCAGATGATTTGTCGCCGCCCAGGAGTTCCAGGAGGAGGAAAGGTAGCAGCAGTCATCGGACCCGACGTCATCGCTCAAGTGATGATTCCTCTGATAGCGATGGTGGGCGGAAGAGTAAGAAGAGAACTTCGTCCAAGAAGCCCTCGGAGGAAGAAATCAAGGAGTATTTGGCCAAAAAGGCTCAGAAGAAGGTAACTTTTTGTTCTATGTTACTTTTTTGTTGCGTGCTTTGTTGTTTTAAACCCTTATATGTGTTGGCGTTGGTTGCTAACTTTATGCTATTTGTTAAATTCTTTGTAGGCATTACGTGCAGCAAAGAAACTGAAGACTCAGTCAGTGTCCGGGTACTCCAATGATTCAAATCCATTTGGGGATTCGAATCTCACTGAGACGTAAGTGAATCACGATTAAGAAAATGGTAGATGATTATTGTTTCTGACTTTTACTGGTGAAATCTCGAGAATAGGATGTAGGAGGATTATAGAGTATATAGTTCATTCCTAGCTGTAAGCAATTACATAAACATTATAGGCGCAACTTCTTTTTTCTACTTGTACAGCTGTGAAAATTGGCAGTTAAAGTTATCTTGATTGCGTGTAATCGATTTAGACTGACGATACTTGTGAGTAACCTGGTTTTGGAAGAGTCTTCAATTCTCATGGCATGAATTTTTATTGATTTCAGTTTTGTGTGGCGGAAGAAGATTGAAAAAGACGTTCACCATGGGGTACCGTTGGAGGAATTTTCCGTTAAAGCTGAGAAGAGAAGACGGGGGGAAAGGATGGTATGTACGATAAGCATTCCTGATTCATATCCTAGATGCCGTTCACTATGTGTTATTTTGTTTGGACGAATGAGCTTTCTGGTTTTTGTCTTAAGCACTTTGGTTGAATGCGCAGACAGAGGTTGAAAAGGTTAAGAAGAGGAGAGAAGAGAGAGCAGTGGAGAAAGCTCGACATGAGGAAGAAATGGTAAATTCTGTTTCATGTTGAAAATATACGGAAGCCTGTCTTTTTCACAAGATCATTTGGTCTAGGAGGATGGATACAATTGAATTTCTTATTAGCCAATCAGCTTTTTAATTTGGTTATTACTGTATAGCTATGGACTTAATTTTTTTTTTTCCCCTTGGCAGGCATTATTGGCTAGAGAACGTGCTCGAGCTGAGTTTCAAGATTGGGAGAAGAAAGAGGAGGAGGTATGAATGCGTTTTCTTTGTTTTTGCCATTAATTCCTCTTCTATATTTGTTTGGTGTACGTGGCTTGATATATCCTTTTTTTGATAAATAGTTCCATTTCGATCAAAGCAAGGTGAGGTCAGAGATCAGATTACGTGAAGGTCGACTGAAGCCAATCGACGTCCTCTGCAAACATTTGGATGGTTCAGATGATATGGACATCGAGCTCAGTGAACCCTACATGGTTTTCAAGGTACTTACAAGATTATGTTTGATTGTAAAATCATAGTGTTTAAGTTATGATGGAATTTTTTCACTTAGGAGAAGCAGAATGTGAGAATGATTCTGGATGGTTTGCTTTTGAGATCGAGAGTGTAGATATCTCGTCTAAAAAAAATGTCCTAATTGTGTAGCTGTTCTGTTTTGGTGATTAAAGATTGTTTTTTTCAGATTGTTGTGACGCTTATTATTAAAATTGACGTATTCTCTCTCCTGACATGTATGATGCAGGGACTCACTGTTAAAGATATGGAAGAGCTTCGCGATGATATCAAAATGTATCTGGATTCAGATCGGGCAACGCCAACACGCGTACAGTATTGGGAGGTATTTTCTTCAACGAGTCTGATTTGTTTGCATTCGAGGTGATTCAAGTGTTTGAAGTGATTGTGCATGTATGAAATTTTGATACAATAGGAAAAATATCTTCTATGGACCCTCATGTATTTCATGCTATATATATACATGTATGCGAGTGAATCTATGTGCTTAATACCATTGAAATTTTATAGGCGCTTATTGTGGTATGCGATTGGGAGTTAGCTGAAGCTCGTAAAAGAGATGCCCTGGATCGAGCTAGAGTTAGAGGGGAGGAGCCTCCTGCAGAATTGCTTGCTCAAGAGAGGGGACTACACGCTGGTGTTGAAGCTGACGTGAGAAAACTTCTTGATGGCAAGACACACTCGGAGCTTGTGGAACTGCAGTTGGACATCGAGTCGCAGCTGCGTTCTGGGTCAGCGAAAGTAGTAGAGTATTGGGAAGCGGTTCTTAAACGCCTCGATATATACAAGGCAAAGGTATTTGCTTGTGGATGATCTTGAGGTGTTAGATTTTGAAAACTCTGGATTTGTTTTTTGGAATACTTACTGACTATCTTGATGTTCAATAGGCTTGCTTGAAGGAAATACACGCTGAGATGCTGAGGAGACATCTGCATCGCCTCGAGCAACTTTCAGAGGGTGAAGAAGATGTAGAAGTTAATCATGGCTTACCACGTGTAGTGGAAGAAAACGAGGAGGAGATAACCGATATGAATCTTTCAGATGCTGAAGAAGCATTCTCTCCAGAGCCTATTGCGGAGGAAGAAGAAGTTGATGTGGCAGCAGAAGCTGCTGGTTCATTTTCACCAGAGCTCATGCATGGTGATGATCGTGAAGAAGCAATCGATCCCGTGGAAGACAAGAAGCTACTGGTACTTTTAACAGTTCCTACAATCGACTTTTGCCCATAAATTATCGTCGTTGATGCTTTGACCGACCTAAAATATTATTGTGGCTATAACAGGAAATGAAACGGATGGTTGTGTTGGAGAAACAAAAGAAGCGGCTTAAAGAAGCTATGGTCTCAAAACCAGCACCTGTAGAAGATAATTTGGAGCTTAAAGCAATGAAAGCAATGGGAGCAATGGAGGAAGGTGATGCTGTGTTTGGCTCTAATGCTGAAGTGAACCTTGATTCCGAGGTACCATGATCGCTATTAATCTCTTCTCTATCCCGTAAGGCCATAAGTTGTCTATTATTTCGGATGCAAATATCTAAATTTTCTTCTTCTATAGGTATACTGGTGGCATGACAAGTACCGGCCAAGAAAACCAAAGTATTTCAACCGAGTTCACACAGGTTACGAGTGGAATAAGTATAACCAAACACACTATGATCACGATAACCCGCCTCCAAAAATTGTTCAGGGGTACAAGTTTAACATCTTCTACCCAGATTTGGTAGACAAGATTAAGGCTCCGATTTACACTATAGAAAAAGATGGGACGAGCTCTGAAACATGTATGATCCGGTTCCATGCTGGTCCGCCTTATGAAGACATTGTAAGTACTAGAAACATTATGTGTTTCTTTTAACGTTACCTCTCGTGTTATCGTTGTGATCAGTTTGTTTTTGGTTTCAGGCGTTCCGTATTGTGAATAAAGAATGGGAGTATTCTCATAAGAAAGGTTTCAAATGCACGTTTGAGCGTGGGATTCTGCATTTGTACTTCAACTTTAAACGACATCGGTACAGGCGATAAACTGATCGGAGTTTGGCCGGAGAAGACAAAACTGGCAGTTATAAGACTTTGTATGGTGTTTTATTAATCCTTGTTTCCAGGACCGTGTCTATGTTACGATACTCTTAAAAGTTTATTTTTTTACAAAATAGATTATAAGCTCACAAATATATCGTTGAAGTTTAAAAGAGAGATTTTTTTCAAAAAAAATCTAATTAAAAATTTTAATTTCTTTTTACATAGAAAAAAAAACATTTGAAAAGGAAATGAATTAAAATAAACTGAGTGTATACAAATTAAAAAAAAAACATTAGAAAGGAAATGAAATATTAATAGACCAGACACGAGCTAGGAACCAAATTTAGATTTCTCTCAAGTTAATTTCTAATATGAGAAGAATGGGAGTGTGTTTGAGTACTTTCATTGAAATTTGCTAGTCAAACAGTACAGAACAGAAAGAAAATCAATTTGTCAACATGACAAGCTCAAGATCTTAGATTGTTATGACGATTACTAACAAATTGTGATGTTGGTTATTGGAACAACAAGAAAATAAACTGAAGTTGGTGTTGGTGAGTGTTAATTAATGTGGTAAAGTTGGTGTAGACATATAACATATGAATGAGAGTTTTGGGTGGCGACGAGACGAGAGACGAAAAGAGTTATGTCTTGAAGTTGTTTAGGTTGAGATCTCAACATCATAATGCTTATAAAAAGATTCTGTTGGTAACTTAAGTAGTGGAGTAGAAGATATTATTTAATCTGACTTTTCATTTCTTTTTCATCTCCTTTTGATGTCTCTTTTTCTCCAAACTCCACCCCCACGACAAAATCAAACTTAATACTCTATATGAGTATTTTGCGCATTTTTTCTTCTAATAATCAAGTTTTATGACCTTCTAAGTAAATGTGCTGATGTATATTTGAGTCCGATTACAGAATACACGCCAAAAAAAAATATACGAAAAATAACATAATCAAAAAGCTAACATAATCAATATTTCCATGTTTAATGAAGCTCTTTGAAAATGAAAATCTAGTGCGTAAATTAAATGTTCATCGTCAACATCAGAAGCACTTGTAATTTGTAAACAATTCCCTATACAAATAAAAAAAAACGGATATTATTATTAATATATCCAGAAAATAAATTAAAAAAGTTAACAATCTCCTCCTCTATATGATCAAATCGCTTTCAAACTTCTACGGTAACCCGACATTTTCTGTTTTTCCTCATTCCACTTCTTTCTTCCATTAACTGTTTTTTTTTTGTTTGCTCGATTGATTTTTTTTACGGAAACCATATCTTAATCTCCGATCTTTCCGCTTCTATTTGAGTTTCAGATATGAACTCAGGTACGTTAATTTTCTTACAGTAAAAATTTCTGGAAACCGATTTTTCTTATAGGGTTCAATTAAATTAGAATCTTTTTTTACGATGATTTCGAATTTAGATTTTTTTTTGTAATTTAGAATTTCTCTATTTAGATTTAAGAGTATAACATTGAGAAGAGAAAATAATGGATTCTGCAAGAAGTTGGTTTCACAAGTTTCAACCACGAGACAAGCCCCGGAAAAAAGATATGTTCTCCGGTAGCACTTGCGGCGGCGGGACAGAAACCGCCGTCAACGGCGGAGAAAATGAAACAGAGACGGCGACTAAACTTCCGCCACTAGGCGGAGAAGGAGAAGCACTCTCAAATACAACCAAACAGAAAGTTGCCGCAGCCAAACAGTACATTGAGAATCATTATAAGGAACAGATGAAGAATCTCAACGAGAGAAAGGAGAGGTATATTATATACATACACACATATACACTTATATTTATAAATAGCTATCTTTAGACGTATTAGATTCTTGATGGGTTTATTTAAATATGGCAGACGAACAACGCTTGAGAAGAAGCTAGCAGATGCAGATGTATCTGAAGAAGATCAAAACAATCTTATAAAGTTTCTTGAGAAGAAAGAAACAGAGTACATGCGACTCCAGAGGCATAAGATGGGTGCTGATGATTTCGAACTTTTAACTATGATCGGTAAAGGAGCTTTTGGAGAGGTAATTAACACATAAAAGATTCTTCTAATCCTAAACCCTGACCTGAGGAAAAACCCGACAAAAATAATTAAAACCCTTTTCTTTTCTTTCATATCGATTGATTTAGGTTCGAGTTTGTAGAGAGAAGAACACAGGTCATGTTTTTGCGATGAAGAAACTCAAGAAATCAGAAATGCTTCGCCGAGGCCAGGTCATTTTCTGCGCCGCATAACGTTTCTTTTCAATTTCAGTTTTTGGGGTTTTTAGTTATAAGTTATTAGCATTTTGAAAAGAAAAAAATATATATATTTTGTAGGTGGAGCATGTGAGAGCAGAGAGGAATCTATTGGCAGAAGTAGACAGTAACTGTATAGTGAAACTTTACTGTTCTTTCCAAGACAATGAGTATCTTTACCTGATAATGGAGTATTTGCCCGGCGGCGATATGATGACTCTTCTGATGAGGAAAGACACTTTGAGTGAAGATGAAGCTAGATTCTATGTCGCTGAAGCTGTTCTCGCTATTGAATCTATCCATAAACGCAACTATATCCACAGGTTATATATTGGATCATTATTATTGATCACAAAGAAAGATGAGGTTTTTTGTTAGATGTTTAATTGTGTTGTTAATTTGTGTCAGGGACATAAAGCCAGATAACTTGTTGCTTGATAGAATTGGACATTTGAGGTTGTCTGATTTTGGACTATGCAAGCCATTAGATTGTAGTGTTATTGAAGGAAAAGATTTCTCGGTTGGAAATTCGTGTAACGAAGGAGGTTCAGAGAGCGAAGAGAACGCCGCAGCAGCAACCGCTCCTAAACGCTCGCAGCAAGAACAGTTGCAACATTGGCAAAAGAATCGAAGAATGCTTGTATGTGAACAAATTTCCCTTTTGCCTCTCTAGTGCCTCTCTTAGCTTCTTCTTCTGATCGGTTTTATCTGTTTTCTATCAAAAAAGATATCTTATCATCACTAGTTAAAATGATGTCACATGACTTGCATGCAGGCTTACTCAACCGTTGGTACACCTGACTATATTGCACCTGAAGTCTTGTTAAAGAAAGGATACGGCATGGAATGTGACTGGTACGTACACACGTACCTCCGATTTATACAAACGTGTCTTTTTGTATTTTCTTTTGCTAATTAAAGGTTTTTTTTTATAAAAAAATTTGTCTATATCTACAGGTGGTCACTAGGAGCTATAATGTATGAGATGCTTGTTGGGTATCCACCGTTTTACTCTGACGACCCAATGTCTACTTGTAGAAAGGTTCAATGCAGAAGAAAATAATTAATATTTGCTTGTGGCATTTTTATCTTCTTAATGAATTTTATTTATTTATGAATTAGACTTATATAAAAATGTATAAAAACAACAGATAGTGAATTGGAGAACACATTTGAAGTTCCCTGAAGAAGCAAGGCTATCACGAGCGGCTAAGGATCTTGTTTGTAAGCTTTTGAGTAACGTTAACCAACGAATCGGCTCTACCGGTGCCTCCCAAATTAAGGTATCTTTCTCCTTTTTTTTTTTGGCCCTGTATAGTGAAATTACAATATCCTAAACCCACCAACCACTATTATGCTAATGGATGTCACAGGCACATCCTTGGTTCGAAGGCATAGAATGGGAAAAGATTTACCAAATGGAAGCTGCTTTTATTCCTGAGGTCGACGACGATTTGGATACTCAAAACTTTGAGAAGTTCGATGAGGTTTTTATTTTTTATCTTCTTTTCTCCATATTGTTATCAGCTAAATCCTAATGCCTCTTATCATCAATTTCTTTTGCTTTTTTATTAATACTCTAATGTATATTTAGGAAGATAATCAAAATCAAGCACCCTCTAGAACAGGACCATGGAGAAGAGTAAGTCGAGTTGTTTACTATTTTCTTCAAGTTATATAGTATAGTAAGTCGTAACTTCACTCACACTCTTCCGCAGATGTTATCTTCAAAAGACATAAATTTTGTCGGCTACACATACAAAAACTTCGAAATCGTCAACGATTATCAAGTCCCTGGGATAGGTATCGTCAACTTTTTAATACTTTTACACAAATAAAAGCTTTAGGATTATTCGATATCAGAAGCAAGACTCTAATATAATGTTCCGGTTTACATTTATCCCAGCGGAACTGAAGAAGAAAGAGACTAAACCAAAGAGACCATCGGTTAAGTCACTATTCGGTACGTGAAAACCTCTCGCGCAATCAAAACGTTGCGTTTTAGTTCTCTCGTCCCCTTATATTCATAAATCATAACCCTGACGTGTTTTACGTGTGCGTATAACAATATAACAGAAAGCGAATCGGATTCTTCGTCGGACATGTCAGCGATGGTGGCTGGTTCGGAACAACACATCGTTAACCGGAGTATATCGAATCCAACGCCTCGTGAATATGAACCCAACCTGAGACGTCTAGAGTCCGAGTAGATATCTCCATCTACACATATACCAACCTGAACCGGAACTAATGAACTAAAATTAAAGTATACCGAACTTAGTTTGGAGACGGATACCGAATAACTATTAATTCTCTTATTCTTTTGTTAGCCCTAATTAATCTGCAGATTGCAATACATTCGGTATTAATATAATCAAATGGAACAAGGAAAATAATCAAAAGCAGCAAGGAATATAGATTTTAAGTATTTTTTGTCTCATTTTTTGAGAAACTGAATCATCAAAATATAGGATGTTTACTTTAACAGGAAAAATATGATAGAAAGTAAAATAGTAAGATCAATCAAATGTGTGTGTGTGTAAGATCATACCCAAAAAAAAAAAAAATCAAATGTGTGTGTTGCTATCTTTTGTCGTTTTGTGGAGATGCCACAAATATTATTAAAAAAAAAAATTTCTACTACGAAGCTTATTATGAACCAAAAGCTCAGATATTACTGATTAAGAAAATAATTAGTTAACGGTAATGTTTCAAATCTGAATGGCAACCATTTAACTGCCTAGACAGTTACAAATGTCATGTAGTAAATCTCCGTTTTTTCGTCTTTAAAAATATGAAGTTCTTCAATGTTGTATCTATTTTTCTGTTAAAAAATGGCGTGTTTCGCATGGTCCTAATTTCAATGAGAAACAAAAAAGCCAACAACAAATGTCACGAAAACTTCTTTTCTTAACTCTAACTTCTTGGATGAGAGAGATTGTAGATAAATCAAAAATGGAAATATGTATTTTTGGTGTATTTACTGGTATGTCCTAATACTCAGTGCCGTTCTTAGATTTATAGAGGTGTAAGGCAAATTGTAATACTGAATGAAACATACAAAAATAATGATAATAGAAAAATTTTATTTACTTCTCATTTTTCCTACAAATACATTTATCAAATTTTCCTAGAGATATGATAATCAAACTATTTAGTTCCTCTTATAAAATAAAATGTTTAATATTATGGAATTCTTCAAACAAATATACTAAACATATATATCAAATTATATACATAAATCTAGATTTGAAATTAATGTGGCCCTATAATTTTATTAATTTTGATGTGGTCTTACGCCATTGCCTAATTTTTTGTTCACAAGGCACGGCACTGCTGATACTGTTTATACGAATTAGTGTTGTGTTTATGATCTCATTTAAAGTTGAATCATTGGCTGGTTACCTCACGCTCTCTTATATGAAAAAGGAGCTCATAATATGGGAGGTTTATTTATAATAATGAACTTGTCTCTGCTACATCAAGTTTTTTTGTATGAGAAAGGGGTGCTATACGTTTTGAACTTCTTGATCTTTTCTTGTAGAATTAATGCAAAGGCATCCATTTCATAGACGAAATTTCTTATAGAAAATAACACAAATTAAGTCTTTTCATGATATAGTAAATACTTCATACATGTGGAAGCAAATAAAACATTATACTGATCCTTACCTCTCTTGTATGTTGTGGTTGCATTTGATTTTTCATCTTGGTTTTCCCTTGCTTGCGTAGCTGTCTTCTAGATTGACTCATTTTTCTTTTTTGGGTGTTCCTCTCAAATGTGATTAGTAATTTTTTCTTATTTTATGAGAAATTCAATTTAATGCAAATAAAGATTAGATCTCAAATGTGATTAGTAATTTTTTCTTATTTTATGAGAAATCCAATTTGATGCAAATAAAGATTAGATCGTTAAAGAAAAGATGATTTATCACTTTTAAACTTAAACAAAATCAAGTAAAATTTTCATTACAAATTGCTACTCGCACAATTACTGCTAACATGTCAAATTTTTAGAAACAATTAATCTATAGAAACAAAGCTAACACCATATTTAGAAGATTTATAGATTTATAGATGAAAAAATTATTATATGAGTGGGTAGAGCCAGGAAGAATGACACTATACGCTAACCAGCGTCGCATGTTTGGGCATAGAGGAAGGCGTAGAAGCAGAAGCGGAAGGAGGAAGAGGCGGGGAAAGCATTAGCCAGTTCATACGCCCAAATCATAAATAAAGACGCCGTATATTTACTGATTTTAAGTTTTTTTTTATTAGTTTAAAACAAGATATATTTTCTTTTTATTATAGCGCGAATGTATATTAATTAAATTATACATTAATCAGGCTTGAGATTAAAGTAGTATATGGCTAAAGGTAGTTTAAAGTTTAAAACTTAAAGTTATTATTAGAGGTTTGACCAAATAAAAAAAGTGATTAGTGGTAAAAAAATTTATAAAATAAACCATTCTCTGTGGTTCTAATGTTCTTGGCCAGCTTGATCTTCTTAGAGGGAAATAAGCTGTATGTGAAAATAAGCTTAATTGGCTGGTATGACTCAAGTTGTAACACTTTGCAATCAAGAAACGCGGATTAAAGCCTGCAAAACAGCCATAGCTTAACCTTTACAGTTACTACCCACCTAAATACGCAAACTCCAAGCTCAAATATGCTTAGCTTCATCAAACAGAGAGATTTTGAAGGTACAACTAGTTATTATTAATTTCCAAATTATTATCAAACTCCAATATCCAAATTATTAATTTTGACATCTAGAATTTTCATGAAATTATATTTTAATAACAAATTTCATTTTCTAATTTATAGAATTCTATCTTCATGAAATATTAAAATGTAATAAATGAAGCAGCCAAACAGTTCGGCTGTGTGTAGTGAAATAGTTCGGCTTTGTCTCCCTCCTTACCCTCTGTTTCACTATCTTGATCAATTGTCATGATCAAGCTCACCCTAGTAAAAGCGAGAGTCACAAGTTCGAAACAGGAGATTAGAGTTTAATAACAGTGAAATAGTGTGAACTCTTTCTTTGTTGCTGAGTTTTAATAACTTTTTCTTTATATGTTTTCTTTGAAAATAAGAAATTTTAGCTTGTTATTTTGTTATGATTACAGTTTTTATATCTCATCTGTATATAGTTACGCTTGCAAAACTTGTTGATTTGTGTTACAGTTTACAAGTGTGAAAAACATATGACTATCCTCGGGTCCCGACTAAGCCTTTGGCCCAAACCCAAATTTCCCACATAATTGTGTTTTTGTTTATAAATTTGATTATTATAAATATTAAAACTTAATAATTTAACAAAAAAAATATTTTTTAAAGAAAATATTGTCATTTGAATTTTTTATTTTTTATTTTAAATATATTATTATTTAAATATTTCTTTTAGCAAGATCGGATATCCGGCAAATATTCAGATTTTTAGCGGATATCTGGAAAACGGATATCCGGATAATTATGGAGCGGATACAGATCAGAAAAATGATTATTCGGCCGGAGCGGAGCGGATCACGGATATCTCCAAAATCCCGGATATCCGCTCCGCGCCCATCCCTAATAGAAGATGGACCCGGGTTGTCTAGCTATGAATCAATTAGCAGGGGCAATATCGACTTTTGGCAAAGAGATTAGGGCTAGGGCTTTGACCAGCGACAGTAATAATCTATATAATAGCCGCGTCAACTGCTCTGCTTGCTATGAAAAGTCTCCCTCCTCTCTCTCCGTTTCTTACAATTATGGATCTTTAGATTTGCGTTGTTCCATTATCTAGGGTTTCATTACATGCTCTGCAGGAGCCTCCCGGGCTAATCTGAGTACAGTGCATGAGGAACTAAGCCCCAAAGCTGCTGCTAGATTCTTTTTGCCGTTTGTGTTGCAGGCTCGCCTTGTTCCTTCGGCTTTTCTGTGTCAAAAAAGCGGCTAAATCTCTTTGGTAATTCGTTTTTTTATTGGATGAGTTTGCTTGGTGGCTATGATTATAAAATTACCCGCGCTTCTGAGATCCATTAAGGTCAATGAAGCATATACGGTAAAACATGGTTGAATTTCTTACTATGAGCCCAAATTTCTTGTTTTTTTCTTTTGGATTTCTCGTCTTCAAAGTTTTTGGCAGTGATGATTAATTCTAACAGCTTGATACGCCAGTTCTGCTTCAGATAATTCTTGATTGAAAAAGCTGTATTCATATCTGAGCCTAGATCTTAAATTTTTCCTACTTTGTTTTCCTCCTTTGGTTTTTTTTTTTGGGAATTTGGATAGTCGATGAGGATCTAATCCAGTTGTATGAGGTGCAGTGGAGCCGAGACTCTGTTTACAGGGAGAACCCCTTGGCAGAAGCTGCAATTTCTTTGAATTCATTGGATTTTACTGAGACTTTCCCCTTAATTATTCATCCTTTGTTTTATTTGATCATTCTGTTGCATGAGTTTAAACTATACACTTGCACTTGTATATTTGTGCTTGTAGTCTGAAAAAACTCAGAAATTGTCAGTGTTCTCATCAGCTTCATCTCTCTTAACCATGAGACTGGAGTTAAACAAGTTCACTACATTACCCTCTTTGAAATATACATTTGAGTTTTTTGGTTTGTTGTTTGAGTTTCTGTTTTCGTATTACTCCTACCTGGTTCTGCATTGTGCATATAGAATGTTTTACTTATTCACGAGATTGGAGATTAATCGTAGCATGGATGTTTGGTGGAATGAATATGCTCTGTTGGTTTTAATGCTTCTCGAGGCTTATGAATGGTGGTTTTCTGTTGACCTGCTAAACGTTTAATCATTTGGATGTGGCGAGTTCTTGGATTGGAATGGGGCATCGAGGAAGGAAATTAACTATCTGATGTCAAATTCTTTGTTGAGAGAGATTATTGATAAAAGCTTGATCATTTGTATGTTACGAGTTCTTGAATTGGTAAAGGGGCAGCGAGGAAGGAACGAACTCTCTGTTGTCAAGTTCTTGGTTGAGAGAGATTTTTGATAAATCAATAGCGGAATAATGGTGAATTCACTAGGATGTACTTGATACTATTTTTACGAACTAAAGTTCATGTTCATCTTAGTAAAAGTTGAATCATTTGGCTTGTTTTCCCAAGTTCTCTTATGAAAAAAGATGCTGTGATATTATGAGAGGTTTTCAAAAATAACGAACTTTGTCTCTGTTACATAGTAAATCAACGGCATCCATCGTCTCCAGTGTTATTCCATTGCGTCTTAGACTCTGAGAATGCTACAGAACCTAATGTTCATGTACGTTCTCCTTGTCCCCTAGTAAGTGCTGTTTTCACCAGATCGATTGATAACATGTCTTTGATCCTCGCTGTGACTGCGTCTGAAGCAGCCAACACGCCTTTTTCTCCTAACAAATCTCATTTCTTGACAGATGCGATTCCTTGGTTGGTATAGTTCGTCTTTGTCTTCCTCTGTTTCACTCTCTTGAACAGTTGTCTTTGATCGAACCGTTGGACTACAAACGCTGGCAAGCATGTATAATCAAATTAGTTATTTAGTTATGATACTGTTTCCTAATGATGGAAACAATATGATCGCGATCCAATTGTGGGTGTTAAATCTTTTAGTTTTGTTGCAGAGAAAAGATTTGGATTTCGGAGATAAGTAATTAAGTAGACAAGTCACTACATTTATTTATTTGTTTATATATATATATATCCACAATCGATCCAGAAAGCATTTGAAAAAAAAAAAAATCAACCTGGAGAGGAGAAACACATTGAATTTGAATGTATAATGAATTGTTGTCTGAAACATATTCAAGTTCAAGACATTTCTTCTTTCTATCTAAGCGCCGCCAACCGCTTCTCCAGTTCATCGATCTCAGAACTGCACCGAAACATAATCTGAGTTTTGATTTCGACGTTGAAATTACGGATATGTGATCTAGTTATGGATACCATACCTGCTAGAATCTTCTGCATTCTTCCCGCCAATTTTACCTTTTGGAGCAGATGATAACTGCACATGGATTAAAAACAGAGATAGAGAATCAATCACAGAGAAGCTAATGACGAGACGGAACAATGAAGAGTATTGATGCTTAAGACAAACCTGTGAGGCGATATCAATGCCGATTTCGTCGAGAACCTAACCAGTACAACAAAACAAGAGTTATTTTTTTGGTTAAAAGCTTGAAACAGTCTCTCTAAGTCTTAGAATTGAATAGCGCGGAATTGTACCTGGTTTGTCAAATCCTCTGTTTCTTCTTCGGCTTCGTCATTGTCTAGAGCATCATCAATGGCATCTGACATCATCTCAGTCTGAATACCACATATTCACTAAGTCAGAATTAACTATTTTGACGACTGTGTCATGGATTTAAAGAAACAGATGAATTGATATGACTTACAGTCATGTCCATCTGCGCAGACTGCTTTTGGAAGTCTCTCATAACCTTAGCCTGTTTTGCTGGATCCATATTCTGCAGAAACACTTAAGTGTTATACAATAGAACATGTTGATGAAAAATCCATCCAAAAATCAACAAACACATATACGGAAATTTGATATGTGTTATATAGAAGTCTGACCTTGCTCATAGCTGACATTGCCTTTGTGGCACCTTGGATTCCAGCTGCAACCGAGGTATGTGCATGCATAGCCTAAACACCAAAGTGAAAGTTTCCAACACTACTCAATTTTGATATGAAACAGAGATATTTTACAATGAAAGGAGACAACTTTCAATCGAACAGACCTGTGTATGAGTAGCTATGCCTCTCATTTGAGCTCGGCTCCCTTGTAAGTTAGCTATTTGCTGCCTTAACCTGATCAATTGCCGCGCAAGAATCTTTGTCGCTCCCTGCATAAAAACAAACAAAAGATGTCGAACACATCATGTAGTTGCTATGACAGACACAAAATTCCTCCTGGAAAAGATAAGAATCGCCGATCGATAAAGACTACTTGAACTACCTCATTCCCTGTTTTAGCAGTTCTTTTTATCTCGAGAACTAGCTTTTTCTCCTATCACACATTCATTAAAGAAACACGGAAGATTTGTCAGTCATATTTGTACACTGAAATACAAAAGTTTGGATGAAAACATTCTACATTCTCATACTTCTGACTGCAGAGATCCGATTTCCTTTTCGATTCCTGAAAAAGGGGCTTTTTTTCAACAATTTGAAACTTAGAAGCTAGCTTTCCAATCAAAGCCACACCTTTGCAAACAGGTCTTAAAGCAAATCATATGAAGAAAACAAAATACCTCTTGTAGCTTGTGTCATCTCTCTCTTACTCTGCCTAAGAGCCTCTGCAATTTACCAAAAAACGATACATTCAGATTCTGAGCCTAGAGTCATTATAACGATTAACGTGTTTCATAAAACGAGATTCTCGATTTTCTGACGAAACCAAGCCAGATTCCAGAGGAAACAACAGTAGAATTATATGATCACGATCGCGCCACCAAATTACACGAGTCAGCCCGGAGAAACCCAGATGATCAAACTCCGATTAGGTCAATCAATCGGAGAAACAAACCTAATTTCAAAACATAATCCGATGATATAACAGAAACAAGTCGAAATCAAACCTCTCGGATTTGGTTTCTTCGCGAAGATGTTCATGCCTAATATCTTTACTCTTTCTCTCTGTATTTTTGATCGGTGAGAAAAGACAGAAAAATTCTGCTTCGAGATGGTTTCAAAGCTTCAGAACACGGAGACTCTGTCGACAGAGAGTTTTGGCTTCGACGTGTAAAAGGATCGCAGCAAACTCCTGAGATTTTTTATTATCTTATCGATTACGTAAATAATACTCTTTATATTCCGATTTGTATTTGTATATTTTTTTTCCAACATTTGTTTCCAATTTGCTTGCATTATGTGATAACCATAATAAATCGGGGATTTCTCTTAAAAATTCTATTTTAAAAAAATCCACAGATAGTCGTTTAAATAAATCGGTGAAATCTGTTATTACACGTTGCATTAACATTTAGATAGAATGTGCGGCTCACGCGGCAGTGTGCGCGTGGTTTTGTTTTCAACTTGCAAGTGCGTGTTACATAGAGATTATTACAGGAGATAACCCTCGAAAGACCGTAATCTCACTCCATCTCTGGGTTCGATGAAATCCACCATATCCGATGCTTTCGCTGTTTTTGTTTTCCACTAAATCGAGAAATTCGTTCTAATCACAGAGAAAGATGGCGTCCTTTAAGTTGATGTCTTCTTCCAACTCGAGAAATTCCGATCTGTCTCGCCGTAATTCTTCTTCTGCTTCATCTTCTCCCTCTGTAAGATCGAACCATCTCAGACACTCCGATCACTCGAGGATCACTTTCGGTTACGGCGGAGTAAACGATGTGACGACGTTACACGACTACAACTTCGCCTTTGATCCAAATCTCATGGAGACGGCTATTGATCTTGACCGGAGCAACGGAGACCGGAACAGCGTAAACGGCGGAAGAAAGAGTGTGGACGATGTTTGGAAAGAGATTGTGTCGGGAGAGAAAAAGACGATTATGAAGGAGGAAGCAGTAGCACAGGAAGAAGATACAATGACACTTGAGGATTTCTTAGCGAAAGCAGCATCAGCCATGGATGATGATGATGATGATTCCGACGAAATCGATGTCAAGATTCCGCCGGAGAGACTCAGCTATACGACGTTCGATTATCCGATGATGCAGCAGCACAATCCGTTTCAAATGACTGAAGGATCCAACGGTGGAGGAATGAGGGGAAAGAGAGGGAGAGTGATGATGGTGGAGGCGGCAATGGATAAAGCTGCAGCTCAGAGACAGAAGAGGATGATCAAGAACCGTGAATCTGCTGCTAGGTCTAGAGAGAGAAAACAGGCTTATCAAGTGGAGTTAGAGACTTTGGTTGCCAAGTTAGAGCAAGAGAACGAACAGCTTCTCAAGGAAATCGAAGACAAGGCTAAAGAGAGATACAAGAATCTTATGGAGCAATTGATTCCGGTTGATGAGAAACCAAGGGCATTGTCGAGGTCCTTTAGCAGGAGCCACTCCTTGGAATGGTAAAATAGTTGAAAGTCTCTGGTGTATTTTGTAGCGGTAAATAGTTTGTATATGTAAATAAACCTATGGGCTTGATTACCATAATATGATAATCTATATAGTAAATGATGGGGACTATGGTTACTACTTGCCTTTCAATTTCTCAGGGATGTAATGGATATTACATATAGCTTTTGCCTGATTCTAATGATTTCGTATGAGACCATAAGGAGTAGATATTGTGTGTGGACCCATAAGGGATAAATTCTATTTCTAGAGGTTTCGCTAACACATTGTTGAGAGAAAAAAAATTTAGTGTTTAGTTAGGCAGGAGCAGAGAGGTCTTCGTCTTCTTTATTCTCCTGGCATCGTTTTAGCAGCTCAAGTTGGCGTCGTAGATGCAAAACCTGTACCAACCACAGACAACGAATTAGTTGGTTTTACTACATTTTTTGTGGGAGTTTCCTTAGCTTCACGAGGTAATCCTTAGAGAATGGGAGGCTAACCATAGAAATGGAGTATTGGCCTAGTTAATTTACCTCTTGTTGAAGCAGAGTTGGGAGGCTAACCATAGAAATGAGCTGTTTCATTTCTTGCAAAAGTGATTGGTCTTTGATCCCTGACCAAGTCTGTGGTGGTAAAGCCAACAGAAGAGCAGTGAACACATCGTTCCCGGATGGGCAAGTCACATTTTCATCACCAAGACCTAAATGGAAAACAAGAAAACAAAGATTAGAGAGTGATCTCTTGATAAGAATTTTGTAAAATAATAAAATTTGACCATGGTTTCCTGAAATCTAGCCTGAAATTATGGTATCATTCGGGTAATCTAGCTTAATAAGTAAAAACTAACCAATGTGGGACTCGTCACAGCTTCTTCTAGCCCTATAAAATGTTCTCGTCGGTAATATTAGTTTGGAGCCGGTTCATCGGAATAGAAACTTCAAATCTTTAATAGATTTGAAGGTGGTCGGGTAAGTGCTGATTGTGAGCCCACAACTTCTAAAAACAGTCCTATCGTGATAACCCACGTTCAAGACTATAAATACCTTTGATGCATTTCACACAAGTTTCCCGACAACAGGACTCATCTGATTCTTGAGAACTAGCCTTGGCAGCAACATATGGTAGATTGTCTTCGTAACCCACCGAGAATAGAAACTTATCCACGTGTTTGAACAGTTCAGTTTCCTGCACTTGTTTCAGCAACTCTTGCTACAGTAAAACGAACAATAGAACAGTGATGAACCGATTGATGGAATATAAACCCGGAAAATGAATTCAGAAGCAACAAAAAAAGAGAGAGAATACCTTTAAGTTGAGCCTTGATTTCTCTTCTGAGCTGAGATTTTGATTTACATCCTCTGTTCTTCGAATCTCAGCCATCCATCTGATAAATTGGTTGAAATTTGACGGAAGTGACTTGAATACAACATATAAGATTCTTTCAATAGTATCAACATGTTGTGAGCTTACAAGACGAGGAACATCTTCCTTCAAATATTTTGCAATGCCAATCCAGCTCTCATCCTTGCAACTCTGAAATAGATAATTAAAAATCATCACTCACTCCAACTTGAAAAAAAATGTCCGCTTAAAGCTCACACTCACATCGAAACACTTTATGTAAAATGTGATTGATTCTATTCGTGTGGATGATAATGTAAAGATTGTTATTAGGAAAAGAACAATAACAAAAGTGAAGTGATATAAAACAAACTAGTAGCAACGACAAATAGAACAATGACTTTGGACTTACCAGAGTATAGAGTAATCCTGGTTCTCTGTGGGGTCTAGATATAAGCATGAATCTGGAAGTAAAGCAGAGTACCAGAAAAGAGAATTTGGTACGAAAGAAATCGATTACTTTCTTTAAGTAAAGCCTAAGAAAAAGAAAAAGAAGAAGAAGAAGAAGAAGCTTATGTACCCTCTACGCCTCCCTGTTGACTGATCAATACTGTCCATCGCATCCCAAAGAAGTTTAAGAGGAACCCAATGAGGAGGATACTTGAAACGAGCGACATCAAGAATCAGAGCCATATCTCTTTCAGCATTATAGCCACCAATAGGTGAAAAATGGCCTGTTCCAGTCTGCAATCAGATATATTATGATCCCGATCAGGCATGAAACTTTATATCAAGAAACTAAAGAGCACCTCAAGGATTTCTGGAATTCACCTAGATGCCATAAAAATACACAGATTAGGCCAAAAAAGTGATACCTGCTGGAATACTCCTCTATGATATGTTGAGATCATGTGACAATTATCAGAAGTGGAACATTTGAGCACGTATTTGCGGAAATCATCAATGGTGCTCTGATTTGTGCGGAAAGCTTCAACTTTTGCCCCTGAACTATGAGCCAAGCAGACAACTTTACCAAATGTAATGCCCTTGTCCTTGACTACTTCAAGCGGCTCGCAACATTCCAGCATTGATTCATCAAACCACCTCCAAGGCCCTAAGGGAAATCAAAATATTCAACAATCGGTAACTAAAGGTGGTCCTCTAAACACAGTTGTCTCCACAACAAAAAATTGAATTTGAGAAATACCTTTCCATTTTCGCCCCGGGTCAATAGAAAGAGAATTCAAAACCATTGAAAGACTAGCTAGACCACAATACGCAGGCTCAGACTGCGTCTGAAAATAAGAAATCAGCCTGAAAAACCCTTCCATGGTGCCTTTCTGAAGCGCTTCATTGAAGATTAGCTGCATAAAGGTTGAAAAAATTATAACTCTGGATTCAAAAAAAAAAACTTATAGGCAGTGACACAGAGAGGCTCCTTTTGTCCTCATAGTGACACAATCTTTGAAGTTTGCTAATTCGTGAACCAATTATTCAATAAACATACTCAGATCTCACCAACAACGGAAAATGCTAAAACAGGAAGAGGTATAGGGTTATACGAGTTGTACACAGTTCCCGAGAAGATGAGATGTCTAGACTGAGAACTAACCAAATCAATCCAAGTAAAACCAAAAGCAATCATCGTCTCTAACCAGAAGCAAAAGGCAGTAAAAGTAAACAAAAAAACCTAGATTTCTCAATCGAATCCATGGATCGAGAACTTGAGAGTACGCACCTTGCCTTCAACAGAAGCGAAATCAATCGCCGGAGGAGAGGGAAGGGACCGCCGATACAAACTCGCCATGGACATCACGGCGGATTGTCTATAGAGGTTTCTCATAAAGAGCAAACTTGCGCCGAAAGATTCGGGGATGTGCTCGAAACAACAACAAACAAACAAAAAAAGTAGAAGAAGAAGAGCTCTAACGAAAAAAATGGCGAGAGATTGGGAATGTAATGGAAATGCTTTCCATATGTAATTATTGTATTTAAAAAGTAACAAAATCGCAGAGAATTCTCATTTAATTCAAATGCAGATTTAATGGATCCTCTCGTCTTCTCTTGCAAGGAGAGTGAGTGGGAAGACTGGTTCAGTCAAAAAATTTGTCAACCGCGGAGGAAACGCCACTAGCGTCCGGTTATTTAGCCGGTCCGGATCGGTTTGTATATATACTTTTGATTTTGATGATTATTGTTGACTGAACCAGAATAATATTTCTTCTCGCCTGATTACAGTGGTTATTGGTCAATGGTAAATGCTTTTTTTTTTTTTGAACATCGGTCAATGGTAAATGCTTAAATATGTTTTTTTTCCCCGAATTCAACTGGAATATTGTTTTTTGGTTTCATGTCTGACACATGCATAGTGCATGAACGCACGTTAGAACTATATATATATATATTTTTTTTTTTTGACAACAGCACGTTAGAACTAATTAAAAAAAATAATCTCGCAACAAACAATGTATATCCAAAACCGATAGTTGACACTTGACACTTGACATATAGAGAGGTAAATCATAACTATTCTCTAATTCATCATCCGCAATTTAAGATCAGAAACCAATAATTACACGAATCTTTAGATATTAAAACTCTAAAAACAGAAAAGAAAAGAAATTAAAATTACTAACATCATGAACAAGATTAGAGATTTATAATTGACTAATTAAACTTTTTTTCGGCTATAAATGACTAATTATATATTGTGAAATCAGAGACAATAACTCAACCGGTTAAATGAGAGCCAAAACACATCAACACAAATCCACATCCGAATTCAGTTGATCACCTCGATTAATATGAAGAATCATGCATAATCTCTCTAGAAAATCCGAAAAACCCATTCAAACTGAATTTCCTAGTAACCCACCAAAGCTATATATATGATATTTGAACTAGACCATATACATCGTATATTTGTGCGTTTAAATATCATTGGAGTTTGATATCATTGATCCTGCATCGGACACTGAACCACTTATAGATTCTGTCTGAGATCCACGTGCTCTTCGCGAAGATCTTGAAGACCCACCATTTGCAGAATCCTTAGACTTTTTCCGACGAGATTTTCTAGAACCATCTTGAGGAATGTCAGAAGATTCCTTTGACCTCCGTGAAGTTCTAGGGTTTCCACTAGAATTCGAATATCCACGTCTTGATCGTTCCTTTGCTGGTGAACCCAAATTGTTCGAACGGTCTCTCGATGATTTTGGAAGTCCTGGTTTATCACGTGATCGAGTCGAATCTGCGGGTAAACATTCCACGTTATTTTATTATATACTATAAAACAAAAAAATTATAATATTAGACTTGATTCGAATTACCTTCAGAAATACAGGACGCATCCTCCTTGATATTTCCTAGAGGCGCCAATGAATACCCACCCAATGCGTTAAAATCATTCATCTGCATTGAATTTATTTTTATTTAATAATAATGATACGTACATCGTTATACCCAAAATTATTGATAATATAGAGAAAAACAATTTAGGTATGGATGTGTGTAAATACCCAGCTAGGTGAATTTTGATTGACAGATCCTCCATCCCAACCAATGTGGGCAACATGCTTTACATCTGTTGGAGTTCCAATTTGCATCTCTGGCTCTTTCTCGTTTTCTGCATTATACAATTCACAAAGAGTAATTTATATTCATAAATACTGGGAATAAGAAAAAAAGAAGGAAAATATAAGAATGAAGATGGTATATATATATAAATTTTGAAAACCTAAATAACTCACCAAAAATTTGAGAAATGTACCTAAGACCCTTCAATAGGCTCTTCATTTTGTAGTTCGACATAATGGAATTGCCAAACCAAATCAAAATAGTTTCTGAGGGAAAAGAAAAGGAAGAAGCTATTCTGTGTGTTTGTTGTTATTTTTTTTTTGTTCTTCTGGAAAAATAGAAGCATGTAGTGAAATCATAATCGAAAAGAAATCACGTAAATTTTCATTTCAACTCGATTAAGCTAGAGCCATTGTTGATGGTTTCTCTGAAAGCATTTCGATTTAAGATTCTCCGACGTAGAATTTTTATTTCTCCAAAATAAAATGTTGAATCAAGATACTCGGTTATTAACCAATAAAAGAAAGAAGAGAATGTTGAGAGGTAAAATCTTAAATTTTGGTTTCCAGATGTTGAACTAATAACGTGGAGAGGAAAAAAAGAACAAAAAAGAAAACTAATTAAGTGAACGACATTTAGTTGAAAGTGGATTTAAATATGGTTTAAATATATGAGGCAAATTTAATTGTTTTCTTCTGTATTGCAATCTTAATTTGGTAAAACTGTAAAGAGAACAGTTGTTAGTAAAACAAATTAATTATTGGCCACTAATTGATAAAAATAAAATACAGACTTCATATTTAGATCGTTCTGTTTAGAGACTAACCACTCGTATGCAATCATTTTTAGAAATAAGAACGATTAACCAAGATGAACCGGCATATTAAAGGTGGACAATGTAAAAATATTAGGCTACATATCGATTCGAGGTTATAACACGATACATATAGTGATTGAATTTTTTTTTTTTTCTTTCCCGAAAACTAAATTGACATAAGAAAGTCGTATATAATCATTATAAACACTATTTTCTTTTACTCTCAATATCAGTAGTAATGATCACCATTTTATTTTACTCTCAATATCAGTAGTAATGATTATCAATATCAAACTAGGAATTTCTTTATAAAATTTGGTATAAATTTTATGAGAAGGCGATTAAGATTTCATTTCCGATTCCTTAGACTCAGTAAACTACAAATTGAAGATCGGGTCACAAGGACAGAAATATTTATCTTATCATCTGCTGTCATGCAAACATTGTTATTTGTTAGTAACATCCAAAACGAAATATTAAAGTAATGATTTCGATATGGTTCTAAACACACCAGAAAAAGAAAGAAAGAAAACAAGTCCTGACACCTGAAACAACAGAAACTGTAATATAATACATGAAAAAATAATCTATATATAGCTAGAGACTACATGTGTTAATGGAATATCACAACATAATTTTTCGGTGATATCGAAGAAAACCTGTAACATATGTACAATGTAGCGTTTGTCACGTGGACCCTGTTGTCTCACACACCTGAAGACACACATACGTATTCGATTCATATACCCATACAAAAATACACTATACATAACATATACACAGACTGTACACCTATATTGCGTATTCTGGTTTCTTTCTACCACATAATACAGAGGGAAATATCAAACATAACCTAAATATAAAAAGAAACGCTTTCGTCTTTTCTTTTCCTTTCAGATTAACCAACAATTAAGGAACCGCCTTAGATTTTCCGACAACGTGTTTGCAGACGAGATAAAAAAAATGAACAGAGCAATAATTAAGACTCCCCGCATGTCTTTATATAGGTCTGTAAAGGAGGAAAAGGAGAGAGTGAGCAACTTAAATCTGAAACTGAAAGCAGAGAGTGGAGAGAGATGGTAGGAGAAAAAAGAAAAAGAGGAGAGAAGAGAGGAAACCCTTTGTTGAGATGGAGTGTGAAACAAGAAAGCTTCACTCATGGCTTCTCACGATCTGACCTCCAAGCTCTCTCTGCCATTTGTGAGGCTATTATGCCTCCTGTGCCGTTGCTGAGTTTAGATCTTGACATGAAGTTGAAGGTTTTACGCAACGATGCCCTCTTATCTTTCTTCAAGTCTTCTTCTGATCAGTCTCATGTTCGACCTGATGAGGTTTGTTTACTTTTTGACTATTTCTTGAGGATGAACAATCTTATTTCTTAAAGTAAACAAAGGCTCTAGAGCAATATAAGCATCCGGATTGAGGACCCTACTTAAGTAAAAAAAAAATGGACAAGTGAATATATATGTGTAGGATGATATACATCTACGACGTACTTCTTAATTACTCTACTAATCTTCAGTGTCGTCCACGTTAAGTTATTAATGCAAATATGTTGATGATCGAAAACAGGTAGCAGAGGTGATGGCGACAAAGGCAATGCCAGTGACAGTAAAAGTGGTGAGAATAGTGTTGAGGCTCCTCACTTTCAGATTGGGGACGTTGCTGCTTTGCGGATTTGTCTGTCTTGATAAGAAGAATTGGCCTTTTCTTCTCAAATTCTCTGACATCTCTCTTGACAAGAGGGAAAAGGTTCTCCAGAAATGGAGCACACAGTGGTATAACCCTCTTGTAAGAATTGCTTTTATGATGATCAAAGCCATCTTCTTGTTCTACTACTTCACCTGGGTTAGTCTTTCATCTTCCTCTGCGTATCCTCTACACAAACTGTTCGTTTATGTTAGATGTTATGGAGATTTTTGATTGAACAATTCCAGCAAAATAGAGGTTTAATGTACATGATGATATTGAAGTTAATGGTTTGGTGATGATATTCTACAATTGGCTTCGTCACCAGGACTAATCAATTGTCAGAATTGTTGTGTTTCTATTCCCGATTAACAAACTTTTAAACTATATATATATATATATATTTTTACCAGCACAAACTCTGATATATATCTTTTGCCTGTGTATAAAACTATTTCATATGCATACAAACAGACAAATGAGAATTCAGAAACCCCGGCATGGGATGCAATTGGTTATAGCGTGAACTTGGGTGAGAACGAGGACATGGAACACAGGGAAAGGCCACTAGAGAAAGGGATCATCGAGACTGCAAAAGAAGATGAGATGAGCATCAAGCAACGTCTGATCAACAAAGGTCTTATAGTCACAGAGGACAAGGAAAGTGACAGTTACAAGATCGAGTGTGATGCGGTGGTAGTGGGTTCTGGCTGTGGTGGAGGAGTTGCAGCTGCAAACCTAGCAAAGTCGGGCCTTAGGGTGGTAATCCTCGAGAAAGGGAACTACTTTGTGCCCCGAGACTACTCGGCTCTTGAGGGTCCTTCTACGTTTGAGCTGTTTGAGGCGCACAGCTTATTGATGACTCATGATGGGAGGTTCCGGTTCATGGCAGGGTCAACTGTCGGTGGTGGCTCTGTTGTAAACTGGGCAGCGTCCTTGAAAACACCTGACGCTATCATCAACGAATGGTCGGTGGATCGAGGGATTGCAATATTTGCTAGAGAGGAGTATACGGCGGCTATGGAAAGAGTCTGCAAGAGGATAGGCGTCACTGAGAAAATCATCAAAGAAGGGTTTCAGAACCAGATTCTTCGTAAAGGGTGCGAGAAGCTTGGTTTGGACGTGACAGTGGTGCCAAGGAATTCATCAGAGAAACATTATTGCGGTAGTTGCTCGTTTGGATGCAGAACCGGAGATAAAAGAGGGACAGATTCAACCTGGCTGGTGGATGCAGTTAACAACAATGCCGTGATCCTAACACAGTGCAGAGCTGAGAAGCTGATCTTGGCTGATAACGATGCTCAGACGAGAAAGCAGAGCGGACGAAAAAAAATATGTTTGGGAGTCACAGCTTGTCCATCAAACCGAACCAGAAAGAAGCTTCAGATCAATGCCAAAGTGACAGTTGTCGCTTGCGGCTCGCTTATGACACCGGGGCTGTTGGCTTCTAGCGGGTTGAGGAATCCAAACATTGGTCGCGGTCTCCATATCCACCCTATCCTCATGGTTTGGGGCTACTTCCCAGAAAAAAATTCAGACTTTAACGGAGCGGCTCATGAGGGAGAGATCGTGACTTCATTACATTACGTGTTTGAGATAGACTCTACTACAACACCTAACATCACACTGGAGACTCCAGCAATAGGACCAGGAACGTTCGCAGCTCTCATCCCGTGGGTCTCTGGGTCAGACATGAAGAACAGATTAGCCAAATACGCAAGAACGTCTCATATTTTTGCTATGATTAGAGATGAGGGTGTTGGAGAGGTGAAGGGAGGTCTCGTCAAATACAGACTAACCAAAGCAGACGAAGAGAATCTGGCAATTGGGTTAAAGCAAGCACTGAGGATCTTAGTCGCAGCAGGAGCAGAAGAGGTGGGCACATATAGGAGCGACGGGCAGAGGATAAAGTGTAAAGGAATCAAGGAGGAAGATCTAGAGGCCTTTCTACGTACCGTGAACGTGCCAGCTGGAGCTGTCTCGATGAGCAAGCATTGGACTCATTCCTTTACGGCACATCAGATGGGATGTTGCCGTATGGGTGCCACTGAAAAGGAAGGAGCCATTGATGGATATGGAGAGAGCTGGGAAGCGCAAGACTTGTATGTATGTGATGCAAGTGTTTTGCCTACAGCTCTTGGTGTTAATCCTATGATCACCATTCAGTCCACTGCTTACTGCATATCCAACAGAATAGCCATGTTAATGGAGAAGAAGAAGAAGAAGAAAGACTGAGAAGAAGAAGAAGCAGCAGTGATATCGTTGCTTACCCCGAAGCATAAAAAAATTCATGCCCTGAAGAAAGCAAGAACAAGCTCAAAAGTTTTTTTTTTCTCAGCTATATCTTCTTTATATCCTTTCTACACCATCCTGTCACCAATTAAGAACAAATTCAGTTCAACGAATAAGCGAAACTGTGATTTTGTATGCTACAACAACGTAGGCAAACACTTCCATCATCATCATCATCATCATCATCATCGCGTTTCTATCAACACAAAAAAGTGAAACGTGTTTTCGGATCATTATAAACTCGTGACGCAGAGAACGATCGATACGAACGCAAACGCGACAAACCACTCAAAACGCATTCTTTGTCTTCCACAAACTGAAAAAAAAAGCACAGATCAAATGATCATCGGTTTTCTCGAATTTAATGCTGTTGTTTTCACAAGTTGCATAGAGCATTTGATCCATAACTGACACTATGCTTGGTCATTATCAGATTTTATCTTCCAGAAAATGATGATCTCGGATTGCATCTTTACAAGCATTCAAATCGAAGATCCATTGACTACCTTTAACAATTGGAAAAGATTCATCAAAATTGATATATTTTTTTTTGTTCAACACGAATGATCGGAACAATCCACTGTCATACCATCAAAATCCACAAAAAGGCTAAATTCGCAGATAAGTTTTTCTGATTTGGGAACATAATCCATTGGCTAATTGATATTTCTGATGTACAAAACGCGACCATCTACCTCACAACAAACAAACCCTAAACTTTCTCGGTCAATTTCAAGGAAGACGATGAAGAGAGAGAGCGAGAGTCAGCTTTACAGAGAGGATTTGAAAAACATTTGAAGAAAAAAAAAATGGAGAGAGAGAGAGATAGGGAGGGGCAGGTTCCGGTTTTAGGGCAGTCTTGCTTGCCGGGCGACAGACCAATGATATATCTCCACGTGTCCACGGGATTACGCCGATCACAGTTTGAGAAATCGGGCAAGCTGGGCAGGATTGACGATGCCGGGCAAGTGGGCTCCATCTGCCCGTAGGAGACTAGCAACCTCCGCATACCTCTTCCGTTTCGGCTCACTTTCCTCAGCCGGCTCAATAGTGTGGCTCGGCTTTAACATCTTGGGCTCGACCGATTGGGCCGAAAGCGGACCGACTTGGGCTCGAACCGAATTCCATTGCTCTCCGAATAGTGTGCCGTTGGTGAGAAACTCGTGACTCAAGTAACCGGCTAACATTAGCTGGTTTGAGCCGACCGACTCGGCTGCAATTGGAGATTTTCTGGAAATCGAATTACCCGGCGGTGGAGGAAGCTTCGTCACGGCGATTTCCGGCGATTTTTTGACGACGGATGAAATATCGCCGTCTCTTTCTTTGCGCTTGTCCGGCGTGAGAACGCGACGTGGTGGTAAACGCATCGTTTTGGTGTTCATGGTGCTTCTCTATTGGGTGCATGCCACGTCAGCACTAAATAAAAATGAAAAATATTAACTGCCGTAAAACAGTAAAATCAAAATATTCGGGTGAAAAGAATTGGAGAATATTTTTTTATTGGTGAGAGAAATAAAATCCGAGAGGCCTACAGAGAGATAGAGAGGGAAGGGAAAGAAAGAGAGAGAGAGATAACAGAAAAGTCACGGAATGGGTAGGTTATGACAATTTATAGAGGCCGGAGGGTTAGATTCCCCTTAACGTTGTACGATATTACAAAAATACCACTCCGTTTGAAATGACTGGAATACCCTTTTTTGCTTTACCGTTTCTTCAATTTTGGGTTACCATTAAAGATGAATTGACTGAATTGGCCTTTTCGATAGTCTCGTAAAAGTAGTAGTATAAAATTACAAGGAAATTGAGATTTATTGAAAAATTATGCTTCTTTATAAGCTTCAATGTTCAAAAGCCTATCGATATTACAGGATTCAGAATCCAATGCTTGTGAAATCAAACATAATTATTTGCAAAATTGCAATTAGCACGCTATTCTATCCTCGATTTAATTTAAATATGGTTATCCTTCTAGTAAGAATGAAGCTATTCCTTTAATATTTAGGGTATACACCACTAATAATATTTTCAAATTAAGTTTTGATCAGTAATTTGAGCAATACTACTAATCACTGTGCGACATGTATTGGTCCCATGACCATGACTTGTTGTCACTTTAAAACAAAAACAAAAATCAAACATTTATTATTTTATTATCAATGTTATAAAGCACGAAGTCAATTCTTAAAATTTATATCTGGCCCTTTATATTTTGATCTACCCAGATTTATACTTATCTTCTATAAAATGGTATTAAACAAGATTTGCATTTTTTATGCGTGTAGCATAAGATCGACAGTACATATTTTTTTTGTATCTCTGTTAAAATTATCCTTTCCTATTTCTGGGTTGAGGGCCTTGAGGCTATATGTAAATGAAGAGATGCGCACACGCTAAATATAAGGGAGAAAGAAATTTGATTAAGGTTAGACTTTTTCCCAGTTTACATTTAATTTATTTATAGCACCTAAACTTAAACTTTCAACGATGGCGAGAGCTCAAGTCCAAGAAATGACCAAATTTTAGGTGAAACTTAAAATATCAATTAAAATTCTTTTCATTGGGTTTCACACTTTATGACAGTAAAAACTATTGTTAAATATACAAATTTTGTAGTTACTATAAATACATTTCCATTCTAAATAGTTAGCCTAATAAAAAAAATACGTCGACATATACAAGTACTTCAATTTTTATACAGTTATCACATTTAAATCGGAGCCTTAATCTTCTTCCATAGTTAACATAACTATAAGAGCGATTAAACAAAAACCCGAACTATGAGATTGAGATTGATTATTTTAGTAGACTTGAACTATAGATATCTTGGCATTATGTTTGCCACCTATCAAAGTCCCTGAATGAAAAATGCTAAGCTTATAAAAAAATTAAAAAATAACACGAAAACAATGCATGCCTATAATACAATAAGGCTGTCAAATTTAGGAAAAATGAAAAATAAAGGACCCCAATTTGAGAGGGACCATAAAATTGACTAAACATTTCATTTCGATATATAAAGTATTAACTCTCGTATAAAAGTTCAAAGCTCATGTTCAACCAAACCATCAAACACCAGTGAGCACTTTAATTCTCCTACCTAATTATGCTTTCTTCCCTCTCTCTCCCAATTTCTTATAAAAAACGTAAAATCCATCAAAAGTAAAATTTTCACACCTTGTTATCTTTATAGTATATAACTATATATATATAAATATAATTACATTAACTTGTTGCAACTAAATTTATAGTTACATCTATATATAAACATAAATATTATTTTCTTTCCTTTTTTTTGACAGCACACAGATTTTTTTTATATACAGAAATATAGATTTATAAGATATAGATCTATAGATATATATATATATATATATAAAGGATTTTACCCTTATAAATAAATGTCGTGTTCATCAAGATGCTTACATTTGAAACAATTAAACATTTGATAACTTATGCAACCAAAAACTTAGTTGCCATTTTTTGTATTAAAAAAGTTTATGAGAACACAAAAGCTAGAGGAAATGGAACAACCAAAAACAAAATAAAAATATACTCCGAATTATTCTGTTCCTCACCATTAAAACGTAAAAGACCAAATCGTAATTGTAGTTAACAAATATACTTCTTATATGTATTTTTTTTAATATGGATTTACTACCTTAGCCGTAAAATTCAAGGTAACTGCACTCTAGCTGTACCCAAAAATGTCATATGCTTGTAAGAGAGAAAAAAATCACAAAAGAATACCTTTGCGTGAGAAGTCCAAAGTGTAGAAATAGAGAGCAATAAGAATTGACCGTTTTGAAGTTTTTTTTCCCTCTTACTGGGAGAGAAAAATGTCGAGGAAGGAATTGTCCTCGGCTGTAACAAATTAGAAAAGTTGAAATAAATTTGTTAAAGTTTGTTTTTTCTTTTTGTGTGAAATCCGATGTCTACATGATAAAAAGGGACTTGGACTGTGAGAGAAAGGGGAATTATTGTGACCTGAACGAGGAAATCTATATGTACTGGAGCAGCATATTAGCAGATGTGTTCCTCAATCTACAACTTTGTCCTAAGTGAACATCCCCGAAACTGTATCTGCATAAATTTCAGAATAATTACAGCAACAAGATCAGTAACGACAGATTTCAGAATAACAGATAAGAAACTTTGGCGGGGAGAAGAGAGTGAAACCTGTATTCGCAGTATTCTTGCCAAGCACAACAGGCTTTCCCATAATCCCAGTAACAATCCGCATCTCTAAGTGGCCCGCGCTTGGCTGTGACACGGTCTTTATATATACACCCCAAAAGCAATAGAAGAGCCAATAATTTTGTTTTTAATTTTTTTACCTTTTGTGACAAATTTAGACTTTGCACCAGGCTGTATGTCATGCCACATCTGAAGCCATAACTCCCGCATCAGAACAGGAGATCTAACGATGTTTCTATGATTCGCTGCACAAAAGATGATTACTCAAAAGTCAAAAAAACCAATGCAAGATATACCTTTGAGAACATCTTTCTTATGTTTGTTACTCACTTTTATCAAGCTCCCAGACCGCAGTTCTCTTTCCTGGAATGCTCTCAGAGTCTTCATAGAAGGTTATGTACTTAACCCTTGGTGCTTTTGTCATGTTCGCTATGATGTCTGCCCCATGCTCATGTTCAACATTCAGTTCCACTTGTACATCACTTCCATCGTGTTCTGGCTGTTTTTTTTTTCCAATGAGAATTTCTTTTAGCTTTATATAAATTCTTGAGGGGTACAGAGATATCTTATTTTTTCTTAAGGACAAACTGAAAATGTTGTAGAAGATAAAAAATTTAAAAGACTCGATACTTGAAGTATCTAGTACCTGGGGAGCCATTGTTATGTTAACTTTAGGTCCGAGCCAATTCTTGCACCAAGAGAGTGAATGATACGGTACCTATCAGAGAGAGATTTGATAATCAATAAAAAGTCGATGGAAACCGCAGTAAAATACAGAACAAGGTGCTGGTCTTCAGTATGTTTGCAACAAAATTATTTTGAAACACAACTTTTTGTGATTACCGTCTCATCCCCAGTTATTGGTCCAGCATTCCCATCAACCACAGTTCCAGACCTGAAGAAATTTTAGCGTAAAGATGTGAGCTAGTCTACGGTTTCTTAAGAAGATATAAAGGGGGGAAGACTACTCCTAAGTTCCTAACTCAGAACTTGGCCATTTTTCCTGTACGAGTTTCAAACCTCTTCACACTTTTAGCCACTGATCATCCACTAAGCTTAAAAGAAAATGACTGGAAAACTACTGACACTTTTTAGTTATTTAACAACTGGCTGATGCAAATGTGCTGTAAATATGATAATACGCCACTAAACTTATACCAAAAAACTCCGCATTTCTGTTTTACTCACTGCTTTTGGGAAAATTACCTCGACACAAGGGAACCTTCAGTTTCGTAAATGACATCCGTAATTATCCAGTTATCAGGATAAGGTTTGCCACTCGGGGCAAAGTAATAACCAACCTGTTGTAGAACACATTTAGTATCTTTAACGCTTAAAAGCATAAAAGGGAGAAGATAAGAGCAAAAAAAAAAGATCTTGCAAAACAAAACGGGGAATATAACAAAATAAACGCATAATGTCAATTGGAGAATGCGGTCATACCTCTGTCTTTAAATGAGCACCATATATGCAAAATACATTTTTTATAGGTGGTCTCTCCCAAGGAGTCAGAGGGTTCATAACAGGGTCATCATGATATAACCTGTAAAATATAGTTGGCATGTTATATATAATTTTCCTCTGAGGAGCATATTTGCTTACCACAAATGGTACTTACTTTTTTAACTGGTGTAACATCCTTTTGCTATCCGGGTCATAGTTTTCAATTGCTTTGAAAAGCGTCCCATCTGCTAGTTCACGGGCAGTAAAAGACAATAGAGTGGGGAGACCACATTCCATGCTGGTCATGTTGGCTTGAACTGCTTCTGTAACTGATGGATACGCATCAAGGCCTAAAAATTTTTTGATGCTGAATAAATAAAACGAGACATGAGGATAAACCAGTTACAGAGACATATACCAAGTCATACCATTAGTAGAAGGAATTTCAATGTTGATGATATTAGTCGGCCATCCAGAATATTTTGATTGATATTCCTCGTCAGTACAGTGGTAAACGTGCTTACTCTTCTTGGCAGCACCACCAGAAAAATGCGTCCAGAATGTGTTATCACCCTTGCAATTCTTTGAAAATGGCATAAGCCACAACGAAGAAGCGAAAGAATTAGACAACAATCGAGCAGTTCCCTGAAGCCTTGCCAACAAAAGACATGAGAAGCGCATGTCAATATGTAAAGATTTAATAAGCAAACCACAGCCTAACTGAATATTAATATCTCGGTAAAAGTTTATTCTCAACTAGGAATGAATCTACCATAGTAATCGGAAAATTAAATCTTTGTGACAATTCGGTTGTATTAGGATAGGCGTATTACCCATACTATGTTCTTTGATAAGTAGCCAATTTAAGATCCACAGAGACCATATCGAATTATCGACTACAGCAGCTCAACTAGCAAAAGTTAGCTTTTAAAGGAAATCCATTGTATTACTAGACCTGGTGGGATATTAACTACTTGATACTAAAAAGAAGTCAGAGGTAACCTCAGAAACAGGAAGGCCAAACGTTACACCAGAGAGAGTAGATTTGATTGCCTCAACTGAACCAAGAAGAGGAGCTCCTAAATCAACAAGAAGTCAGGTATTGAGCTCAATCCAGTTCGTCAAAACATAATGCTCAAAATAGCAGCTTAACAATAATTGGCCAGTACCAACGGCGAAATAAGCATGGATATGCTGATCAAGCCACTCCAAGTAATGTTTTGGTGCAATTTCCAGTCTCAGCCATTCCAGAAAGTATCTGAAGACATTATTACCCATCGAATGGGCAAAAACAATAGAAGGACCACCACGGAGTTTTAAAGCAGTTTCAAAGGTCAACCTGCAAAAAAGAAGAGGACCATAGTTCTTTGCTTATCTTACATCAAAAAAAAGAAAAAAAAAAGAAAGACATTAGACTGGTGAGAACTAACTTGAGCTTGTGAAAGTAAAGGTCACGCTCTTCTAATTTGGTTGGTGACAATCTCCAATCGTACGGAACAGCGACAATTGCATTAGCCTCTATGCCAAACTCAACACACCACTTAAGCCACTCTTTCCAGACAGTAGAAAGAGGACCTGAAGATCAACCCAAGGTTACAGTACTTAGCCGTATTATCACAACAAAACGAATTCAAATTCTAGAAAATTCTAAAGGAAAGTAAAAATGTTAGAACCACCTGTTATGTAACCTGGATCCAATTCTGTGATCGCCGAGAGACCACTATCAGGGCGTGACTTACACTCGGGATGATCCGTTTGATTGTAAGGATCTAGCACCATGCACTTAAACCAGCAATTCACAGCAGAGAGAAGCTGTAAATCATTCACCAAGTCCATTAGTAATGAACTATTAAATGAATCACAATGTACAAGAAGAACATGACCAATTTCGAAAAATAACATAACGTTTCGACATAAGAATACGCAGGAGATTTTCTAACTATTCAGTACTCTTCTCCTTGAAAAAATTGAAGATCTAGTCGAGGGAACTAAATTCAATGAACCAAAGTGATGGAAAAAACTCGCAGATTCAGCCGTTTTCCTTGCCTCTAATTCCTTTCTATTTAGAGAGATCAACAAGTTCATTAACAAACAAAAAGGAAACGAGAGGCGTCAATGTTGACAAACTAATGAATCAATAATAGATATGAGACATGCTTCATTACAATATTTCGCTCGGAATCCATCAAGAAGGAACTCGATCGAAGGGATAGGAAGCTACAAACAAAAAAACAACAGCGGAAATGAAGATCACGTACCTTAGTGGTGTCAAGCCAAACGAGGTCGAGAGGATTGAAGTCCAACGGGGAGTATGGACAGTCGAGGATCGACCACGCTCGCAACTGCGTCGACGCAAATCCCGGAATGATTATACCCGACAGCTTCGAGTAGTCGCCGTGAAACTCGGTCTCATCCTCCACCGCCGCTCCGCCACCGCAAAGAAAGAAAAGTACGGCGAGGAATGAGAAGAAAACCTTTGCCGATTTCAAATCCGCAGCCATCGGTCGTTGCCTCTAACTACTACGTCTCATTCCATCGCCAGTGTTTAGGAGGAAAAAGTAAGAGAGGGAAGAGAGAGGAGAGAGCGTGTATTGTTGGGACCTTGGAGGTGGAATTGAATACACTTTTTGGAAGCGTCTGACTTTCCAAATATACCCCTACGTGCTGCTATAATTGAAATACAAAGACGTTTATCTAGAAGGGGTTACTTCCGAGCCCGTCATAACAAACATATGGGCTTTATCGGGCCTTTAACACTAAAGTTCCAAAATATTTTAAATTTTCAGAACAAGCAGGCGGGCGTTAATTCGCATTTTCTCCCGCTGAATCAAATCAGCATCTCCCCGCCTTTCTTCCCGCCATTTTAAATCGATCGTACACGTGCCCTGAAATCCTCCAAGTAAATACCAATCGAACGGAGACGAAACGACCAAGTGCAAACTATCCTTCTCCTTCTTGCCTTCAAAAGCTTTCGGCATTTAGATCTGGTTCGTACAGAAATGGCGGGATTTACCAACATGTTGATGAATCCATGGGTTCTCCATCTCCAGAAGCTCGGGCTCGAACTCAAGTGCCCTCTATGGTTCGTTTATAGCTTCCCAATTATACTTTACTTTTAAAGAGCAATTGATTTGTTTTTCATAAGCTTTACGATTAATTACTTTCATGGTAGTCTTGGTATCGTAACAATCGATTACGTATTTGCAGCTTGAAATTGCTTAATCGACCGGTGTTGCTTCCTTGTGATCACGTCTTCTGCGAGTGAGATTAACTAATTTCTCTGTTACTCTTTACCAATTCGTTAAATATTTGATTTGTACTAGATTCTTATATTTCCGGAAATGATTTGCAGATCATGTATACACAAATCGTCGCAAGTTGAATCAAGCTGTCTTGTTTGCAAATCTAAATATCCCAAAAAGGGTAAGTCAATTTGATTTGCATATATGCCTCTTTCTTTGAAGATTCGTGTTTAAATCTGTATGTAATTAATCGTGTGCAGCTCGGAGGAATCTTCATATCATGGAGAGTGTGATAAGCATGTACAAAAGCTTGAATGCAGCTGTTAGTGTTCATCTCCCACAGCTACAGAATCAGAATGATGGCAACTACAAGAACGATGCACAGAACAATTCCAGCAGCCAAAAAGACGGTGGATCTGAAGATTCTGAGATGATTGACAAGGATGTGATCAAGCGAAGTGGTGGTGGTAGTAATTCATCTAGTCATGACGGTTCTCCACTTCCAACGTCACAAGAAAGCAATCAAAGACCTAAGCATCAGGACTGGTCTAAGCAGCAGATAGTCGATCCTCTCCCGTTATATGAGTTCGAATCTGCGAATGATGCTGGCAATCATGTAAGAGCACCAAATTGATCATTTTAGATTCACCAGGCGGTTTCTGATACACTGACCATGATAAACAAAACCTTACTATTTAGTCCACTCGTGTTTTTCTATTATCTGGGTTTGTTTTTTGTCCCTCATGATCAACAAGACGTCATCTTTGCAACATTTAAAGATGTGTATTGATTTTTTTCCTGCTGCAGACACCTGAAAGTCATACAGGACCAGCTGCAAAAAGCCTTAGCGACATCACTGTTTCTGAGAAGCCTGACAAGGCTGCAAGGAGGCGAATTTGTGGTGATTCCCTTAGTCATGATGATTCTCCGCTTCCAAAATCACAAGAAAGCAATCCAAATCCTAAGACTCAGGATCTGACTGAGCGGCTATTGATGGAGAGCCTCCGGTCATATGATTTTCAGCCTGAATCAGACAATGATCCCACTGATCATATAAAAGCAGAGAAACGTCAGGTGCATTCTCGTCATGCATCATTAGTTGACCATTTTGTTTCATCACTCAGTTCCTGAATTTTGACGCATTCTTAATCAGACATTGACATGAGTTTTCGAATTATCTGTCTTTTTATTGTCCTTGAGAACTCACCACTTAACATGAGTATCAATCTTTTTTTCTACAGCAGTTATCCAAAAGTCATACAGAACAAGCTGCGAAAAGGAAGCGTGACACCACTGCTTCTGAAGCAATGGAAAATCATCAGAAATACCCCAAGAGGCAGAAGAATTTGATGCAAAAAGCTGCTGATGTTGACTTCAACGACAACTACACTGCAAACTCTGATGATCAGCTAATTGGAAAACCCTCCAAGGCATCAAATTTGACCCCATCTGTAATTTCAGATCAGCCATCATCCAACATAACCATATGTGGATTTTGCCAATCTGATAGGGTATCTGAGGTAAAAAAAGCTTTCTCATGCTCTCTGATCTGAAAACTCATCTTTCTTTTTATTTGTTATGAAGCTATTCAATTGGCTGGATAAATATTTTGATAGGCCACTGGAGAAATGCTGCATTATTCCAGGGGAAGGCCGGTGGTTGGAGATGACATCTTCCGCTCCAATGTTATCCATGTCCATAGCGCATGTATCGAATGGTAACCGAATATATCAACCCAGCTTCTACAGCTGCTTTTTGTTTCTGCCAGTCTATGTGTATAGAATTAGGCAAGAGTGTTGCATCTTTCTGAATGATAAGAATATTAAAGCAGCTGAATGAATGTTCAGGGCACCGCAAGTATACTATGAAGCTGACACAGTGAAGAACCTGAAAGCAGAACTGGCAAGGGGGATGAAAATCAAGTGCACCAAATGTGGTCTGAAAGGGGCTGCCTTAGGCTGCTATGTCAAGTCTTGCCGCAGGAGCTACCATGTTCCATGTGCACGGGGGATTTCCAGATGCCGTTGGGATTATGTATGTTTTGCCACTTTCTTTAAATTCTCATCTGCATATAGTAATTACTTGCCAAAGTTCCAATTGTGATGTGAGACTGTGTTTGCTTGGTCCTTGCAGGAAGACTTTCTTCTGCTTTGTCCGGCTCATTCTTCTGTCAAATTCCCAAATGAGAAGTCTGGACATCGCGTATCCAGAGCTGAGCCCTTACCGAAAATGTATCAAATCTGTTTCAGCATATAATGATAAGACTTGCTGTGTGGCTTTATTCTTTATGATACCAACTAATATATCCAATTACCTTTTTTTCCCTTAGAAATCCTGCTGAGCTTTGTTCTCTGGAAAAAACCCCGGCTATTACAAAAGACCTTGTTCTCTGTGGATCAGCACTCTCTCAGAGTGATAAGGTCAGTACTAAGTATCTCTTCTTACTACAGGACACAACCAAAAAAACCCCCTTGTTTGTGGATTTACCACTTTTGGTCTAAAGTTGGTAGAGCTTTTGCAAACAAAAAGACTAATTTTCTCATTGCATTGCTATTCCCCAGCGACTGATGGAAACTTTAGCCGCCAAACTCAATGCAACCATATCAAGGTACTGGAACCCTAGTGTTACGCATGTGATTGCTTCTACAGACGAGAAAGGAGCTTGCACAAGAACTTTAAAGGTTCTTATGGGTATTCTCAATGGAAAATGGATTATCAATGCAGGCTGTAAGTTGGATTGCTCAATCAGTATTTCTCATGCCCTTTACTTTTACCATTTGTAAATCTTTATCTTTACATGGATCATCTATAAATATTTCTAGGGATTAAAGCAAGCCTTGAAGCTTCTCAACCTGTTGATGAAGAACCATTTGAGATTCATATTGACACTCAAGGATGTCATGATGGACCGAAAACCGCAAGACTCAGAGCGGCAACTAATGTAAGTAAAAAAAGTATACCACAAAACAATGTTAAAGTGTTTTGTTTGGATATCTAACTAGTTATTTTCTTTGTGAAAGCAGAAACCAAAGCTCTTTGATGGCTTGAAATTCTATTTCTTTGGAGACTTCTGTAAAGGATACAAAGAAGACCTTCAAAACCTAGTCAAAGTCGCTGGTGGTACGATCTTGAACACAGAGGATGAGCTTGGCGCAGAGAGCAGCAACAATGTCAATGACCAACGATCATCGATTGTGGTTTACAACATTGATCCTCCAATTGGATGTGCTTTGGGTGAAGAAGTCACGATTATTTGGAACCGAGCAAATGAAGCAGAAGCTTTATCTAGCAAAACTGGATCTCGGGTCGTTGGTCACACATGGCTCTTGGCTTCTATAGCTGGTTACAAGTTGCATCCTATGGCTAGCTAAATTTTAGAAAGAAATGTTTCAGTTTCACACTTTCACTATATATGTAAGATCACTTTTATTTATCTTGTTTGGTCTAAAATTTGTAAGATAACAAAACAGATTCGTGTTGGTAGGCAAATAAAATTCTTTTACAATAAACTAACGGATAAAACCAGAGTGTAACATCAACTAATGATTTTGATAATGGATTGATGAAAAATATTGTGTATGAAACGGTCCAATTCCATAGCTTTGATAGGTCATTGGTGGGTGAAAAGTGTAACGGTCACGTACTTTATCTTCCAAATCACAATATTAAAAAAATAAAAAAAGCCGATACTAAAGAGGCAAAATAAATTAAAAACAAAGAAATATTAAAACCCTAAATCCCAATTCCAAAGTAGACGCTTTTTCCCCCGCTCTTCTCACTTGTCAGTCCAATCAGATCGTCCCTACCACAACCCGCTCCTCAACTTCCATTTATATCTGATCAAAAACCCCACGAAGGAGTTCATCGTCATCTCTCGTTTGCCTTGAAATTTCGGGTTATGGGTTGCTTTCTGGGTTGTTTCGGTGGTCGGAAGAGTCGCCGGCGTCAGAAACATAGAGAATCCGATCAGGCTAGAGCAAACGTAAGTCTTTCTCATGTTTCCTGAGTTGTTTTTGCATGTTCCTCGTAATGTTGCTTATTTCTTTTGTTCCTCCCATCTTTCAGTTTTCTTAATGGCTAATTGCGTTACCTTTGTATTTATCCAATTCAACTTTCATTAATTTGCTATTAATTTGCTTGACCCGAAGAAACTCTTTGTTTTGCATAGCATCTCTCTGTGGAATCTGCAAAACCTGATCATCTGATTGATAGTGTCCCTACAGTTGAGGAAATCCCGAAAAACTCTGTGATTCCAATCACTGAAATTTGGTGAGTGTGATTGATTGATTGTTTTTCTGGGGGTACTTGTCCTAAAGATTCAGGCTTTGAGCTTTGTTGTAGCTAACAACGTATCCTGATTTTCCCAGTGACGAGGCTGAAGAGATTTGCAGTCCAAGTCCAACTAGGAAGAGAGTCACTTTTGACTCCAAAGTCAAAACCTATGAACACATTGTGCTACAAGAATCTGTTGAACTCTTGCAAGAGGAGAAAGAAGAGGTCAAATCCGAAGAGCGGTCACTGATTGGTCAGTCTTCTTCTGAGAACAGTGAGGTTGCCTCAGGGACGTATCCTTCAGACCACAGATACAGGAACTGCAGGGAAAGCGATGATGAAGTAGAGGAGGATGAGTTAGACTGCACTGAAGGCGACGACCTAGATGAAGATGAAGAGTATTATAGTGATGAAGCATTTAGTGAGGATAAGTTGCATCACCAAGCCAAACAAGTTTATACTGAGGAGATTGATGATGCAAAGCTGAGAAGATCTAATGAGAGTGTTAGAGATGGACACCACTATGCCCAAGGAGTACTTAACCCCGTTGAGAATCTCACTCAGTGGAAAGCCGCTAAATCCAAAGGGACAACAATACAGAAACAGTCTCAAAAGGAGAACTCTAACCTCATTTCAGATCAAGAAGACAAAAGGGATTCCTCTTCTTTCGGCTCAGACCCTCAGATTAATGATACAACACTCAGCTTCAAACCGAAATTTAGAATTGAACCCAAAAAAGCGAGAAAAGAAGAATTAACTGTTGATGCTAGCCTTTCAACCTGGTTATCAACATCTGAGACGGGTAGTGAATGCAACAGTGCGTCTTTTACACCCGAGAAAAACAAGTCTGGCTGCTACTCAAAACGGGTTATAAGCAACCATGACGACAGACCTATACTATGTCCATTGACAATGGAGGAGATCAAACAGTTATCGGCTGCATCTACGCCAAGGAAATCACCTAGCAAGAGTCCCGATGAGACACCTATTATAGGCACAGTTGGTGGTTATTGGGGTACTCACTCAAAGGCAACAGATTGCGGCTCTGTATCTTCTTTCAAGGGAATACCAAACACCACCAGCAAATACAGAGAGGTAGGCTTAAACCAGTAAAACCACCTTACGAGATAGTACTATGTCTGATACTGATTTCATTCAAAACCAACTACCACGATGTAATAATCAATCAAGTGTTTTAATTCTTTCTAGTGAATGACAGTTTTTGTGGAAGTGCAGGATAAAAGTGTGAAATGGCATTCAACACCATTTGAGGCAAGACTGGAGAAAGCTTTGAACAACAGAGATAAATAATGGTGCTGCACTCATTTAACGCTTGCTTAGTTGGGTACTGTAAATCATTGGTTGATTATGATTTGATTTCTATTTGTAACATAAGTTTTTGTTTGTTTGGTACTGATCAATAAACCAGTGTTATCCATAAGTCTCTTGATATAAAATGATAACAAGTGAAAACCAAGACAAGAATCAGAATCAAAACTGCTCTCTCTTATTCGTTGGTTCTTCTCTTTTTCATGTTCAAAGAACCTAATCAAAGTTTTGTTTTTGTTTTGATCAGGCGACATAGTAGATGGAGTTAGGGAGCTTGAAGGTTCTCTTGGGAAGAGGACAACCTGCAAAGCTGCTCCACTGGTCTCCCATCACTCCCCAAACTCTGTAACCAAGATTTATAAGCCATGTCCTCTTCTCTGACTTGTACTGTTTTACTTCCTTTTGCTCATCTTCTAGCCCCCTGCATTGTTCGGTTTTCTTGGTTAAGGTACATCAGTTATCTAATCTGGTTCACCAGAATGATTAACTAGAAGAGTGTACAAAATCGGTTTTAGTTCAATTAGAGTGAATATATGAAATTCTTAAGGTATTATTAAGGGAGTGGACAAATTTTGCTATTGGTTCAATTTTGGTTTAAAGGATTTATGAACCAAGTAAATTCGGTTTGCAGTATCCGTTAGCATTCATGGTGGATATTAAGATCGGTTTTAGTTCAATTAGAGTGATGGATGTATGAACCTAATAGAATTCGGTTTTTAATATTCGGTTTGGATAATACCTGAGGATGAGGTTGGACCAGCCATAGTAACCGGCTTGGATGAGGTTGTCGACGGTGGCAGATCGGAGATATTCTTTTCGGGAAGAGATCAAGAAGATCTTGATGCCTCTTTCTCTGATCTCGTGGTACAGTTTCACCATGTGTGGAACTGATGGTGCTTTCCTTTTCCTTATCCAATCCTCGAATTTCGTTGAATTCAACTGTTCCCCTCTGTTTTTAATTCCATAATCATGAAAAAGAAAATCAATCGAGGTGTCTAATTATGACTCTAATCAAAGTTAAAGCCGAAAATCCAAAACCAAACTGAACCGAAAACTAAATCTGACATCCCTAATCAAAGTAAAAAAAGTAAAACCCGGTTATCTTAAACCGGACAGGTCAAATAAGGTAAGAAATAGATTTACCCAAAGAAGCCATTGTTCTTGTGGTAAGGAATGGTAGAGAGAAGCGTGTCATCGACATCAAAGATCCAAGCGTCCATGCCATCACACTTAGTCTTGCTACAACACATGCTCCCGAAATGAAGGATGACCTCATCAACGGCTCTCTCCACGTCATCCTCATACTGAGATGACGTCATGTACTTCTCCACATGCGAGACACACTCTTGAGGCACCACATCGAAGTTTCTGATGTTGTTAACTTCCACGTTGATCCTCCAGCTTTCGCAGTATCGTTTCAGGTTCGTCGAGAGCCCTGAAGTGACGACACCGTTTTGGCTTGATGATGAGCCAAATCCTTTGAGCTGGTTCAAGATGTTCCAGTCACGAGCTGAGACGGCTCCGACCAAGAGTGAAGCTAGTGCTAAAGAAAGAAACATGGATCGGTCCATGTTTGAAAGAAGAGTTTTTTTTTTTGGATCTTGATTCTGATCACAAGTGTGTATGTGTGTGTATGTAAAGAGGATTTTAATGGTAGAAGAGTCAAAGTCGCCCTAACAATAAAGAATATTAGAAACACAAATCTGAATCCAAGTTTTGGTGTTGCATTGATTTTTTTATATATATAATTTGGTTGTAATTTTATATATTTTAGGTGTTTTCCTATAGTATTGAATCTATTGATGTACGATATGAATTGTTTTTTAGAGTTAAATATTATTTCTTTTTGTGCAATAAAGATTAAATATATAACCAAAAGATATGATATCATACATCGATGTAGCTTTACAATACAGACGTCACTTTTTAAGGGGAACACAATTATGAAAAGTTTTTGCTTAATATGCGGGAGAAACAAAAAAAAAAAGATGTGGATAATCAAAACTAGTTGATCAGAAGTATGATTGTATGAGCAATACTCTCCTCGATTAGTGGCGATATAATCGTCAAAAAACATTACACAATGTATCATGTAACATTCCACAATGTTACCTAAAACTTACCTAATCTAACCATTTAACAGACAGATTTTCTTATATAACTAAATAAATTTATAAATTTATTAGAGCATCATAATGAGTTTCTTACCAATTTTTTATTAATAAATTTGGGTTAAGAACCTTTATTAAGAAATTCATTATTTTGTATGGATTATTGGTAAAACTTCTAATTGAGTTTCTTAAAAAAAAATTATAAAGATGATTTACATGAAGAATGTGTTTAATGTGTTTCATAGAGAATATATTCACATGATTTATTTGTCTTAGAAAACAAATTTAATAGAGAAAATTACAACAAATACCAAAGAGGTGTGTGGATATGAAGCTAAGATTGCTTAAACAAGGGGTAGATCGAAAAACAAGCTTATGTTGATGTGTTTGGTTTTGACACTGAACATGGCATGGTCTCGCTTTATCTCTTAGCTCTTGAAATGCCCTCATTGTCTCTGCATCAAATTCTCCTGCGAACTGAACAAATAACAGGTTTTTAAAAGTTGTGGACAAACAGGTGCTGTGAGAGAGCCATACCTAACTAGAAGATGACCAAAAGTCTATAAGTTTACCTGATGAACACGGAATGCAAATCGAACACCTTGAACAATAAGCTCTTCTTCTTAAGTTCCAGATATACACACTACACTAAGTGTAGGAAGTCTTTTAGAGAATATGATTATATACTTGATTTGTCTATCTATTACAAAATGATATGCACTTTGATCCATGTATACAATTGTATAATAAAACTCATGAAACCCAAGATAAAAACAAAGGAAGCAAACAAGAAGATACAACATTAATAAGACAGTGAAGCAAAGTAATGACTTCAGAAGAAGAAGAAGATGATGAAGTATATATGTGTAAGTGTATATATATACATCTATGGATTGGTTCCCAAGTTGTAGTTTATAGGAATGACATAGACCTGAAAGGAGAGTAAATAAGCTCTGTGTCTGGGAATTCATATCTTGATGAAGCAAAAGCATTCCATCGAAAGCTTTTCGTGAAGGCTGCGTAAGAATGAGTTAGAAAGGAGTTATAACAATCATGTGTTTGCAACAAGTAAAAAGAGACTTTGATTCATACTTTAGAGAAGCTGGTTCAGTTTCATAGAAAGCAAACTCTGAATTGGTTTCCGAGATGCCTCCGTTTAACCTTTCTCGTGAAGGCTGCGTAATTTCTTGCGCCAGCTCTTCCAGATTCAAATAACCATTAACAGAATCTGCAAACAAACAATCGATTTCAAAATATGCAAACAAACAATCGATTTCAAATCCTGCAATCAAACAATCACGTCTCAGCTAATCAGACGACGCACCTCCATCAAAACAATCGCGAAATTAACCGCAGCGCAAGCGTTGATCAACGCCATAGAGACGCTGGATAACATCGAAAGCTCTCTTCTTCGGAGAGCAAAAGATCGTCGAAGCAGAGATGGCGTCATATGCAAATTGGCCCGGAAGAGATGGCCATTGCGCCGGAGATGTCGATGGAGATGACGATGAATCGTCGGTGGAGACGATTTGGTCGGGGAAAATGTTTGATGAATGAAGAGTCGAAGACTGAAGAAAAAATTGGTCGAGGCTTGAAAATTTGGCCGAGAAATTTGTCTGTTCAACGGATTTGTGACGCGTGTCGTATAAGAACCGATTCTTGAAGATCCGAAATAAGAATCGATTCTTATCAAATTTAGTTTAAACATTATTTTATTTATTTTTTTGGGCTAAGAAATCCATATAAAGTTATGCGATAATGTTGGTCTTAGGGCGCTTGTCCTGACGACCTTGTACACACTTAGATCTTCCCATGCGATAGAGAATATGTTATATGGTACGCTGAACTGGAAATTAAATTTTGAAATTTAAAAATTTTTAATGGATAGATCATGCATGGAGCGAGTTGGGTGGTAGTGTGAAATTAAATCTAATTATAAATATCGATGCAACCAAATGGAAAATATATAGAAATAGTAAAAATTAATACAATTTTTTAATTAAAATTAATACAATTACTTTTCAAATGTTATAGAAATCAAATAGTTCAAACGATCAATACAATTACTTTTCAATTAATGTTTGTCATGTAATACATCATCGACATAAAAGTCTTTATTGTTTTTACAATGAATTTAAAGGAACTCTACGAAAGTAAAAAAAAATAGGTATACATATACTCCAATGAAAAATGGTAACATCAATGCATCAACCAGGATCCAAAAGATACCAACTAACGATCTAGTTTCCATTCATAGTCGTCTAAATCTAAAGTAGACTAAAATATGTTTGATCTTTTTTGGAGGCCTAATTATGAAATGGAAAGGACAAGAGACATATAGATCTCGAGGAGTGGTATGGTCATGGTGTGACAAATACAAATTGATTCAAGAGTGGGAAAAGAAGCAGCACATGGTATTTAATTTTAATAAATAAATACCGGTGTACCAAATTGAATTGTGATTTGCTAGCTGGTGAGGATATATAGATCGATGCAGACAATTTTTATAAAATAATACTTATATAGTAAATACAAAAACATATAATAATACTTGCAGAAAGTGGTAAAGCATAACCTACAAGAACAACTCATAGTAGTAAGACTTGTTCGGTTGTTCCCAACTTGCCATTTTATATTATATCTAAATCTTTTTGAAAGCTTTTTTTGTTTGTTTTCTATGCTACATTTGTATAAATCAATATGGATAACACTTGACGAAGAAGAAACTCTTATATTCAGCAATGCACGTATAAGAAGAATAAGCATGCACATTTGGCGGGTATTCACCAATATAAACACAATTTTTTTATGATTTAAATAAATACGACTTAGATCGTTTATCAACTTTGTATAAGCTTTACTTTTGTTAGCCAGAAAGGTCAAATATACTGAACTGCCATCAGTTATTTTCTATTTTCTATTTTCATAGACCGAGAGTGGTCCGTCACTAATTCTTAAACAGTACGGTAAATAGATGGTTTAGTAGAAAAACTTCCATTTAAAATCAAGCCACCAGCATAATAAGAGACCCTCAAGCTCTCTATAGTCTATACACAGAGTTAGCTCTTCTTTTTTTCAACCTACAAAGAGTGGTTTACAAAATTTCTTTCTAGAGAGTCCCCATTCACCAAAAAAAAAAAAACAAAACAGAAGGCCTCATATCTTTTTTTCCTTCATGCTCTGATCATTATCTTCTTGGCCTCTGAAACATAACAAAACATGAGAGTGAGATGCAGAGCCGACGATTACTCAGTCACAAGTAATCAAAATTAGCAAATTTTATTAAAATCTTGTGATGACTAGTTGACTACTCACTCTTTGCTTGCTTAATGTTCCTGCAGAATCTGCTACCACACACACAATCAAAGTGTTTCATCAGACAGTCTTCATCGTTGAAGTCAATGCCATAATCCTGAGAACATGAAGTCCAGATTTCATCAGATCAATGTATCACAAGGAATCTGTAAGCATTTGTAAAAAAGACTTCTTTCGATAAACCAGGAGGTTTTTAAGGGTATAGAAACTTCTCCGCATTTTACACACCCATGTGAGTTCCTCCATTGCCTCGATGTCTCTTGTTGTGAAGAACGCAAGCTGGAGAAGATCAGAGTTGTATTAACTTCCAAGAAACAGATTAACAAATTGAGCAAAAGATTACAAAATGAGACCAGCACTGAACCATACACGATAGTAGTGTTGATATGGAGTCTCGACTTGAACTGGAATCTCGATCAAGTTTGCATCTAGGCATCTAAAAACATCAAGGGTCAGGAAAGAAAGTATCAGTAATAGAAAGTGAATAGGCCAACTGTGTTCCACGAGTCCTCTGAGCATTATTGTAAATAAGCCTTTACCTGTGGTTAAGGAACCTTGAGATATTTCCATAACCCGTCCCATCAAGACACAGAGATTTGTCATCCTCTAAACATTCTTCAGAACCCCAATGTGCATCCAATATCACAGGAGAAGTAAGTTCATTTTCCGAGCGACGTTGGTATAACTCTGTAATTGTCAGTATCTCTCCAGCGTACTCACAAACAAATGACCCTTGAGCCAATCTCTCCAAAGTCCTTACGCCCCAACCTTTCCCATTCGGTGTGAAGAACACCTGATAAAATGTAACCCGATGGGTCAACACTGAAAACTAAGATGAATGGATAACTCAAAAACAGTGTTGTTTTTTTTTGTTTACCTCTAATTTGTTGTGTATGCCTCTTTGGACCAATCGGTTACCGCATCTCTTAGCGCAACCACATTTGATCCAACACTCTTTAATGGCTTTCCTCTTAATGTGCCCTTTACATGGTTCCAATATCTCTTCTTTTTTAGCCTTCTCCAATGGGCACTCTTGACAAAATTGCAGCACCTGTTTCCGTTGATCACGAGCCTCAGATATCCGAGCTTCCAAGACATCCTCTTTGAGTACGCCTTCTACTGTGTATGCAGTCGTGCAACTGCAAGGCGTCGATGAAGTATCCAAGCAGTCTCCAATACAAAAGAAGCAACTTTGATCATCAGAGAAACTTGAGACCGAGAATAATTTCACTGCAGCGTCTTGAAACACAAAGCTATGCGGTATGTAGCGAAAACGTGAAGGAACCTCGTCGTTGATCTCATTCACCCATGGAATCTGAATATTTTCTTCACCACCGGTAATGTCCTTTGTGTTGCTAAATGCTCTCCAGCCATCAGCAGAGATCTCACATTCAGGAACAATCACCAACCCCATGGAAATATCAGCTGCACCGCTTTCATCACCCACCTTAATCATGTCAGAGACTGTTTCTGAAGGAGGAACATCCATGGCAGTAGTAACATTGAGAGTGACGTTGGTTTCTTCATCCCGTTCTTCCACATCAGTATTTGATTTCTCCATCTCAAGAACGGGAGCTGAACAGTTCTCTGCATATGAAAAAATGTAAACAAGTGTTAACAGAAAACATTAAAAGAGACAGACTAGAATTATATACAAAGGCTTCAACATCTAATCAGAAGAACCTAAAAGCAACACAAGAAGGAGTATCAAGTTTAATCCTGCTCTAATGAAACAATACCTAGAATAATAGGCTTATGATCGGTAAAGGGCTCATTCTTGACGACAATAAGTGCACCGGAATCAGAGGCCTTTTCAGCTACTACAGGATCAGCTGGCAATAATGTTATTGGTGGTAGTTCTTCGGGCTCTACTGACATGGGGGTGCTGAAGCTAGGACTTGTGTTGTTGTACACAGTTCTTGCAGACCCACTTTCACCTGCCCGGCGCGAGTACCTCTTTAAAGGAGGTGGTTCAGTCTTTTCATCATCTTCATCTTCCTCTTCCTCTTCCTCTTCCAGCTGAGTACGTTTTAGCCAAAACCAGAAAAAATGCAAGTTAATAAGATAACTGAGAGCCTGAAAAAACAGATAGACAAACATACATTGCGATCCTCTTCATTTGGCTTCTTTGACGTGGGTTTGCCTATGCCAATGCTTGTGTTGTTGTCACATACTCCATCGCGTTTCCGTCGTAACCTCCTCTTCAAAGGAAATTCTTCTTCCTCGATATCATCTTCTTCGTCTTTAACAACAAGCTGGGTTTGCTTTAACCAAAACAAATGTAAATGTTACATGATGAAAATAATACTCAAAAACAGCACTGAGATTTAGTTCACATACCTCAAGGGCTCTCTTCTTTCCCCTGGTCATTGCTAGTGAACATACGTTGGACTCTTTCTCTTCTTCCTTCTTTTTTTCAGTGGCCTTATGACAAATCAAGAAAGAGAGTGACTAAGTAATATGAAGAAAAAAATCAAACAAGGAAAATCAAAAGTGATAAGACAAAGCATGTAAAATCAATGAGAAAACATAGATTGCTTAGAGAAAACAAACCTGCACATCTTCTTCGTCGAATATAGCATCAATGAGGACCCTATAGTTGTCTTGTTCTATGAAATTCCACTTATTATCATAGCTCTTCCGAAGTTGCCTGATAATCGGCCTTACTTTCGACTCTGGTATATCAAAAGCCTTCATGGCGATACAAGCTTTCTTTATACGAGGATCTGGTGCCATTTTCTGCAAAATTCTGCAATAGCAAAGCTTAATCAATCACAAGCCTCGTAAAAATTCAGGAGAAATGCAGAAAAAGTAACAAAAATGGAAACTTTCTTTTTCTGAATCCTCAGAGATGAAGAGGAGTTCAGTTTCTTAGACGTAAGTTGAAGTTAACCAAAAACCCCAAAAAATGAAACTTTTGTTTCCAACCAAAAAAATGGCGACTTTTTTTTTTTTTTGAGGAAGCCGAACAGCAACGATCAAACGCAACGCAAGCACATAAATCCTAACATATGTCTTTGTTTCTCTCTTCCAGAAAATCTCGAAATAAAGCTAGAAACGAAAATGATTGAAGCGATTGCAGAAAGTGAGAGGAACTTCTTACCAGCAGATGAAGCAACTCTGAAACTGGTTTAGGGTTTTAAGCGTGAGAGAAAGGGATTACTGACTGCCAAGAAGAGATATGGGAGAATGTAGTGACGAGCTGATGAAATGGCTTGGAGACCTGTGCAAATCTATCCTCAGAGCACGGAAACTTGGAATGGACCAGTCCCATGAACTGATTGGAAATGTAGAAAGGAAGACAATTTGAAACTAGAGACAACACTCGGAGGGACACAGAGGAACGCAGCGTTTTGAGTATATCTCTTTGTTAAGGATGCTTATTAACACGTTTTGACACTCGTCTAAGCATGCTTATAACATTATTATTGACCAACCTAAGTTGAGATTTTGTTTTTTTTGTCGTACTTGACTTGAGGTTAACTTTGCTTCTATCACTGTGTAAGTAGTGTCAGTTGACTCATGATTTCTGTTTGAATTCTGAAAAGTTCGAAATATGGGCTTATGGGCCGGCACAAAGTCTCTACCGGACTAGTAACCTTTAAAGTTATCGGGTTTATCATTGTTCTGACCAATCGGCTTATTTGAGTTTTCAGATCAAATCTATCTCCTAATACATCATTCCTTATTCCAATTTTCTGAAACCCATCAGGAGGTTCTGAAACCAATAAGCTAGCCTAAATGAAGGTTTCAATCACAACTTTGAACTCCACAAGTTTTATAAAAGATCTATGAAACAAAATGAACATCATCACAGGTTTTGGCGGGTCCATTGTAAGAGTGTGATAATGAAACCATATCTCGAGTTAAATGGCAATGAAGGAGTATAGTGAGAAACTAAAATAGTGATAGAAGAAAAGTTATCAAAACATACGATGCTCAGATTCGAATTCTTCAAAAGATCATTCATTTATGTAACATCGTACAAGGAAGACTATGCTCAGGTTCGAATTCATCAAAAGATTATTCATTTTACGTAGCTTGGTGCAGGAAAAGCTCAACAATCTATAGTTCTCCAAGCCATCAATTGCCAAAATAAATTTGAAGAAGATGCATAAACAAGCTCAATTCTTTATAGCAAATTCACTACGAGCTCGATTTATCATTATGATCAAACCCACTTTTACATGAATCCAAAAACCGCAAGGAACTAATCGAATAGCAGAAACAAGCATGAAAATCCCAAATTGAAAGAAGATATCATTTACGGATTAGGGTTTCTACAGTTACTATAGAGCACCGGCCGGTGAGAGGCCGAGGAGGCTGGCTTGCTGACACTGTATCTCGCCTAATAACTGATCTCGCTCCATCTGGATGCTCAAAGGGACGACGAGAATGAGAAAAGTCGTGCCGGCGAACCACGCCGCTTTCGCGGTACTTCTTAACAGCTTCTTCGACAAGTAGACGGCGTCGTAAGCGGCGCGTCTTCCCTGAGAGACGATCTCGGAGTTTGAAATCTTCGCTAGTATGTTCGAATCTCTACCACCGAATATGCCGGACCCGATTCTTTCAGGCGCCATTGATTGGAATCGAGAGATCAAATTTCGCAGAGAGGAGGAGAACGACGAGGGTTTAACTCTCGATCGGGTTAAATTAGGTTGATTATTAGGCCCATTAAACATGTAAAGGCCCGTTTGTGTTTTTTTTGACGGTTCAGATTTTATTTAACTCAATCTTACGGTGTGCACCGACCAACACAGCACGCGTCGCCCTTCGTTTTGGTCTGGCGTCTCTAACCTTATACCCTCTTCCTGAAGACGAAACAACCCAAAATCACAAAAGAAAAACCTAGCTCTCCTCCATTGAAGCCACTTCCAAAGACAGCATTTACTTCCGAGGTTTTATATTCTTTCTTTGTATTTTATGAATTGGGAATACAACTCGTTTTTTTCTTCTGCTAGCTCTATAATTAGGTTTCGGATTTCTTTGAATTATGATTAGGTTTTGCTTTTCCCTGTTAGAAAAACTCTTATCCAGCTTTCCATATTTTGAATCGTAGACAGATATAGCGAGTTTTGCTTTTCACTGTTGTTTTTAATTTGCTTGTTTCGAGTTGAGCAGCTTTTTTTTATCTGTGTTTTCCGTTTGTATGCACACTTTAAGCCTCTTACTTCCTACACTTAATGACATCCGTGATGAGTGCAATATCAGTCTTCTATGTGCGTTCCACTAATTCCATTCTTATATGAACGTAGTTTTTTCGCAGTTTCGGTTTACAAGTCTGTTCTAGAAAGTTATGGGAGACAGCGAGGCCATGGTTGCCGAGGGCTATACCTCTGCTCCATATGGAGATTATAATGCTTCTGCTGCTACCGTGGAATCGACAGGGCAAGAAAACACCATTCCTGTAAACCAGAGCAATGCAACGAATGTTGATTCGTCTCAATCGGTCAGTAATGTGTCTTTGGTCAATGGGAATGCCCCTGAAGGTGGTTTGACTGCGCCAGTTGAGAATGGAATTGCAACAGATAACGTGTCTGTAACAGCTCCAGCAGCGGAGCATGGAGACAATCCTGGTAATTTCTTCTTCTTTTCAACCGCGTGTATGAGCACATTAATTCTTTTGTCAACAGAGGCGTCATTACAGATTTTAATTGGCCATTGTCGCATGTTAACTTTGATGATATAACTCTTCCTTCTCTGTTGTTACAGGCTCTACTCTTTCAGCTGAAGAGGAGCGCCTATGGAATATCGTCAGGGCTAATTCATTAGAGTTCAATGCTTGGACTGCTCTGATTGATGAGACAGAGAGGATAGCTCAGGTATGTGTGGATTTTCATAACGAATCTACTTGTTCCCTTTGTACTCAGCTCTGACCTCTGAAAACTTCTATATTTTGCTGAGTTTTATTTTCCAGCTAATTTATCCATTTGCTCGAGATTGGTAATGTTTCTCTTGCTGCCATAATCACAGGACAATATAGCAAAAATCCGGAAGGTGTATGATGCGTTCCTAGTTGAGTTCCCTTTGTGTTATGGCTATTGGAAGAAGTATGCAGACCATGAGGCTCGGGTAGGGGCAATGGACAAAGTCGTGGAAGTTTATGAAAGAGCAGTGCAGGGAGTGACATATTCAGTGGACATCTGGTTGCATTATTGCGTTTTTGCCATCAATACGTATGGAGATCCAGACACCATCAGAAGGTAATGAATGCTTATCTTCTATCTGTCTGTGTATTAACAGCCTGGTTGATATTTCAGTTACCTAGTTAAGATGATTTTGACCATCTAACCCTTTTCTTAGATTGCTACAGCAAGTTTCTGGCGGAAAGATCTGATGGAAATAATTTAGAAATACGTATTTTCTTTCATGCAATTTACTAGCTTTTGGGCCTTTTTTTATAGTTATATGAATATATGATATCTTCATCTCGAACTGCTCCGTTTTTGTGGTGCTCTATTACTTCTTTCGAAATTTTGAAGTTAAAATATACCTGTTTGAATTGTCACCTCCCCCCGAAGTGCAATTATATGCAAAATGCTGCTGGGAAGATGTCAACCAGTTTTGGGCTTAGGTAGCCTCTGACTGCTCGATTATGGCCATGGTATGCTTTTACCAGGAAGGTAAATGCAGTGTTTGGCAGTATCCTGCATTTAAAGAGTGAATCCTTTTTTCTCCATAGAACTTGTGGTTGTCTTTATTGATTGGATATGTCTTCATCTTTCTGCTCATATGACATTTTTTTGACTTTAATGCTACTGCAGGCTTTTTGAACGAGGTTTGGTTTACGTCGGAACTGATTTTCTGGCATCTCCATTGTGGGACAAATACATTGAGTATGAGTACATGCAGCAGGACTGGAGCCGACTTGCCATGATTTACACCAGAATATTGGAGAATCCTATTCAAAATCTCGATAGATACTTCAGCAGGTAATTTTCAAGTGATTTCATTAATCATTTTCCTCTGCCCGCTGAATTGAATAGAGTCAACTCATGTGGATTGTGATTGTTATGTTGACACTTCGTTGATTTAGCACTTAATTGAGTTAAGCTATCTTGCAGATGAGCTGTTTTCGTATATTTGATAAACTGAACTCGAGTGTCAAATCTAATTTTATCTCATCTGTTTTTGCTGTTCTTTCCTGATGACTTAGTATTAGCCAGTGTTCATAGGTTATGCTCAGAATCTTTAGTGTCTTTTTGATGTGTATTTTATCGCTATCGTTCTTGTGTTTTTTGTGTTGTTTAATAAGTGCTAGTCGTGCTGCAGTTTTAAGGAACTAGCTGAAACACGACCTCTGTCGGAGCTAAGGAGTGCTGAGGAATCCGCGGCAGCTGCTGCTGCTCCTGCTGCTGCTCCTGCTGCTTTTGATGCTTCTGAAAATGCACCATCTGAGTCTGATGGAAAGGCAGATGAAGGAAAATCTCAAGCTGATGGTTCCACCGAACAGTCTTCTATATTGGAAACTGCTGGTTCAACTGATCCGGAGGAGTTGAAGAAATACATAGGCATCAGAGAAGCCATGTATATAAAAGCCAAAGAGTTTGAATCTAAAGTAATTGGTTTTGAAATGACTATAAGAAGGCCCTATTTCCATGTGCGGCCTCTCAATGTTGCAGAGCTGGAGAATTGGCATGACTATTTGGATTTCATTGAGAGGGATGGAGACTTCAATAAGGTACTTGGGTGCTTAACTCTCTTATACGTGAAAATACTAGTGTTTTGTAGGTTTAAGTCGTAATATTATTGACCTACAGTTAAGTAGTATCTGGTGCATCATATGCTTTATTGGGTTAACGTTGGATCAAGCAACTTTAAATGGGAATAACTGAGACCAAAGCCTGGACTTTATTTGGTAACTTTAAGGCTAAGTACTTCACTTCACACTCAATTTTTCAAAGGATATTTTTAGGTTTGTGAGTTATCCTTATTGTTAAAGTTCCAATGTTATTAATGCAGGTGCCTTCCTAACAATCTATCTGTCTGGCAAGGAGGGTCCCTCCATATGTGAGGGCCCCTCTGTTCAACTTGTAGAGTATACCTTGTGGATTTCACCATTGTTCTTTCTATGTTTACATGTTTTTTTTTCCCTTAGTGATCAGCATATATGTTTTACATTCGTTTCGTTTCCAATAGGTGGTCAAGCTGTATGAAAGATGTGTTGTTGCATGCGCAAATTATCCTGAATACTGGATTCGATATGTACTAAGCATGGAAGAAAGAGGAAGTAAGGACCTTGCAGACAATGCCCTTGCTCGAGCAACTCAAATTTTTGTCAAGGTATGACATGTGTTTCACCAACCTTTTGGGTCTCATTACTTATGATTCGTCTTTGTAGGATAATTTTTTAATGTTCTATTTTACTTGCTTGGTTATTTATTTGCATTCTTTTCTGTGACAGAAACAACCAGAGATTCACATTTTTGCTGCTCGATTAAAAGAGCAGAATGGGGATATAGCTGGTGCTAGAGCTGCATTCCAATTAGTGCATTCCGAAATTTCTCCCGGACTTCTTGAAGCAGTAATTAAACATGCGAACATGGAACAGCGACTGGTAAGCTTTCATGAGCTAATAGTAACTGAAGAACTAGTATAGACTATCACCACTGTACCTTTCCTTTACTCGTCTCCTAATCTTCTTATTTGCAGGGAAATCTGGATGATGCTTTCTCTTTGTATGAGCAAGTGATTGCTGTTGAAAAGGGCAAAGAGAACTCCACATTACTACCGCTGCTGTATGCTCAGTATGCAAGGTTTACATACTTGGTATGTCACATGGTCTTCTAACTAAGACACTATAGTTTTCTTTATGGAGTATGTACTGGGCGTGCGTGGCTTACTATTTTCAATAATACTTTCAGGTTTCAGGGGATGCTGAGAAAGCTAGGAGGATTGTAGTCGAAGGACTTGACCACGTGCAACTGTCAAAACCTTTCATGGAAGCACTGATTCATTTTGAGAGTATTCTGCCACGACCAAGACAGATTGATTACCTTGAGCCACTTGTAGAAAAAGTTGTAAAGCCAAATGCAGATACCCAGAACATTGCAAGTTCCACTGAGAGAGAAGAGCTGTCGTTAATATATATAGAGGTAACAGAAAAAGAAGCGACCAGTCTATTCTTTCTAACATCATGTATCTATATTTTGGGGTTTAACTCTCTAATGTTTGTATGGCTTTTGCAGTTCCTGGGCCTTTTTGGAGATGTTAAGTCCATTAGAAAAGCAGAAGATCAACATGCTAAACTCTTTTTACCTCGCCGTAGCACGTCAGAGCTGAGAAAACGTAGCGCAGATGATTATCTCTCTTCAGATAGGACGAAAATGGCAAAAACTTACAACGGTACTCCGCCTGCTCAGCCAGTGTCCAATGCATATCCAAACGCACAGGCTCAATGGTCCGGTGGCTTCGCTGCACAGCCTCAGACCTGGCCGCAAGCACAAGCCGCTCCTGCACAACCGCAACAATGGAATCCTGCCTATGGGCAACAGGTAAAAAACCAAAAATAGATTCTACCGATTTCCTTCCTACTATACTTTCTCTTTATTGTAATAGTTTCCAATATACACGTTTTAGGCTGCCTATGGTGCATATGGTGGCTATCCCGCTGGCTATACCACTCCACAAGCACCAACGCCTGTGCCACAGACCGCTGCTTATGGCGCCTATCCTGCTCAGGTAACGAAAATGTTATTAGTGAAAGTTGAGGGTTTCAAGAATTAACGGGGAAGTCCTTGATCAACTAACGGACTCTTTCTTTATGAGAAATTTGCAGTCATATCCAGCACAGAGTTATGCACCTCCAGTTGCAGCTGCAGCGGCAGCTGCGGCACCAGTGGCTGCGCCGGCGCAGCAACCAGCTGCTGCTCCTCAAGCCTACTACAACACTTACTACTGAGCCTGTGGATGTTGCTGACATGCTGTTGCTGAAGCTGGTCCGTTTTTGTCGTGGGAACTACAGTCATTTGCTCCTTACCTACTCAACAGAGCCTTGTCTATGTTATCAGTGACATTAGTTTACTTCTTTAGTTGCTTGGATTTTCGCTGGTCCTGTTTAAGATTGTAACCAGAGAAGTTTGAATCGATGAGCCGGGTAGTGTGATATTGATGCCAGTTAATTTTGCAGAACAAAAAAAAGGAATTTAAAAGAAAATCAGGGAATTGATATACAAACAAATTAATGGAAAATTTTGAAAAGGAAAAAGAAGTAATGGGCAAATTTGATTTTATGGGTAAATCTGTGAGAAATTTTTATATTCATTTTTCATTAAAACATAGTTTGTGTGATTTTTCGTCTTTAACTCTTCATCATTTTCATGTGGCATTTCTTGAAAACACATACCATAACATGTTCCCCATGGTAGTCTGTGATGCTACCAGTAGCAGGCTGACATTTTCCATCTAACTTATAAGGGTTTCGAGATAGAGAGAGATAAGGAATGTAAGTAAAATTGATCGAAGAGGATAAAGAAGAACCTTAATTTACGCAACGCTTTAATTACGCAAAACTTTGATTACAACGTAAATTAAGTGTCGTTGGAAGCGTATTCAGGTGGGTCCCATATTATTTTAAATATAATTATTTAAGCCCTGATAACTTAATTAGACGAACAAACCCCACCAAACCCAAACATCCGTGTACAGTTTCCGCTTTTTCCTTCTCCATTTGCCCTCTCTATGAGAAAAGATCGTTTATTTTGATCCGAGAATCGAAGTCGCTCTCGGATTTTTCGTAGTTCCCAATTTTAAGTTCCGGGATATCTGTTCGGTGCGTAGCTTTTTTGCGTCAATAAAAATAAAAACTTTAAAAAGTCTCGAAATTTCAGAATTCTAGAGGTATTACAAGTTGAAACCTTTTTGTTCGTTTAGTTTTGTTTCGCAAAAACTTGATCGATGATTTCTTAGCTACTGAGCGGCGTTTTCCTCTTCTTTCTTTGTTTTCTGTTAATTGATTTGGGATAATGAATGGTTTACGAGATTTTTGTTCTTCAAGTGGGTCGGTGATGATCGGAGTATCACCAGCTGACGAAGACGACAACGCCGCTCTGTCGTCGGAGGATTCGTCTTGCCCGGACGATTTAGTGTCAGGGACAGAGCTCGACCTAGCTCTGGGTCTTGGCATTGGTCTGAATAGTCGTCGGAATCACTCAAAGACTCGATCTTCTTCGTCATCTTTGGCTTCTTCGTCTTCTTCTCTGACCAGAGAAAGTGGAACCAAACGGTCTGCTGATTCTTCTGCGGCTCCCTCAAAAGGGTAAATTCATCTTCGAGACTTTATATTATAATCTATATACATGTATGTATAGAATCTAAGCAAGGTAGTTTTGTTGGACTGAATGTCACACAGAGATTATAGACCTTTGTATTGTGAAATTAAATTAATCGCAGGATTAGATCATATCGAGTGTTCTCTGAAATGTTTTGAGTTATACTTGTGGAATACTTGTTTAAATGTTACAAGGGGTCTCTTGTGTATTGCTGTTTACAAATTCGTCTTCTGATTAGATTAATTTTGGTGATGGGAGCAGACAAGTTGCGGTAGGGTGGCCGCCTCTACGAACTTACAGAATCAACAGTTTGGTGAACCAAGCAAAGTCCTTGGCCACTGAAGACGGTTTGTGTTCTGACATCCAAAAGGACACAACAAAAAATGGCGTCGTGGCTGCAAAGAACTATGATGCTTGCTTCATCAAATCGACCAAGACTCCAATGCTTGTGAAGGTGACAATGGACGGAGTAATAATTGGAAGGAAGGTTGATCTCAATGCTTTGGATTCTTATCAAGGCTTGGCAAAAACTTTGGAACAGATGTTTTTTCAGATACCGTCTTCTGTAACAAGTCAGTTACTAATTCTATTTTCGTGAGATTCCATATGATTCTGCTTGTCAAATTCTGTGTCTCTTAAAAAAATTCTGGTTTTGATTGATGAATTTGCAGGATCAGACACGCAAGAATGCAAGACAATCAAGGAAACACATGCTTCAGAATTGCTGGAAGGCTCATCGGAATATATCATCACGTATCAAGATAAAGACGAAGATTGGATGCTTGTAGGAGATGTTCCTTGGCAGTACGTAGTTACCCTTAATATATTCCCATCATCATATGTATTTGTTATGTGGCACATCGAGTTCTATTTAAACGATCCTGTCATGTGTGTTTTCAGGATGTTCCTCGGGTCCGTGAAAAGACTGAGAATCATGAGAACATCAAGTGAAACTGGGATTGGTAAGTAGAGATTCTTTACATAGTAAAAGCAACAATGCATTTGTTGAGAAAACATTCTCAGCTCAACATCTCTCTTAAATCGTTCTGAAAGGTGGAATCATCTTCTTTGTCAGGTGCAAATGATGGAACAGATAGATAAAAGGAGAAAAGAACACAAACCTATTCTTTTACTTGAGAGAAAAACCAGGTTTCTTCAATTCATTTACATCTCGTTGGCCTGTTAATCGTTGATCATATTCACGAGTATATATGTGTCATGTGGTCGTTTGTGAATATCTTTGAAGGTAATTTGTATATTTAGGGTTTATCAAATTTATCTCCTTTTGATCGTGTAACTCCAAATCGGCCAGTAATTTGTAGGAAAATCAAACGAAGCAAGCTGGATTAGGTTCTAGAGATGAAAAATGATAAACTTGAAAACTCTGATAAAGAGTCATCAGTAATTTCATTAAAATCTGAAAAATAACAACAACAAACAATCAGCTTCAGTCACAACTCAGATGTAGCTAGCTTCCTTCTTGTTTCGATTCGTCTCTGAGGTTTTCTCGCATAAAAACCTCGAAACCTAATAATTCGACCATTAACGCTAACTCTTGAAACAGAAATGAAAAGTTTCCTTCTTTAGCTCAATTATTCTTCAATGTCACAGAGATCGGACTCCTAACTCGCTGCATCAGATTCCGAGAGTTGACCCAAGTCAACTGTCCCTGCGCAAAGGTAGCCACCTTCCCTCCTCTGTTTCTCTTCTTCAATACAAACCAAACTCGATAGCTCAGAGTTTGATCCGCGTGGCTGAACACAAGTCTCTTAGGGTTCACAATCACTTTGATCCCCTCGGGAGCTTTAACATTCACCGAGTATATCGAATTCGGACTCCCAACGTTAGTCACACGTCTTGTGATCATTTCCGTCGTCTTCCCACGTTTGAAAATCACGGAAATCGACGGGTAATTGAGGCTAAAACCTGGGTTTTTCCGGAGGATTCCACTGCAGCTCACGTTCTTATGAGTGATTGCTAAAATGTCTGATCTTGTGAACCCAATACTGCAGAGGTAAGTGATGTAATCCACCGGTTCAATGTTGTAAACCAATCCCGGGTTAATCGCCTTTACCGGATTCACATGCCCTGCTCCAATCGCAAACACTCCTGCTGGTTTCTTCCCATCCTTTATCCATTTCCCTCGACGATCATACAAATCCGCCGTTGTCATCATCGCCGATTTGATTGCAGCAGGAGACCAGTTCGGGTATGTAGACCGGACAAGAGCAGTGATTCCGCTGACATGTGGACAAGACATCGAAGTTCCTGACATTACAGTGAAGTTAACTCTTCTTGAATCATAAGGGAGACCTGTTGGTCCTAGGTTTTGAGGCCAAGCCGCGATGATATTGACTCCAGGAGCAATCATATCCGGTTTAAGGATCGAAGGGTTGGCTAAACTCGGTCCTCGAGCTGAAAACTGAGCCACCTCCGGTGCTCTCGACCGTCCAATCACTGTCCCACCAAAAATGATCCGAGCCTTTGGTTTCACCGTGGCGTTCACGTAACCTTTCAGAAGAAGTGACTCTGCGTAACCGATCAATGTAGCTGGTAAGAGATGGACGTCGACAGAATCTTCTTCTTGGTTGATCTCTGTGTTAGCTAAGATCATTGCAACTCCACCTGCTTCTTTAATCGCTTGTCCTTTCTCTGATCTTCCGTTGACTCCTCGGTCACAGATCACCATTTTGCCTCTGATCTTCTCTCTTGGAAGTGACCCTCTCAAGCAGAACTCACTGCCTTTATCTCCTCCCGTGACGTAAATCACCTCGAGCTCTCTCTCGGCTTTCTTTAAACCTTTCCCTGGATACAACGACTCTCCATAGAGAAGGTTCCCGTTAGCTAACCGGACCACGGCGGGAAATCTTCGATCAAGCGTGCCTGCACCAATGGTTGAGATCCAAGGAGCTGTGTTCGCAACCGAGCTGGAGATTGGACCGTTGTTACCAGCTGCACAGATTACTGAAATCCCGTGTTCCATGGCTCTGAAGGTTCCAATGGCTATTGTATCATCGTAGAGAGGAATCGGAAAGCCGCCAAGGGAGAGCGAAAGAACATCGACTTTGTCTTGAATCGCTACATCTATGGCCGCAAGAATGTCTGAGCTGTAACATCCATTGAACCAACAAACTTTGTAAGCCGCAATGTGAGCTCCAGGAGCCATGCCACGAGCTACACCAGCTCCATTGCCAAGAACATTCGCCATCGAAACAGAGGATCCACCAGCTGTTGAAGCGGTGTGCGTCCCGTGTCCTGTTGAATCTCTTGCGGATATGTACTCACGGGGCATGTTTGGTGATTCCTGTGGCGAATTAGCCACACGGTGGCCTCTGATGAAGAATCTAGCACCGATTAGCTTCCTGTTACAGCTCGAGGAACTGAAACTCTCTCCTTCTTGGCAAATTCCTCTCCATTTTCGTGGGATTGAAGGCATCCCGGTATCGTCGAAGCTAGGACTCTCAGGCCAAACCCCGGTATCAAGCACGCCGATAATCGTGCCTTGGCCAAACCGAGATTTGGACCATACACCGGAGTTTCCAAGACCGTCGAGTCCCAAGAACTTGTAAGAGTAAGTGGTTTGAACCTGAAGAACATGGTCAGGTCTCACTGCGACAACTTCAGGTGAACTTCTCAGCGTCTCAGCCTCTGATTCAGTTAATTGAGCAGCAAATCCTTCAATGGCAGAGTCATACGAGTAGAGAAGCCGTGAAGAAGGCTCTTCGTCTTCTTCTTCAACACCTAGAACCGCTTCTTGGAGGAAAGAAAGATGCCAATCAAACTTTGAGGTAAAGGTTTTAGCGGTTTCGCTATTCGGATGAAGCTGAATGATGTAAGTCTGTTTCTGCAGGAACTCTGAGGAAGAAGAAGAAGAAGAAGTAAAAAGAAGAAAGATAATGCCGAGAAAGAAATTTTTGGGTCCCATTGTAGAGAAGAAGTGAACAAAAGTTTCGCTTTAGTGTTGTAGTTTTTGAAGTGCATGGTTCTGGAGAAGAAGAAGAATTGGGTATTTAAAGAAGAGTGAAGAGAATTCAAAAGCTGGGATTTGGATTCTAAGGAAGAAGATGAAGCTCGTGAAGAGTAAGAGCTCTTCATCACGAGTTTCATTTGTATGTTGCAGAGGTAGGAGCTTCTTGTTCTCTTTCTTTTAAGATTTTCAAAGCTGTAGACATGAACTATTAAGTGGAACTGTGGAAGCTGTTAAGGTTTCTCACTTGTAATAAGGGGGTTTTGTCTCTGTCTCTGTTTTTTTTTTTTTGAGGTTTTTTTTTTTTTGTTCACGAGATGTTATGGTTAGAGTTTATTGCATATTAGTTTGTGTAGCCTTTGCAAGAAACAAAAGATTCGAAATTTATTTGGTTCAGTTTCCGATAAATATTTGTTAGGCTTGCAGCTTGATCTAAAAGTCAATTAAACCGATATTTCCTTTAAACAAATGTACAAATAAAATTTTGAAATTCGATGAATTTTCTTACGAATGTATTTTATCGTTTACTTTTGATTTGATTAACCAATCAGAATTTAGTAGATATGCAAATTTTATTCAGTTCTTTTTCTTTTCATCATTTTATTCACTTCAATGTTTACGGCGATTTCATGTTATATGGGTTATCAAATATATTTATGGAAACTCAGTCAATGTCTTAAATAGAAAATGTGACCGTTGGAAGGAAAGTAAATGCAGCAGCGCGTTGAGATTACTACGTGCATTTATTTATACACGCATGCTGCACACGCCTCGTTTTCCATCGAGTACTGCGTCATTGTACGATGCCGTAGTATATTGTGTATCTATTTTATCGGGCTCTATATGGGAATATCTTAAGCCCAATATAGATTGTGGCCCATACCCGTTTACACTGCTACACTGCATTGTATGGTAAAATATTCCGGTGTTTGACAACTCGCATGTTAAAATAGGCGTCATTGTTGTTCAATGGAAATTTGTTTAATGCTTACGGTGCTATGGATCATGGTGAATTTCTACTATCAAAAACTAAATAATCATTTCCAATCAGATTTAAGAAAATAATTATTTACCATCTCTATAATTATTCTAACCATACCAAAAAAAAGGCATCTTCTCTTCTAACCTTCTCTTTGTTTTTTGTAGATTATTGATAACATTAGAAGAAAAAGAACCACATAAACTAATGCTGTAACGTACAAAAAGGTGTCTTTCAGTGTTCAGAAGAACAGATCTTAAAAGTATTTGATTGCTTCCTTTCATGCTTCCTTTAACCCAGTGGAAAACTCTATCTTACTTAGACCTTAAGCTTTGTCACATATTTCAGTTTTTATATTCCCTTGAGAAACCCCTAGCCTGAATTTTAACATCAATCATCACAAATCAGGCATTCCACTAGATCTTGAGGAGTATTCCGTTACCAATTTTAAGAACATCGACGATTTGTCTTCTAAGAGCCGCGCAGGAGAATCAAACTCTGCTACTCTACCTGCAACACAAACCGTAAAACAAACATTGAATTCTCTCAAAAGACAGGGGTAATACGAAGAATAGATTCATGTTTCTTGGCTTTTGTATGTATGACTAACCGTCGCTGAGAACCAAAACAAGGTCACTGTCGATAACAGTTGGGATCCGGTGAGCAATGGTGCAGACCGTGCAGCCTTCAAACTCGGTTCTGATTATCTTCTGGATCAAATTGTCTGTTGCTGTGTCGACTGATGCTGTTGCTTCATCAAGAACAAGTATTCTTGCTTGTTTAAGTAATGCTCGTCCAAGTGACACAAGCTGTCTCTGCCCAACACTCCAGTTATCTCCATTTTCTAGCACTAAACCAGTTCATGTTTCAAATCCAGAAATCAGTAGAAAGAAAAAGGGGATCAAAATAAGGACTTTTTTGGTGCAATAAGTTACCTGGAGAGTCCAGTTTTAGGTCTTTTCCTCTAACAACGTCGCCAAGCTGGGACTTATCAAGTGCCTGTAAGAAAATAGTTTGAGTAAATCTCTCTGGAATCAAGCTTCATTTCCCATGTATTTGCGTCATATGCAGAAAGAAGATGGATGTGAAACAAACATAATATATATACCTCCCAGATTTTATCATCTGAATGTTCTTCAAGTGGGTCAAGATTTCCACGGATTGTTCCTTCAAATAATGTAGGATCTTGAGGTATGATACCGAGGCGACTACGGAGATCATGAAGACCTATTTGAGAGATATCAATGTTGTCTATAGTAATTCTTCCAGAAGTTGGCTCAATTAACCGAAACAAAGCTTGAATCAAAGTCGACTTTCCGCTTCCCGTTCGTCCAACAATTCCTATTTTTGTTCCACCCGGGAA